CACGCTCAGCACCGAGCACAGGTAGGTTGACAGCGCGTTCTCGAGCTCCGGGAAGCCCAGGCGGTGCGCCAGGCTCAGCAGGTCCAGCAGGCACTCCTCCCGCAGATCACCCAGCGACACGCGGCCGCTGTAGATGTAGCGCAGCAGCACGGCGAACGCCTCTGCTGTGGTGTCGTCCAGGCGCACCTCCGCCTCGGGCTGAGACTCCTTCATGCCGCCGTAAAGTAGTGCTCTGCTCGCAGCGAGGCACGCAGGAGTGCAGAGAAGCGCATGATGCCTTTGCAGGGTGCGCATGTTACTGCTCAGTGTTAGCACCGACGCCCCCACAAGCTACACAACATGCACAGGCTGAGCGATGGGGTTACTCGTGCACGGGACCTGGGTAAGGGGCAGGTCCATCTATCATAGACCAATAACCTTGCAGTAATGTTCGTGTATAGCACTCACACAGGTGTATTGCATTCATTCTGACTACGGGGAGCGTGGTCTTTTGAGGCAATGGCCCAAAATGATTTATCAGTACCAACCGGGGAGGCAAATGCTAATGTTTTTTTTTAAGAATACTATGTCTAGATCACAAAAATGTATGATAGCAAGGTCAATGTAGTCGCTCTTTTCGAGAAAATTGGGAGGTTAATATAGGATATGATAATGAACATTCACGCAATATAAACTGGCGAAATGCGTCAACAAAACATACACCACATACGCTCAGGTGTCTGCTAGTGGTACATACTGCTCACGGTGGAAACCGGTAGCGTTTGTCATCGCAGGTGTACCGGATCATTGGCGCTTCAGCCCCCAATCAGCATTGGTTTCGGGAGTAAGAGACCGACGTTAACGGGCCATGCACAGTGGTCGGAAGGCGGGGGGGGGAGGATGGGAGAGATGGAAGGGTTGGGGATTGCTGTTTAACTTTTCGGCTCGGCTGGCCCCGAACCTGAAGTAGTGGCAACGCGCGGCTAGGAGCACGCGGTGCGCGGGGAAGCGCGTCCCGTCCACCACGAACACCACGTCGCTGTACTCATCGCGGCCGCACAGCACGCCCAGGTGCGCAGACAGCAGCCCCACGTGCTCCAGCTCCCCCGCCGGCCCAGAAGCCCGGAGGCCCTGGCTGTCGCACATGGCGACCGAGGCAGCTCCAGTCCTACACGAGTCGTGGGGGAAGGGTGGGGGTGGAGGTTACTGAACAACTTTGAGAGCTCCACCGCGACGCGAACCGAACCCCACGAGAGCGCACGCTGCGTCCCCCTGACACGGGAGGGGTGGAGGGGGTTACCGCGAGGATTTCACGATTGAGGGGACGAGACAAGCGCTCGAGAGGGTATACCCCCTGGTCCTCCCGAATGCCCCCCACACCACTAACGCAATGCTCGCTAATTCTCCGCGATAAAACAACACGCCCCCGTAATAGTCTCCAACGCCTACATACTCTCGACCGCTGGATCAAGTACTCCCCTCACCGCGTGTCGGTCGTAGGGGTCAGTGCGAACTGGTGAAGTGGACCATACTTCACCCAGGTCGGGTTACGACATCGCTCGCCACTGGCGTCTCCTGGCCGGGAATCCAACTCGGGGTGAGTTGGTCGGGCGCGGGGAGCGGAAGGGGGGGAGGGGGTCCAGATTCACCGCGCAGTTAGCCAACAACTCCACCACCGCTTCCCGGTTATACAACATGCTCCAGTACTCCCTCCTGAGCCATCGCGACTTTCAATACCCCCCTGGAGCCCCCCTGGAGCCCCCCTGGAACCCCCCTGGAGCCCCCCTCGTGCCCGGGACGCGAGACTCACGGTCCGGCTGCTCTCCCTCGCGCTACAGCGCTTCCGGGTCGTGGGGTCAGAGGTAGCCAAAGCACAACTTCCGCATTCCGATTGCATTATGGGAGGCGGGGGCCTTAGGTAGGGGAAGGGGCACGGGCTGTGGGGGAGGGGCTATTGGGGGGGGAGGGGCTATTAGGGGGAGGGGCTATTGCGGGGAGAGGCTATTGGTGGGGGAGGGGCTATTGGGGGCTATTGGGGGGAGGGGCTATTGGGGGGGAGGGGCTATTGGGGGGGAAGGGGCACGGGCTGTGGGGGAGGGGCTATTGGTGGGGGAGGGGCATGGGCTATTGGGGGGGTAGCACGGGCTGGGGGGGAGGGGCACGGGCTGGGGGGGAGGGGCTATTGGGGGGGAGCACGGGCTGGGGGGGAGGGGCACGGGCTGGGGGGGAGGGGCAGGGGCTGGGGGGAGGGGCTATTGGTGGGGGAGGGGCATGGGCTGAGGGGGAGGGGCACGGGCTGGGGGGGAGGGGCAGGGGCTGGGGGAGGGGCAGGGGCTGGGGGGAGGGGCTATTGGGGGGAGGAGCAGCGCGCGGCCTCATGTGGCCATGCGCGTCTCCGTGCTGTGGGCCCGCGTGGCCTCTGGGGCCTCGTTGCTGCTGCTGCTGCTGTTACTGCTGAGGGCGCGACTCCGACCCGAGCTCCGCGTCGAACGAGGCCCCGAGGGCCTCGAGGCCCCCGCGTTCCCGCCGGGCCCCGTGTCCCCGGTGGCGCCCGAGGAATCTCCCCGTAGCCCGGACCCCGCCGCCGCTATTCGCCGCCTGGTGCTGCGGATGAACGCGGAGCAGAGGCCGCGCAACGCGGGTGGCGCCCTGACGTGGCGTCCCGGCGGGCCCGTCGTGGTTGTGCAGGTCCACTCCCGCGCCGCGCACCTGCGCCTGCTCGTCGAGTCGCTCGGCGCCGTCCGGGGCATCGAGACGGCGCTGCTCGTCTTCAGTCCACGACGAGGTGTCGGAGGAGGTGGACGCGGTGGTGCGCGGGGTGCGCTTCTGCCAGGTGCTGCAGATCTTCTACCCGTTCAGCGCGCAGCTCCACGCGGCCTCCTTCCCGGGCCCGGACCCGCGCGACTGCCCCCGGAACGCGAGTCCCCTCGAAGCGCAGCGCCTGGGCTGCACCAACGCCGCGACCCCCGACCGCTTCGGCCACTACCGCGAGGCGGCCTTCACGCAGGCAAAGCACCACTGGTGGTGGAAGTTGCACTTCGTGTGGCGTGGATTACGGATGCTGCGGGGCCACCCGGGGCCCGTGCTGCTGCTGGAGGAGGACCACTTCGTGCTGCCCGACGCCCTGGCCCTACTCGCGTCCATGTGCGAGGTGCGCCGCCTCAACTGCGCCGACTGCGACCTGCTGAGCCTGGGCGTGCTCGGGCCCGCGGTCGGGGGGGCGGCAGCGGCGGCGGCGGCGGCGGCGGCGGCAGGGACAGAGGCGGTGGACGTGGCCCCGTGGCACTCGAGCCGCCACAACACGGGGATGGCCCTGATGCGCACGGGCTACGAGAAGCTGTCGCGGTGCGGCCGCGCATTCTGCACCTGCGACGACTACAACTGGGACTGGAGCGTGCAGCTCGCCAGCGTGGACTGCGTCCCGCGCGGGGCCATGCTGGTGCTGGCGACGCGGCTGCCTCGCGTCCTGCACACAGGCGGCGGCTGCGGGATGCACCACCACCGCGACTCGTGCGGCGTGCAGCAGGAGAGGGCGCACGCCATGCGCGTCTTGCGACAGATGGAGGGCGCTCTCTTCCCCGCCGCGCTCTCCATCCGGTCGAGGAACGAGGCGGCCGCCGTTCGGCCTCGACTCAACGGGGGGTGGGCTGACCCCCGTGACTGGGCGCTCTGTCTGAGCCAAGAGAATCGCACCACCTCGCCTCGAGTATTCCCTCCTCGCCGGCGAGATATCGGGCCCTTCTTCGTGATGTCGCCGGGACTTTTTTAGTTGGCATATCCGAGCCGGCGCGGGGCTCTCACAGTATGGATATCCACCGGCTATATTTGTAGAGCCAAAAGCAAAACGTTGGCTTCCCGAGACATTACGGCTAAGCAGGGCTATGGGTGCGGCAAATAACGCAGTCAGTAGACTGCAAGGACAGCACATCATAACTTCATCACGACACATTCAGTCCATCTGACATTCGCGGCACGACTTGGGTTTTGCCGTGGGAAAATAAACTGGCACTTTCTCAGCTGCTTAGCTTACTTGCAGTGGAAAAGAGGGAATAGGGTGTCCCACATGGCCCAAGTGAACACGAAGTGTGGGGGCTGCAGGAAGTGGTGCCTGGACCAGAGTCTTGTTTGGACTCACCCTCCATGGCAGCAGAACTTGTGGAACAGCCAAAGTGCGGCCTCATGGCTAGCAATGCGAACTCAACAAAGTGCAAACAGAAGCCATCGACCCAAAGCACAAGCAATGGATGTTGGGAATTGAGTAATCTGACGAGGGCTGGCTGACAGGAAAATTGTGATCCTTTCAAACTGGGCTCCACATATTTGAGTAAACATGAAGTTTCAACAAGCAGAGCTCGGTGTCTTCAGCAAACATGGAGTCATGGCATTATTATAAGACGAGCAGCGTTTTACAGGTTTAAGCATGTTTATTTAACCAGGTGCAAGTGAAGGGCACCAAGATTTCAAAATACAATTAAGTTAACAAATTAAGCAAATAAAAACAATGCAAAAATAACCAAATTACAGGAGCATCTATACAGAGCATATAGAGAACACCAGAAAATGATTAACAGTTTACGTGTGGGCTTGATGTATTTATTCAATATTAATATATGTATGTACGCTTTAGCAGCACATCCCATATAATATATTAAATTAATTTCCAAAATCTTTTTTGTGTTTGGCAGCTTGCAGTATGGGTTTCATTTTTACCAGATTCTTCCACATCCAGGAAATGTGAATTTAAATGCATCCGTTTTATGTTAATGTGCGCCACCTACAATATGTATGTAGAACTTATTTCGCACCGTACACAGCAGAGGTCGCAAACGGGTTTTGATTCCTTACCCGTACCCGGCCGCACCAGGATCGCAAACGGGTATGGGTTACCCGTACCCTACCTGATACCCGGCCGGGTACGGGTAGCCGGGTATCAGGTAGGGTACGGGTATCGGGTACCCGATTGCGACCTTCTGGTACACAGCCAACCGCGCTAATCGTAGGTGTGGAAGTACAGCTATGCAGAACGAGTGACTGCTTTTTGAGGACAAGGGACGGCTCAGGTCCACACGACAGCAGTGCAATTCGGAGTTGCGATTCTGTTTCCACATCATGATGCTCCCTTCTCCCTTGTTGCTTCATCTACATATCTTGTAGTTTACTGCAAAAAACAGAGGAGTACACGCACCATACAGTATGAGTACATGCATTCTTTATAGTACAAGTGGACATTTTCAATTCCCTATGTGCAGCGGTGGTGCTTTGCATAATCATGCCAAGCATAAACCGAGGGCCCCAAGTAACTCAAGAGGTCCTGGATTTATGAGAAAATAGGGATTCGCATACAAAGGACATTCAAATACTAAGAAACATAAGCTAAGCAACAAAGGCCAATACATTTATTTAATCGGTCTTTTCTGCAACTGTTCTCTTATTTCATGGATGTTTGTCTATATTTCTATGACATATATCTCTTATCTATCTCTTATCTCATGTCACGTGGATTGTATTTAAAGGAAAACATACTTTTAAAAATATGGTCATCAAGGGGCGAGCACTACCGCTGTATTTGTGGCATATAAATCAATCAAACATGTTAACTGCATGCAAGGTGGCAGGTGTATCATAATTGCAGCTCTCACCTGTCCTCCACAGTCCGGCTGGATGGGTAGTAAACTTTAAAGCTGAATTCACTCCGAGGGAAGGAGCCCTGGAATGCACATTACACATATGGGTTATGAAGAGGAATTCATATTTTGCCAAAGTAAATCGATGTGGCCATGGGTGTGGATAGGGCAGCATACCGGGTTGATGCACATGCACTCGGTGTTGGTGATGCTGAAGGGGTCGTACTTGTCGGCACACACGAGCAGGTCAGGAAGCGGGTAGAGGGACAGGGTATAGTCGTAGCCCCAGAACACAGGGCTGACAAACAGTGGCAATGATGACAGGTGGCCCTGGCTCACCAGTGTCTTCACAAACTACAACAAGGACACCCAAACACAAAAAAATACTGCAATCAGGAGAGGGCCCACTGAGAGCACATTTCCTTTGCAAGGGAGACCTGAGATAATGATTATAAACGTGAAGGTCGCAAAGATACTGCAACGCATTGCAAAGAGGAATTAAATGTCAGAAATTTCATTATTGAAATAATGCAACAGACAGCTAATACAATTAAGGGTGAAGATCATGATCAGGGATTGGAGGTTATAGATTGAAAGGTAAAAGACAAAGTTACGCACGTGGGTGGGGATATCCGTGCCAGGATTTGGAAAGCGCACGCAGTTCCGGCACATCTTGTTTACCAGATCCTCTCGGAATATCACCACCTCCTGTGTGCAGTACTGCAGCCTGTGAGACCACACGTCCATACCGGCTTGAACTGAATACCTGCCAACTATGCATTCTGAGGGTGAGGACACATGTGAATGAGTGTGGTGAATTTTGCAAGAGTTGTGGTGTGACTGGGAGTGGCTGTCACCTGCAAGGGTTTGTGGCAAAGATGGCGGAGGGCACACGTCTTCTGAACTCTGCCGTAATGTGATTGGCAAGCGGAGACCTTCATAAAAAAAATGTTAAATGTTACCCATACATAGTAATGTCTGCATTCATAAATCCATCCATAACTCCCATCACTTTACCCAATCAACTATATATTTAAACTTAACTCTTTAAACTTAACTCTAATGCTCAATCCCAAACCTCCAATTAAGCCTTGCACCAAGAAGCACCTCATTAAAGTCCTTGAACACTGTACAAGGCGGCAAGCTTGTTGCTTGTGCCATGTGTAGTACCTGGGCAGAATAGCTCCGGGCCCTGGATCCTCTGGTCCTGGAACAAACACGAATCGGCTGCTGCACACACACACACAAAGCACACATGCATGTATATATTTTCTTGTACATATATTGATAAATATGCTCAAGTAAAAACATTTCATTGAAAAAAAACACCACGGGCACAGGAAGCAAGCTCCACTCTGTTCTGGCTAAGCTGCTGGGGAAATGTTTGTTGGAACGGACCTACTATAAGATGGCACGTTGCACATCAAGACAAACAGGCGCCCCCCCAGCCCATGTGCATTAAGTAATTAGTTTACTTACGAGTAAACCTAGGCACTCGAGCCACTTAGGAGAATTCTTACTCAACAAATTAGTTTGATTTACCTTTCAAGAATGGAGGGAAACTCACAAATGATGTCGGCTAAACATTTCAGCGAATCTGTTAAGAAAAGAACATCACATGAAGGGCAGGGCAAAAATGAGTTAGAATCAATCTGCTTTGGTAGATGTATACGTGTAGCTTTCAGTGGAATATGTATGTGCTGTGTGTTCATGCACAATGCCAATACAGAGTGAGGACCTTTGTCAGCTCAACCTAGACAATATATTTCCATGGTGTCACCCCAAGTCTTGATATAAAAAAGGTCTGTTGTTGGACATATGTACACTACCCGTGGGTATGATCGTGGACGTGCATTATCTGCTGATCTGATGTTGGATGCGTGTGTGCTTTACCCTTGGGTCCGTTGTTAGAAGTGAATGTGCTACCAATGGGACTGATACTGGACAAGTGTGCACTACCTATAAGCACGGACGTATGGTTGCGGCCATAAGGAGCTGAGCTGAAGTTTCCACAGAATATGAAGCAAGTGGGTGGAGCACCCGAGTATCCTGCATGAAAGTGAAGACACAAGTCGAGTTAATTAAACAATAATGGCATGTCTACACAGCAAGATGAGTCAACATAATATTACCACCGTGGCACCACTCTCCATTATGTCACCGCTGTAATGTACACCCCACCATCATGAAGATGCTGATATACTTTGACAAACGTACATCCGACTCGAGTGTAAACAACACTAAGATATGCTAAAAGTGTACTTAGTCAATTGGAATTGCCGCTTTACGACTGCACAAAGAATAGCTTTCAATATACAACATTCAATAATGTGCAGTAACTGTGTATGGTCAACAATGTAGATTCAACCCTTAGCAGAGGAACTACACAAGTTACTATATTTATATGAATAACAATGAAGACTATGAAATGTACGGCACTCTCCGGATCATACATTTTTTTTACATCTATTTTAAAGCAAAATTTGGAGGTGTGCATCTTGTAATTTGTAGACGACATTGTGTCTTGCCAAAGATGTATTTTAATCTCATTCAGACGGTTCTCTATATCAATACATTACTACCCCGAGCACAGAATACCACCAGCTATTCAGAATAACCTTCCAAAAGACAACTGTCACTCGATTATACCCCACGAGAGGCCAGCTTTTTGTGATAACCAATATTTTTTGTTCATATTAAAAGCCGCTGCGCACACTGCCTGCATCTGATAGCACGTTCGGGAAGATGGCTCTCCGTAATACTATATTCTCCTGATTATAAAAGTTTTATTTTAAAATGTTCCTAAAGTTTGGGACGTGTCTTCCTCTCCAAACCATCTTCTAATCCAGAGAATAGGATAAGTGCCACCCTGCCGAGAGCTTTCAGCTGTAGCTCTGTTCTCCACAGATTGCGAGGGCTGTCCTACCAGTAAACATGAGCCTCAGCCGATCAAGGACGTCCGTGCGGTCGAGCCACACGTCCGAGACGAACACAAACATGGCGTCAGTATTGCGCTCCTCGATGTTGGCCAGCACTGCCGAGGCCTTCACACTCGTGAGCGACGGCCCCCCAAACAGGTTCACATCTCCAAAGTACGTCCTGCAGACACACACACACACCAGGTAGTGGTGAAGATACATCTCGAGGAGTGTGTGATATCATCTTCTTGGTTCTTTCGGTAAAGTCACGTAGAAGGGAAATAATAAAATTATAAAAATAAAACATTATAAAATTATTCTCACGATGTTTCGGCCACAACGCAAGCAGTCGTCCTCAGGTGAAGAACAGGTCTGTCGGAAAGACAGCGTCTGAAATATGACTTTACCGAAAGAACCAAGAAGATGAATCCCTGCAGTCACGAAAGCTTTAAATCGAGTGTGTGATAATTTCATCCGATCCAAATCTTGAACGTATCACAAACGTAACGTCATGCCCACACTGGTGGCAACCATTCCCACACCTGGATATCTTTGCCGCTTCCGTGGGAGGGAAGCCAACCGCGTTGACGTGAAACACCTCATCCTCGTACCAACCTGAAGGGCACACGTATTAAAACATCACGTACCTTCAATAAGGATTTAATAACATTTGACAATGTTCCAATGGAAAAATACACATCATAGTAATGCAGTAGTTTGCAATGGATTGTGCAGTTTTTGATTGGCAGGAAGGAACTTACCCTCAGCCAACACAAAGCAGGACTCCGTGTAGAGCCCACTGTGGAACTGGTGTGATACGTCAAGTCTTATTGCGGTGACAAAACGATGACATCAAATCCTTGCTTTAGCTGGCAAATTTAACAATTACATAATTGCACTTTCAAGTACGCGGAACCATAAAGCATTCATCATCAAAGATGAATGCTTAAAATTAATATTGGTGACTATGCATCAACAGTTTTATGGGTCGTTACTGGCTGCATTTTTAAAAGGATATGGCATTCTTGAGATCAAGCTGCACAGTCCCAGTGGGGTCTTCCAGGTAATACTTCCCCTGTAAAATGAAAGAGGAGAAAGTAGCTGGGGTGGTTTATACTTTCAACCAATAATAATGCAATTTGTAAAATACATCATATTTCAGACGTAAATTACTGGTAACTGAGCCACGGAATAACATGGACTCGATACAGCTGCGATGTCAACTTTTGACCACTAACCTCTTTGAGCTGGGTCAGCATTCCCAGCACAATGACCTCTCCCAACTGGGCAGTGCTGCCCTGAAGAAACTCCACTGTTTTCAGCTGCAACACACACATGCATCGTACAAGTACACAACAGAATCTATGTCAGTTTAACACGTAGGCTTTTCGCAACCAATATCATCCATAATAGAGGTTTTTGGGTTAGATCGCGTAAATATATAAATGTGTCGTTAAAACCCGCCACCACCCGACACAGCCAACTAGTAAGGGTTGTCACGTAAACAGAACGTGCCAATTCGTCACTAGTACAGCACAGCGGTGTGTTGGAGAGCCAAGCCACAACCTACAATCTGAGTACGACGTTTTGCCAGTAATTACAACTAATTACTGGCGAAACGTACTCAGATTGTGCTATACTAGTGACGAATTGGCATGTTCTGTTTAAGTGACAACCCTTACTAGTTGGCTGTATCGGGTGGTGGCGGGCTTTAACGACACATTTATATATTTACGCGATCTAACCCAAAAACCTCTATTATGGAGAAGCAATGTCATTCATGTACAGAGGTGCATATCTGCAATGCATGCAGACAGTGACCAACTTGTAAACGACCTTACATACATTATTTCAATTACTTTCAATACAAGGATGTTGGATTCTGGCTGTTGCAAAACTGTTATTAGTTTTGTCAATGCCCATTTGGTATTAAAACATTAAGAGTACCAATTCACTTGCTGTAGTAGTCTAAATGTTCAGTGTTTCTTGCTTCACTGCAGTTACACAAGCAGATCCCATGAAACTATGTACAAAGATGGATTTCAAGCAGTTCACCTGAAACTTGTTGCGTCCTTCCTCTGTGACTGATCCGACCACAGGAGGGGTGAAGAGGTCATGCCGGTGGGTCCGCTGCGACATCGGACAGCACAGAACCTCTAGTCATGCGACGGTGGAGCAGATCCAAGTAATGACTTGGATCACCAATTACATTCAGCATACAGAAATATGTGTGATAAAGACAACTGCAGTTGAATGTAAACCACAGCCTCAGAGGATTAATGATGCAGCAATGAGCAACTGTTACTGAGGTCACCTGCTGCAGGATGGCGTATCGCTCCCGGAAAACTGCAGCTTTGTCTCGAGGGGAGGCTATGAGGCATGGCGGAGGGTGGTTCGTCATCGCCAGCCTGTGGGGATGCACATATGCGTACACCCATTTAACTCACAGGACAATGATAAATGCTGCTTTAACATGAAACACGACTGCAATTTGCATGAGCCATAGATTGAATCATGAATATCCAATGCTATACTCTTTGGTTCTTTCGGTAAAGTCACGTAGGTATAAAATAAAATAAATCACGACGTTTCGGGCGCAACACAAGCGTCCATCATCAGCTTTCCCACGTGACTTTACCGAAAGCATCCATCATCACCACCTGATGGATGCTTGTGTTGCGCCCAAAACGTCGTGATTTATTTTATTTTCTACCTATGTGACTTTACCGAAAGAACCAAAGAGTATGGATTCCTGCAGTCACGAAGTTTCAAATCTAGATCCAATGCTATGTTTAATATTGTATCACCATGCAGGAATGTTGAGTGTCATTCTCACTAGATAAAAGTTTTGGCTTCGATATAAAAGCATGAAACATGTCTACTGAACAACATTTTTCTACAACAAGTAGTCATATTGGCACGTAAGAATCTGACGAAATAGGGTATTATATTCCAGTGGGTAGATGGTCGAATTGTGAGGAGTGTTGAAAACATTGATGCATAGGAAAGGTACAAAGGAATACAAAGAAACTAGTTACTCTACTCACGGTATCAACTTTTTCCTCTCGTGGTTGTAGATGAACCTCGGGATATCGAATGCACCGATGATGTTAAAAACATTCTCTCTGAAAAATAGAAAATCTGGTTCTTGACATCTGTAAAACTAAAGACAACCATAAAGACCAACAATGTGAGCCTTTTTAATGAGTGCCACAAAAATATCGGCATAAATCAACTAATAAAGAAGGTGAACCACTTATTTGCATTATTGTCAACCTGTAACTTTCAACTGCTGGGCAAAGGCCTCCTCAATTCTCCACCACGAAAGCAGTGGTTCTCAACCTTTTTGGAATTATAGCGCCCCCACCCTCCCCAATCAAGACAACTGGTCCCCCAAACCCACCCCCACCTTCCGCCCAGCAGGTTACTAAGGCGGCCATACACAGAGATCACATGTTCACAGCTCTAGTCAACGTGGTTAGTAAGGCATCAGAGGCTGTGAGACTTTCAAACCCTCCCCCTGGGGTGGTGCGACAGATGGCTTCAGAAGTGCTGCACCAAAGCGTGATGCCGGTGCTTGCTGCTGTGGAAGACGCAAGCAGTACATGTGGAGGCTTCTTACGATTCTTCTGGGCTCGACGATCTGCATTCCTGCACAGCTGCCTCCACCACTGCGAGCTCCACCATGCTGGACGCCACTGGAACGCACAAATACAGGGTCACTCGTCACACAAATCCCAACACATTAATCAATAACACTAATGAATACATATATAATAGGTGACGTTTTGGGTAATGGCCCTTCTTCACAGCACAAAGCGAGGCCAGAGAGAGTGGATACTAAAAACTACATTGTAAATTTTTTTTTCCTGATGAACAGTTTTTAAAGTGGCATAAGCTCAGGTATAGTTGCAATTTGCTCCACATGGGAGGTGCTGTGATGGAAAAGAGCTCAGGGTTCGATGAGGAGGAGCGACACATACGTGGTTGTCTCTGCACCGCGTCCACCACCTGCTCCAGCATGTTCTCCAACTCCACTGAGCCCATTCCTGCCAGGGCATTGCTCAGGAACTTCCGTGCCTCACTGAGTCACACACGCACCGGATATCTCGATGAGCCAGGCACCTCAGTGGGCCAGACACTTACACCTCAGTGACACACGCAGAGAGTCAATTCAGTGAGCCGCACAGCCAGACATCCCAGTGAGACACACATCCAGACATCTTGGTGAGCCACACACCAAGACAAAGACCCCCACCCCCCCCGTATAGCATGCACAGCCTGTTGGGGCAAGTGCTGTTACTGTGCGCCTATGAAGGCCGGCACGGCACACGAGGCGGTGGTAGCCATCACCTCGTCCAGGCCGCCTTCGTCTCCCAAGTGGCAACGTTTACACACCATACCAGGTATTCATTTGAGGCCTGATTCGACCTAGAGGAGGCCCAGGACCGGTTCAGATAACTATCACTGGTGTTGGGCATGAGCGGGAATCGAGCTCTGGTCGTTGGGTTCATAGCACAGCGCGCTAACCACTGCGCCACCGCTCCCCACCACACACCAACACCTCAATGACACACCCAACTCATTGAAGCCGAAATTTCAGTGGACCAGACAACTACATCTTAGGGGTCGTCCATAAATGACGATTTTTGACCCCCCCCCCCACCCCATTGTCACACGGCGTCACAAAAAGTCAGACCCCCCCTCAAATATGACGTCACAAAGCTCTGCCCCCCCCCCCCAAAAAAAAAACATGCTTCAAATCGCTTTAAACTATTGTCATTGTAGTGCGTATTTAATGCGGCGCTGCACTCCGATGTTGTAGGAGAAAACATTTATTAAAAGTCTATTTAATTAAGTAGAACGTGTTGTCTATATTTATTTAAAGTTGCGCATTTTGATGTGACGTCACATTTCTCAACCCCCCCCCCCCTCGTCACACATCGTCACAAATGTCTTGACCCCCCCCCCTAGGTGCGTGACGTCATTTATGGACGGCCCCTTAGTGAGATACACATCTAAGCCGCACAGATATCTGAGTTACAGGTTGACAACAGATACCTGAGTGAGCCACACACAGACGACTCAGTGAGCCACAGACGACTCAGTGAGCCACACAGACGACTCAGTGAGCCACAGACAGACGACTCAGTGAGCCACACAGACGACTCAGTGAGCCACACAGACGACTCAGTGAGCCACAGACAGACGACTCAGTGAGCCACACAGACGACTCAGTGAGCCACTACAGACGACTCAGTGAGCCACAGACGACTCAGTGAGCCACACAGACGACTCAGTGAGTCACAGACGACTCAGTGAGCCACACAGACGACTCAGTGAGCCACACAGACGACTCAGTGAGCCACACAGACGACTCAGTGAGCCACAGACGACTCAGTGAGCCACACAGACGACTCAGTGAGTCACAGACGACTCAGTGAGCCACACAGACGACTCAGTGAGCCACACAGACGACTCAGTGAGCCACACAGACTCAGTGAGCCACAGACGACTCAGTGAGCCACAGACGACTCAGTGAGCCACAGACGACTCAGTGAGCCACATGAACAACTCAATAACTCACACACAAGACAACTTAGTGGGCCACACACAGCTCAAAGAGCCAGACATTTGAGTGAGCCAGACACCTACATCTCAGCGAGACACAAACCAAGACAACTTAAGTAAGCCGCACGTGTCCGTGAGCCCAACACAGACAACTTTGCGAGCCACACATCTCATTTGAGCCACACACACACAGACACACACACACAGACACGCGTTACAATCAGGTTGCGTTATACAGCACTAGCGCACTGGGAAGTTTGAACGGCGAGAAGACGAGGGCGAAACGGTGACAACGACGGGGAAAGAAGCGTGCTAGGGATGAGCAGTGAGGGGTGAGCAGTGAGGGGTGAGCAGTGAGGGGTGAGGAATGGGGAGAGGAACGCGCCTGCGGAGCATGAGGCCGTGCATCTTGAAGGCCGCCGCCACAGTGCGCGCCGCAGCCGCCACCGCAGCCGCTCCGCTCGCCTCGCTCATCGCCATCTTCGCGCCTTCCCGCCAAAACTCGAGAGGGAGGGGCGAGGGAGGGGGAGGAGGGGCGAGGGGGGAAGAGGGGGGAAGAGGGAGGGGGAAGGAGAGGGGAGGAGGGAGGGGGAAGGAGGGAGGGGGAGGAAGGGGAGGGGCGAGGGAGGGGGGAGGCGGGGTGGAGAGGGGGGGCTAGGGTGGGGGAGGAGGGAGGGGGGAGAGGAGAGGGAGGGGCGAGGGAGGGGGAGGAGGGGCGAGGGGGGAAGAGGGGGGAAGAGGGAGGGGGAAGGAGAGGGGAGGAGGGAGGGGGCAGGAGGGAGGGGGAGGAAGGGGAGGGGCGAGGGAGGGGGGAGGCGGGGTGGAGAGGGGGGGCTAGGGTGGGGGAGGAGGGAGGGGGGAGAGGAGAGGGAGGGGCGAGGGAGGGGGAGGAGGGGCGAGGGGGGAAGAGGGGGGAAGAGGGAGGGGGAAGGAGAGGGGAGGAGGGAGGGGGCAGGAGGGAGGGGGAGGAAGGGGAGGGGCGAGGGAGGGGGGAGGCGGGGTGGAGAGGGGGGGCTAGGGTGGGGGAGGAGGGAGGGGGGGAGAGGAGAGGGAGGGGCGAGGGTGGGGGAGGAGGGGCGAGGGAGGGGGGAGGCGGGGTGGAGAGGGGGGGCTAGGGTGGGGGAGGGGGCCGAGGGGGAGGGAGGAGAGAGAGAGGGGAAGAGGAGAGGGAGGGGGTGGAGAGGATGGCCTCTGGTGTGTTGTTTTTATTTTTCGTCCTGCTGGGAAATGTGTTGGCTCTGAATCTTGGAGGCTCTGTCCTGGACTGAACCTTGTTGGCTTAAGGGGAGTGCAGGTTTTTCCTTCCTTGAAAATGTCACTGGCGTGGGAGAGAGAAAACCCCGCCCGGTTTATTTACTTCCTGATGCTCAAAACTAAATTTGATTTTCCCTCTGTCAACAGAGAGCATTGCTTGTTATCTTTTGCGCCCAATCTTTTTGTACTGATGTAAACAAAACAAACCCCCCCCCCAATCTCACAGCACAAATCCTTTGCTGAATTTAACTTTGGGATAATTGGACAGTAAATTCAAGACGTTAACTTCAAGATGGCGCATTCAAGTGTGCATACGGACATGCTATGTAAAATGTTTTCCTTAATTGGCCGCGCTACGATATTGTCACTTTCTGACATTCGTGCAATTTCTGGTAGAAGTGTTCCCGTTGTGACCCATTTCTGCACTCCACCATATGATAAACAACCTTGTTTTCAGTTTTGAGCATCTCAAATGGGTTAGTATTTAAAGAAGATGGAACCGATGAAAACCTGGCAAGTGGTGAAATTTAAACATTGGAAAATGACTTGATGCGCTAGGTTGACATCAAAGACTTTGGTAGTGGTGACCTCTATAATAATGTGTCTTGCTGCAGTCACGGAAGCTTCAGAAGTGACATTCAAACGGTGAATTGTTTTTGCATTGCCGCAAGCAGCGGTTCAGCTGGACACTGTAACAACAGCGATATAAATATCTGTGAAGCATGTAATGTAACCTCACGATAAAGAAGAACCCCTGGATTAATGCACCTGTGTTGTACAATGCAATACTTGTAGAGCCGAATTAACACTGATATATTAAATGTAATGGTCTACTTATAAATTCTGTTTGAAGTTGGCTAAAAATCGGTGACTAGCAAATCAATATTAGGTGAATTGTAAAAAAAAAAATCCTCTTCGGATCGAACACATGGAGGGCACTTATTTCGGAGGATTCAATCCTATGGTGGTGGTGTTAATGGGTTGCTGTGTAATTCATGGAACAGACCATATCCTTCTTTGGACATAGGAAATTAAATTAAACAAGCATCTTCGTTAAATTGTATTATTTATGAAACCTAATTTTTCATGGAGCAAGAAAAAAGTTATACATTTTAAAGCCATAGAAAAATTTAACAATATACAGTGTAAAGTGTGGAAGAGTAGGCCAAAAACCCTCTAAACAGGCTCGAGGGCTTTCTCCAGTGGAGCTTCGTCCACCAGCATTGGTATAAGCAGGGAATTGCAGCCCTGCACCATTACCACTGCATGAATCCAGAGCATTCCTCATTTTCTGATAAACACAGCCCTGGATTAATGGCCAAATAATGCGTTACATTCTTCTGAATATTTATTTTCTCTCTCTCCTCGTCAGCCGATTCATAGATTATAGAAACCTCTCGCTAAACCCATGGCAGTGCTCTTGATATATGTGTACCGGCGACATTTATTCCCACAGCATTCACCAGTGGTGGGCTTGATTAGCCCTGTTCCATGTGGGTGGCTCTTAAGGTGTCTTTGTTTTCGAGAATCTGTTATTTTTTCCGGAGTTTCTAAAGACGTGGGACATTTGAATTGCTTAAAATGTGTAAGCAGCCGTTTTTGCGAATGTTTGTTCTGGCATCAGATGGATATAAACAACAGCAGAAAGAGACAAGGTTTTAATGTTCTATTAGGTCTCGTCTTTTCCTACGGTATTTGCATTTGTTTTAAATGTCCATGTGCAGTCACACCTCTATAATCTGACTGGTTCTCTCTCGCAGGCTTTGGGTTGCAATGCATTATTCTTAAGGTTTTGCTTAATTTGGCAGCGGGATTGTTAGTGCAGGTTGTTATAAAGTAAAGTAATCCATTCCACAAAATGTAATTAGAAACGTAACATTGTTTCTAAACTCCGCTTGATTGTAGGAGTGCGACTGCATCAGAGTAACGAGCTTGCGATGTGTGTGGGGAAAATAAGGTACTGTTAATTCAATACAAGATCAATTGTGTAGCTAGATTGCAAGTGGTTAATGGATTAAACTCTTTACGGAAACTCAAAAAAAAAATAAAAAAAAAAGGGAGGAGAAGGGGGAGGAGAGGGAGGGAGAGGGGGGGCTAGGGGGGGAGAGGAGGTGGGGGCTAGGGAGAGGGAGGGGGGGCGCTGGTGGGGGAGGATGGGAGAAGGGGGGGGGGGCTAGGGAGGGGTGGAGGCGCAGGTGGGGGAGGATGGGAGGAGAGGGGGGTGGAAGAGAGAGGAGCACGCACACCGTGCACGCAGCACGCACACGGTGCACACAGCACAACGTTGTCCCACGCCCGACCGCAGTGCCGCATATTGATGAATGCAAACCGCACATAGTGAATTTTGTATTTCAATTTTAGCCTCACATACGCGAAATATACACAAACTGAACCCGCACACAGCGAAGGAAATCTGTAATAGGTAACACAGTTAATGAGACAAAACGCTCCCTTCCCATATATCCTTCCACACAAAAAAGCGAAATTATTTCGTACACATCACATCAGCATTTGTATTACTGGTACTCTCCACAACAACGCAAATGATAAATGTATTTGCCATAGTGCTGTAGCCGAGGCCAGGCTAACGCAGGGGGCCAATAGTAGGGGCCTCAAGCAGCGCCCTTTGATTTTAAAGGAGCCACCCCAACATATAAATACTTCCATATTTTGAGAGATTTTTTGGGTTAGATCGCGTAAATATATAAATGTGTCGTTAAAACCCTCCACCACCCGACACAGCCAACTAGTAAGGGTTGTCACGTAAACAGAACGTGGCCAATTCGTCACTAGTACAGCACCGGTGTGTAGTGTATAGTGTGTAGTGCAGTGTATAGTGTAGTGTATAGTATATAGTGTAGTACACCGGTGTGTTGGAGAGCCAAGCCACAACATTTACAATCCGAGTACGACGTTTCGCCAGTAATTACAACTAGCTTCATCAGGCGACAGCCAGATTTGTGGGAAAGTCTGACTGTTTCGTTCCTTAGGGGCCGTCCATAAATGACGTCACGCACCTGGGGGGGGGGTCAGACATTTGTAACGATGTGTGACGAGTGGGGTGGGGGGGTTGAGAAATGTGACGTCACATTAAAATGCCCAACTTTAAAAAAAAGCATAGACAACACGTTCTACTTAACTAAATATACTTTTGAATAAATGTTTTCTCCTACAACATCAGAGTGCAGCGCCACATTAAATGCGCGCTACAATGACAATAGTTTAAAGCGATTTTAAGTATGTTTTATATATATATTTTTTGGGGGGGGGCAGAGCTTTGTGACGTCATATTAGAGGGGGGGTCAAAAATCGTGTGACGTCATTTATGGACGGCCCCTTATATCGAGGCGTAGAATGTGTTGACCATGCTTACTGAGTCAACGTACAATAGTTGTACATTATGCATGCGCATTATGCGAGCCCTTTGATCTTGTCCTTCCTGTCTATTGGGTGTATTAAAATAGCCGTACCAACGCTAATCCCTATTGAAGTATGCTGCCATTTATAGGCATGCATTTAAAACATTTTGTGGCTTGGCTCTCCAACACACCGGGTGTGCTGTACTAGTGACGAATTGGCCACGTTCTGTTTACGTGATAGCCCTTACTAGTTGGCTGTGTCGGGTGGTGGAGGGTTTCAGCGACACATTTATATATTTACGCGATCTAACCCAAAAAACCTCTAATATGGATATTGGTCGCGAAAGCTTACGTGTTAAATATAAATACTTGTCTTCATTTACAATGGTTCAAATACGACACTGTTAACGTTCACGTTTACCTGTTTAACCAGGCTAAAACTCGAGAGAGAGATGATGATAGTCTCGTTTGCAAAGAGTGACCCGGGTCGCCAACCCAGTGACCACATGCAACGTTGGGCCAGTGTTACTGGTAGGAACCACCTGATTCCACCAGCCCACAGGGGATTATCGTCCGTCCATCCAAAAATGGGAGGAGTGGGGCTGGGTGGAGAGGGGAGGGTGGGGAGGGGCTGGGTGGGGAGGGGCTGGGTGGGGAGGGGCTGGGTGGGGAGGGGCTGGGTGGGGAGGGTGGGGCTGTGTGGGGAGGGGCTGGTCACCCCGTGGTGCCCTTATAAAACTCAACGTTTAACCTACTCACGCCGGCTTGTGCCCGCCCTCACAGTCGGGCATATTTGCGGAATACACCACGCCGCCGTTGACCCTGGCCATTGACCGAGCAACCCAACGTTCCTACCAGTTCCCTCCGCAGGAATGTGTTAGCATGTGGTTGGAAACATTGGCTCAATGCTCTATATCTTACTGGGATAATTATAAAAAGCAATACCGTTCAGCAATGAAGCACATAGAAATGACGGCAACATTAACTGTATTGCATGAACAATCTAAAAGGCTGCCCAAACATAAATCAATACAAAGGAAATACATTTCCTGTAATATATGACTCACCCGAGATGTATCAAACGCTATAAATGCTATCATGTCATTTGGCAACTAAAGTCGTAGGATGCACTGTGTATTAGAACCAGTGTTGGGCCAAAATAAAAGGCGTTCATATGTACATACCTAAGATGTACGGTGACTAACTATAAAATAAATACATCTTGGATGTTTATAAATTAAATGTGGCACAAAGACTTCAGACATCAGAAAGGAGCAGTGATCGGCAGGGCCACATGCGCAGTCACCCAGAAGTCAGCCACCTCGAGTCAAATAGTGGTGATGATAAAACTGGAACAGTGCTTGGAAGTCCACGGAAGTTGGGTGTCAACTTTACAACTTTCTAGATTTGAAGCTTTCTTGACTGCTAGAATTCATACTCTTTGGGGTTTTTTTTCGGTGAAGTCATATAGGTAAAACATTTAATTAAATCTAAATAAATCACGTTTCGGGCGCAACACAAGCGGTTGTGCTTTCGCTACGTTGTCCCCACCTGAAGAAGGACGCTTGTGTTGTGCCCGAAACGTCGTGATTTAATTTAGTTGTTTTCATTTTATTTTTTACCTACGTGACTTTATCGAAAAAAACAACTTTACAACGACCACGGAAACGTGTCATCAGCAATGGCGAGTTGCGACCACATCCAAAGCATTGGCTCTGGTGACCTGATCCCGTGCTGATTCTATGCATTATACACGTTGCAGTGAGAGCGTGTTATTAATCCAGTGTCCATCGGTCTATGCTTGACATTAAGTGAGGAAACCATGAACAGCGTATACCTTAATATACTAATAGGGTTTTTCCCCTTTTTTCTGGCAACAAAACTGACACCTTTTGCAAGGAATCATGCTTACATTAACCACAATACCTGCAGTCAAATGCAAACAAAAAACAATACTCTGATTATCAGAGTATTGTTTTTTGTTTGCATTTGACTGCAGGTATTGTGGTTAATGTAAGCATGATTCCTTGCAAAAGGTGTCAGTTTTGTTGCCAGAAAAAAAAGGGGAAAAACCCTATTAGTATATTTTGGTACTGGCAAAGGAGATCCCATGATGTAGCGTATACCTTGGTTATCGTCTCCAATTACAGAGGTTGTGAGAAGGGGAAACTTTAGGCAGACATAACACGCGAATAACCCTTTCGCCACATCACATGACTATACCTAACGATCGTTTTAAATGTAGTCATTATGAAGCGCTTAAAATATTGTCATTAAATACATCATCCATCCGTGTTGTCATTGAAGCGTACACTAGGGGATATCGATAATTGTGCGGAGCAGCAGGAGGAAACTTGATGATGTATCAACTTCAAAACATGAGACACACAAAAGTTCTAAATGTACAGTAATATTTTATTCCTGCATTCAACAGCCTTGTTAACAGTGTGTAGACTTGGCGATGACAGTAAAATTAGGATTCTGCATTCTATACAATCCATTATTGCGTATGGCAATGTTCAAGAGCTAAATGCCAACGTTGGGAACGGCTTAGCCATGAGAGCGTCAGGCTAGAGTTCATATAGTTTTGCCATTCCTCCGTTAAAAGAACCATAGGTCACAGAGTACAGTATGGTCCATAGAATGGGTTTCATGATCACAATTGCACTGTGGATTGTCTTTATTAAATCCTTTATATTAATTTCGCTTGCTTGCGTGCTTGCATGCTTGCTTGCTTACGACCGTGCAAATCTTTCGGTCGTTTTTTAACCCATTTCCCGTGATCCAATCGAGCTGACATTTTGCACACAGACTCGTTGTGCGAGACAATTAATGTTCGTGAAAATTTTTTTCCAAAATTTTACACTGTTTAGGGAAAACAAATTAAATATTTAATTACCAATTGCTTAATACTGGCAGACAATCATCTGACCCATAGGTGGCAGCCATCTCAAGCCAGAGGACGAGAGGACTCTAGCCGCCACGCATATAAAGGATTTATAGTGAAAAACTTTGTTTTTACGGGTTATACTTATTTTTACAATGACATGGATGTGTGCATCAATCTGTTGATGTTCTGGAACAACCTCGTTTCCTCCCTTAATATCATACACATCTTCCTTCAAGAAATATTCTGAAGGAGATAAGTACTGGATACAGCCACATTTGCAAATTTGATTTGTAAATTGTATTCTTTACAATGTATCAACAGTTACATATTAATGTACAATTTGAGTGACTGTGCAACATCGTGGTGTGGTTTGGGACTGTTTTTGCTGCTTTTTACTGCCTTTCCCAAACTTGGGAATTTATGTACCAATGCAATTCGAACTTAAATACTTTATTTATCTTTTATTTAAGGAGCGCCACGATGGTGTGATGTTCTTCCTCGCCTGGTATGCAGGTCGGGGGTTTGATCCCTACCCTGACACCTGTATATTTGGGGTTTGCACGTGTAATCTTATTTGTATTTTTGTATTTTAAGATTGTTTAATACGGCTAATTAACATTTTACATTCGCATTTTATAAGGTCTACTTATTCATAATTTTAAAGATTTTAGCCCTTTGGTATTACCTATACTTTGTAACGTTAGTATAGTTAGAGTGTATACCTTTTATATAAGTTAAGATTCCTACTTGTTCAATGTATGCACCGTCCCGCCATAGTGAATTCCTTGTTTGTGCAAACTTACATGGCGATTAAAACCGTTTCTGATTCTGATTCTGATTCCCCGTGGTCGCGTGGATTTTTCTCTCCGGGTTCTCTGGTTTTTTCCTCATTTAGAAACATGCATTTAAATTAAATTTTGCTGCTACCAATTTCCACATAAGCCACTTTGTCGAGCTATCATTTCTGGCCAAGTTACTTCTGAAACAGAAGCTAATAGCTCAGTGGGCTTTACCTAGCAAGAAAAAAATACTTTAGTTTTATTTGTCTATATTTTTGGAAGTGATTTGTTTACATTTCCAATATTTTGCATTCCTATTCTGTTTATGCACTGTTGTTGTACCGTTCTAACCTGCCCCTACTGGACATCTATATAAAAAAGAGCTTTATAGCTAATCGGATTCCTCTGGTATAAATAATCTGATGTGGTTGATGGTCATACCAGTGTCTTCAAGCAATGTTAAAGCCAGGTGCGATGTCTGGGTCTTGAATCAAGTGTTTATTCTGGACTTCTCTGTTGTTCCACTGTGTTCGCGAGCATTCTTCGGGATATTGGTGATTCTACGGTGACAGCGCGATCAGCGGCACGATATATTTTAGAGGTTCTGGACCAGGTTGGAACGCTATATTCTGCCGCTGAGTAATTCAGTGATAGGGGAGAAATTTGCAGCACATCAGCTGACGCACCCTAGGTCGTTCCTGCAAGTTTGCCAATGCTAACAGTTGAAATTATTTTATTGGAGGCATATTTATTTCGCTGACAGCTCTAACCAAATCCTTCCAAAGCCATCTCTCCATGATTGTTCAGGCGTAAAGTGCTTGTGGTGGTTTTCTAAGGATTTGGTCGGAGCCTTCAGTCACAGAAATATTCCTCCAATAAAATTTAGATTAGCTTTAAAAAGTAATGGCGATCTTCTCGAGGTTTTTACCCTGTGTCGGCTTGGCACTGGCTCGCAAATGCAGGGTGTGGCACTACTGCCGACTTATTTAGTTGACTGCGGGCTGCACATGTGAACTTGGGCGCACGTGCCCCTGTGATTGTGAGCATGTATGTACATGATTGCATGTAGGCGCTTCAGGAACCAGAGGCTGGGCCCCCTGTGCGTTGAAGAAGGCGGCTGCTCAGGTGGCGAGGAAGCGCCCCCCACTGAGTACAGAGTAGTTCCCGATGGCGCGCCACGGCGTCCACGCTCAGCCTGTATGCACACACGCACGTCACCCTGTGTAGCCCAGGCAAGGCTTGCTGGAGCTCCAACTCTATATTGGTAGTTCCCAACCTTTTGTGTGTCATGTACCCTCTTACCAAATCTATCGACGAGCTATCTGTGTACCCCTACCAACATGTATGTGAAATAATATATTAACTAGTCGGATTATTTATTTTTAGACTGGAAACAATCGAAAAATCACATTCTAATTACATTTACTATAATTATCTAACATTTAATAAATAAATTTCCCGAAAATACTAAAAACAGCTATGAACATACCATTGCACACGCACAAAGCAGCTCCACTGAGTAACCCCAAATGACCATACCCCACTACCATCGCACTGTCTCCATAACACCCCCCCCACCCCCCAGACTTCACGAGTACTCCCAGGGATAGGTGTACTGTAGGCTCTGCGCGAAAATCTAAGTAAAGCGTTTCATAGAGGCCCTCACCCAGGACATTCAAACATGATGCCCAGTTTACAAATGAAAATGTATGATCTTGATTTGAAGCTTTCGTGACTGCAGGAATCCATACTCTTTGGTTCTTTCGGTAAAGTCGGGTCTATTTCAGCAGTTTCCCTGCTGTGATTGTCTCACCTGATGACGGTCGCTTGTGTTGCCATCGAAACGTCGTGATCTATTATTTTAATTTTTTCTACCTACGTGACTTTACCGAAAGAACCAAAGAGTATGGAAATGTATGGTTCACTGAAACTCCAAAGACGGATGCCAGATTATATGCTGGAGTTTCCTTGGCACATACCGTTGGATCAACTGGAATAAACGTATGACCACCAAGTACCTCAATAATGTAATGCATTTGAACCCTCACTTCAGCTGTGAAGTGTTTTTCATAACCATTACACATTTGACATCACACGACCTTACCGTAGAAGAGACTTTGGCTGAATACAAAACACCAACACATCGTTCTTATGGCCCTGAAAAAGGAAAACGGCAGTTAAAACTCAAGTTAACGGCAGGTTCATTTGAAAAGCATGATCGACTGTTGACGATGCTGAAATAAGCATCAGACATTATCCACTGCTGGATGAAGGCCTCCTCGAGTCATCATTCCTCAGTCTTGCGATGCAACAAATGCATATTGCTCCTGCTATGTGAGTGAGACATGAATTCAACATTTTCGTCAATAACACTCTGTGGTGTTAAAAGGAAAAATATACAATCGGTGACATTTCAGGCAATGGCCCTTCTTCATATCAGATAAACAGAAAGGCTGCAAGAGATAAAGTAGATAAGACTGGGATACTGCACTGTACACCATGGGGATTGATTGAGAATCATATTTTTTTTAATGTGTTTTTTTTGGTTTGATGATGAAGTGAGTGATTAGGTGGGTGTGCAGCTTCATGAGTGTATGGACCAGCTTGCGATCTTACAGACATCTCTCCTGCAAGCAGGTTGTTGGAGCAGCCCCCAAACACCAGCACCTCGCCTTCCTCGCTCAAGGTTGCCGTGTGCCACAGCCTGCAACGCGCGTGGACACACACCCACTGCGTTTAATCCCCTTGCACGGGCCTCGCACACACTTGAGCACGGCGCAATGTCACGACACAGGGTGCACAAGTGTGGGGCAGTGGACCTCGGTCTGTCGGGAGGGATGTGGGAGAGCTTCCGCCACTCCTGGCTCTTCACACTGTAAATCCAACCGTCCCCTGCAACCAGCACCACAAAAAGTGACATTATTAGTTAATGGACATGATTTGGCAGCAGTGTCAGTTCAATCACGTGGACATATTTTCTATTGATCTTGATGTGAGTTCAACTGTCAATATGTTTTGAAAGCTTTGAAACCTTAGCACATTTTGTTAAAAAAAAATCCTTTCAATTTTCTCAAATCAAAATATTGTATTGGCCTATCATGGCCGACCAGCTCTGAACCAATTCCTCAACCACATCAATTCCATACACCCAGCCATCAAATTCACCATAGAGGTGGAAAAGGATGTCAAATTGCCATTCTTGGATATTTTAATCGAAAAGAGACCAGATTACTCAATGGGACACTGTCTACAGGAAAGCCACCCATACGGATGCCTATCTAAAACCTGACTCCCACCACCATCCATCCCAGAAGAATCCTCTCATCAAAACTCTACACCATAGAGTTTGATGTATTTCCAACCATCACCTAGCCAGTGAACTGGAACACGTACACCAAACTCTCAAGTTGAATGGATATTTAGACTACACAATCCGTAAAGCTATCACCCCTACCGTTGGGAAAGAACCATCTGAGGACCCAATCAAAACCATCACCTTGCCATACATAGCAGGGGTCACCAAAAATATTTCCAAAATTATGAGCAAACACAAGATCCAGGTTCAATTTAACACAGTACATAAAATTCGTGATCTGATCCCATCTTCGAAGGATGTGATCCCTGACATGCAATACTCCAGCGTCTACAAACTAAGCTATGTCTGCGGCAGTAGTTACATTGGGGAAACTAAGCGACATGTTTCGGACCGTGTTCGTGAACATAAGGCAGATCTGAAACACGGTAGCACCAATACCTCGGCTGTTTCTGATCATTGTTTTAATGCGATGGGCTCACACGAAATTGATTTCTCTAAGACGAAGGTACTTTGCAAACCTACTGGATATGCATAAAAATTCGTTCATGAAGCCATCCATATATAGACACAGACACAATTTCAACCGAGAAGATGGGTACAAACTGAGCAATCATTTGAAGGACGTTATCAACCAGTTTGAGTCATAACTGGCTGTGATGTTCCCATCCTGCCACCTTCCGATGTTAGTTGTTATTTTCTGCTCTCCGATTTTACATTAACAGGCTAAATTTCTCACACTTACACAGCCACCTTTGCGCACCGACCTAGGGGTTGCGGCTCTGCGATCTGCCATTAACATGCTAATCTCTCACATTAATATAGCCACCTCAGCGCGCTCGCTGTGGAGGCCGCTCACCGATCTTACATTAACATGCTAATTTCTACCTGGCAGCTTTTCAATTGGTGGAAAACCCACCACCGTCGCGGTCGCCGCCCACCACTTACATTAACATTAGCTGCCCCGCCCATGCTGCTGACATTTGGGCAATGCCCATTTCAAACCTTTATAAACAGTTTGCGTTTGACCACTTGTGTTGCGATCGAAACGTCGTAGTTTTTTATGATTTTCTTTGAACCTATCTACGTGACTTTACTGAAAGACCCAAAGAATACCAAAAGCAGTTGTACTCTTTGAGAAAACAAGAGACAAATATACATACTTTACTAGAATTAGGTTATTTTGAGACAGGTCAGATGCACAGATTGTTTTCTCAGTCAGATAACAAGACTGCCCATCTCTACAGCCAAACAAAACAGTAACACTCAAGAAGCACAATCTTTAACAGCACAGATGTGCCTGTTTCAACATGACTGTAAGGGGGTACCAATTTGTTCTTGTGGTCAAATTGTGGTGAATATCAGTGATAAATATCTGAACCAGTCCTGGGCCTTCCCTAGATTGACTCAGCTTTAATTGAGTACCTGGTGTGGTGTGTAAACATCACCACTGGGGAAACAAAGGTTGCCGGGCATGGTGGTCACCCATCGTATTGTATGCCAAGCAAACAGCACTTTTCCCAACAGTCTGTTAAAGGCTATATGGGGAGGTTTTTAATCTTCATATGGGGAGTACCAAGAGGTTGACGCTCCGTCGTGAAGCCACCGTAGAGGAAGAGCTGGTCATCCGAGGCTGCCGTGAGTGTGTGCCATGATCGGCCTAGCGGCACTTCTCCTCTGACTGCTATTCTGCATCAACCACACAACACAACCACATGTACACTACACTCACACGACCACACCATGCAAAGTCCTCCATAGCTGCTTACGCAGTAGCAAGCATAACAAAAAGCACACGATCCCAACGTGGTGCTTCGATCAACAGGCTTCAGGTTGTGAGCGAGTGTGCAATCAACGTACGGGCCGCTCCATGCCCAGTTGTCCAGGTTCAGGTAGTGCAAGTCATTCATCCGAGCCCCCTAGTCACGCAGAGATACACACAAACACGTACACTGTTTAAATTTCGATTTAAAGCTTTCATGACTGCAGGGATTCATCTTCTTGGTTCTTTCAGTAAAAGTCACGTAGAAGGGAAATAATAAAATAAAAATAAAACATAATAAAATACAATTCTCACGACGTTTTCGCCACAACGCAAGCAGCCGTCCTCACGTTTCGGCCACAACACAAGATGCTGTCTTTCCAACAGCCCTGTTCTTCACCTGACGGCTGCTTGAGTTGTGGCCGAAACGTCGTGAGAATTGTATTTTATTATGTTTTATTTTCATTATTTTATTATTTCCCTTCTACGTGACTTTATCGAAAGAACCAAGAAGACGTACACTGTTTACCTAAAAATATTGCATAACAGTGCTTTCACACGCACGCACTGGTATTCTCCCATCCATGAACCACATACGAGGTTATGCTGGCGTTATCCAATAAAGATCCTCGCACCTACCAGGTAGCGGCCTCCAAAAAGGTAGCCCCGGTTGCCGTGGGTGGCACAGGCATGTGCCGCGCGAGGAAGTGGTGGCGTGCCCTGTATGGAAAAGTACGTAACATATCGACTACGAAACACACATCTACACAAATAATTTCAACACGCTGCACAGGATTCGCTCACTCACAAAGAGAGAGAGAGAATGGCTGAGAGGCACGAGGAGGAACGACAGACGAGCGGAAGAAGACAGGCGGTGCGCCGGTGCCAAATCCCCCCACCCAACCTATAAGCTCTGCGTTCCTCTATATGTCAAGGTGTTATCTGCAATTAAAAAGATTACACGAAGGCGGAAATGGAAAATACTGTGATTTACACACGTAAAAGGCATATTTGTGCTACCATATTTGACGTACTGCTGACTTACAGTCGTGAGCGGTTGACTCCAACTGTATGTTTCCAGGTCGAAAATGTGCACATGATTATTCCAGCCTCTGGAAACATTTGGCCCCTGGAAGGTTTTGAGGGTGGAAAACAACAGAATACAAATTTAATGCCCGAGTAACATTCCATATGAACAGGAAACACGGCAGTGTCTGTGAACTGCAGCTTGATTTCATTGAGGATGTGGCGCCGTGAAATCAAAGAAGCCACGGCTATTGAAGGCATTGGGCCACACTGCAGAGACACGCACCCACAGGGAGGTTTCGTCAAACTCGAAGGTCCCTCGATGAGCCTCGCGGGGCTGGTATCCATAACCGCCGAAAAATACGAGCCTGGTGAAGACAACGCACGTGCCGACAAAGTCATGGTCACAATTCTGTAGCGGGCACACACGTAAAATAGGAATAGGGTCAGAGATCTTTGACACGTCGGCTTTCGCGACCAATATTATCCATAATAGAGGTTTTTCGGGTTAGATCGCATAAAGTGTGTCGTTAAACCCACCACCACCCAGCACAGCCAATTACTAAGGTTTGTCACATCTACAATGACAATTAGTGACTAGTTCCACACACCGTTGTGTTGGGAGAGTAAACCGACAACATTCAGAGGCAGCTTGCAGTATCATAGATGGCCTAGCTACTTCAGTGGGCTAATATTGTGCCAGAGTTGCGTTGCCATTTTTATCTCATATGACGCTGATAGCAGTTGAAATTGGGACGATAAACAATTATAAAAAAGAAGAGTGAATACCTTTGCGAATATCCGATACTATTGGTAGTAAAAATGAAGGCAAACTAAATAGCTACAAACACTCCAGACTAAACTGTCAGAACTGTATAATACATTATGCGTGTATATAGCGGCATTCATGCAGAGTTTCTCAGGGTGCTTTGCAATAAAATAAAACTGTGATGATAATAAAAACCACGGGCAAATAAATATAGTTCAAGCAAAAGCTAACGCAAGCAGATATGTGTTTTGTATTTGTTCGAGCTGGTTGTTGGTCTTCTGCTGCTCAAGCCGGGTGTACTGTGTGCTGCTCACTTGTTGCCATGTGTCCAGCAGCCCAGTTTGTCCTTGGGAGAGGGAGGCTGGCCCGTGTAATTTGATATCCTTTCCCACTTGTAAGAATCTCCACGGGGACACAAATACATTGTGTAAAACTGCAAAAAATAACTGTTTTAGTAATTTTCTCAATTAAAAAAAAAATCCCGATCGTGCCATCGGCATTACGTCAAGAGACATGCTTTTGGGTCTCTCGCAGAACAGTGCAAACCCATTCATCTTCAAGAATTGCCCACAGAAGCGGATATCGCAGGGTAACCTCTGAGATCTGGTCAAGTGACCTCCGGTCCACACAGAGTAGAGGGAACGACTTCCCACTCTCTTTGAATATGAGAGAGGTTCTACGCCATAATAGCCAAACCCATATTTTATTACTCAAGTCATCAGTGGTTGGGTTAAGACCATCAACGCACTGCTATTGAGGATCTGGTTTAATCACAGGCAGTGGCCTGGATTCAAACCCAGGATTTCAGCGGTGCCAGCTCAGCTACATTACCTCTGAGCAACCACCCACCTCCTTGCAAAGAATAACTTAACCACTACTTTATTTTGCAAAGTGATCCAACCTGCAATAATTCTGAGTGTTAAATATAACTGAATACATTTCGTGGGTTTCTATTAAATTTAATTGCTATATCAACCACGGCTCACAAAGCCATGCTGAAAACCAGAATAAATTGGGCATGGTGCAGTTAAATACTCACTGCAGTGTGGAATGTGCTTGTTTGTGAATTTTTTCAATGGTGCCATAGTAATATATATATCACACCAAGGCAATAATTAACTGCTTTCCTTCAGGCAGGTGATACAAATGTCGAAAACATTGTGGGAAAAAGTGTTGCCACGGAATTAAAATATAAAATGTTTGACATTTCATAACAGTTTTTGTTAACGTGATATTTTATTCAAAGCTTCATACCATACATGATGGTCAGGTGTGGACCTTAATTCAATTAGTTACAATAATGGCTTTGAAATTCAAAATACAAGCAATTTAAAAACATAGGAAACCGTGGGGTTTCATACTTGACAGGAGTGGATCAATGTCACCATGCCGTCCAGCTCATGGTGCAGCCAGCAGGCAGTGTGCTAGAAGACAGGCCAGGCAGGCCCTCACATAATCCGTGTTGTGTTCAGTGCAGGACATGGAGTGGAACAAAGTGTCAAAGGCAGTTCACCTCATTGCTGTTGCCACGGTGGTGATGGCCCCCAAACATGTATAATCTTCCATCAACGCACACTGCACAGCTGCCAGACATTGGGGGAGGAAGCTCTCCTCCAAGCTCTCGCCGATGCCTGCCACAACACACACAATCCGCCGTGATGCACGCCGCCTGCCTCGACACAAACCGCCGAGACGCACGGCACACCATTTTCTATTGCACACACCGCTGACACAAACCGTGACGCGTGCGGTCTGTCAAGTCACTGCTGTGACACTGCTGTGACACACACACTATCTGCGCTGACATACTACCGTCACACACCACCTAGGAATGTGCCACGAGTCAAGACACCACCAAGACATGTGCACACACATACTGCTGACACACGTCGCCTGCGATGGGACCTTTGTCCAACTCCTCAAGGGGGTTTAGAGCCAAATTGTTGGACTAAAAATCACAAATAATAATGACCACCCTTTATAAATTCTATCGGCATGTGTATGTTGCACTGGGCTGCTCAAGTGCCATCTAGAAAGACAAAACAGGCTGAGATTTCTGGCCATGTACCACCAATTCCCACTATTCAAAGCCACGTGTATAACCAAACATAATTTTTCAACTTGGATTTGTGGGGTGACAGATCAACATAAAATGTAAATGGTGAAAATACATAAATGAAAGAGCAATGAAAGTACGATTAACGAGGCTGATCGGCAGGACACGAAGGCCACCTCATGACTCATTAAACACGTGCACATCTATTCCAAAACAGAGGCTGTACAACCCCAAAACCTCACTGCAAGCAAATAATCCACGATTCTTACCACACTTGGGTTTCAGTATCGTAAATCCACATTTCACTGGAAGGAAGATAAAGGTCCACAGAGTTGTCAGCCTGAATAAAAAGCAACAAAACTATGTCACAAGTGAACCAGACTTCACAACATCAACAAAGTTGCATTTCAACTTAGCAGCGTTCGAATTCAAGCGTGTACGTTGAACTTCTTTCGCACCGTACGTCGCCAACCGTGCTAACCGGAGTCCGTTGCTTACCAGGTACCCGCCCCACACGTACATGCGGGTTCCGCAAAACACGGCTATGTGACCGCTCCTCTCCTCGGGCTCGGAGCGCGACTGGCCCGCGTCATCGGGCTCGGGCTCCCCATTGCCCAGGTCCCCCACGTGCGGCTGCCTCCACCGGAACATAGGGCCTCCTAGAGCTCCTCACTGCCACGCACCGCCAAAATCAGAATATGTATTTATATTGGAGGAATCTGATGAGCTAAACAGCTATTTTTCACAGATGTCCAGTAGTTTCCACAGATGTCCATCACCGCTGTCCCAGAGATGGTCACTAAAGCAGAATATTTAGTAGCATGCACAGCCTTCTCTACACTTACCACACCACGTTCCATCGCACAACCTCGACTCGCTCAATTGCATTTTCACCACACACCACTGCAAACCACAACCGACCCACACTCGATCACATACCCTCACACCATCACCAAACATATCATACACTCCACCATGCAATCACCACACACGATGACACCCTAATCACACACCATCACATACCCCTTACACCCTCACTACACACTCCATCACGACTCACCGGCACTAAATTACACCTCCTCCCTATACGCGATCACCACGTGTACACACCTCCACCACGCTTCATCATCACCCCTATTCAACCAAAATCACTTCTTCACTCACAGGTCTCTGTCCAAGTGCGTAAGCAAGCGCAGAGCAGTGCTCATCTGAAACAAACGCAGGCACCGACTGGCCACTTTCAGGTGTTAATGATCACAACAAAGTTGATCGGCCTCTGAACGATAATTGGTCGAATGTTACTTTAGCTGAAATCTGATCTCACAAACAAGCGTAGAAAGTGCTGAGTGGTGACAACCACGAGCGGGGTGGTGGCCAGCACCACCCCCGGCCGCCTTTGTCTCCCCAGTGGCGATGTTTACACACCGCACCAGGTACTCATTTGAGGCTGAGTCTACCTAGGGGAGGCCCAGGTACCGGTTTCAGATAATCGCCACCGGTGTTGGTGGCCGTGAGCGGGAATCGAACTCGGGTGGCCGGGTTCGTAGTGCTCACCACTACACCACCGCTCCCCATCATCACACACCACGCTAGACAACCACGTAACATCCAATATGAAAGACGCGTTAAAGAATGGCTTTAAACTTCTTATCTGGCGGATAGATGTTGCTGTGTGTGCAAACGTGGCTTTGGTGATGTACGCAGAACGATGCCTTTAAACCGCTTTGAGTGGGGCCCAAAGGAAGCCTTCACGAGGCATGGACTCAGGCCATCCAGAAGGTGGCGTAGTAACACGTATAATGAATATTCTATGGTTCTTTCGGTAAAGTCACGTAGATAGAAAACATAAAAGTAAATATATTTTTTTTATCTTCTTGGTTCTTTCGGTAAAGTCACGTAGAAGGGAAGTAATAAAATAATAAAAATAAAACATAATAAAATTAAAACATAATAAAAATAAAATTTTATTGTGTTTTATTTTTATTATTTTATTACTTCCCTTCTACGTGACTTTACCGAAAGAACCAAGAAGATGAATCCCTGCAGTCACGAAAGCTTTAAATCAAAATATATATTTTAAATAATACATTTTTACGACGTTTCCATCACAACACAAGCGATCGTCATCAAGAGGAAAATAAGGAATAATGAAATTAGCGGGGCATCAATCGCTAACAGGGTATTGATTACGCCTCGAAATCGGGTGCCTATTTAGTGTCTGAACATCTCAACACCTATTTACGCGAAATAAAAAGGGGCTAATGCCACTTTTTTGTCGTCGTCGTTGTTACTATGAAATATCTCAATACTGGCGAAAGGTTCCAATGGTTGTCATACACACATCGCGTATCCATCATCCACATCGACTGCGGAGGGTAAGGGTGAACTCATTCCTCAGGAGGCACCATCCTGCACCCTCCTCCTCACATCCCCTCGTTTATCCTCCCCCCATCCCTCCCATCCTCCACTCATTCCCCTCTCTCATTCCTCTCCCCCCTCACTCATTCCCATCCCTCTCACTCATTCCTTTCTCACTCATTCCCCTCCCTCTCACTCATTCCCCTCCCTCTCACTCATTCCCCTCCCTCTCACTCATTCCCCTCCCTCTCACTCATTCCCCTCCCTCTCACTCATTCCCCTCCCTCTCACTCATTCCCCTCCCTCTCACTCATTCCCATCCCTCTCACTCATTCCCCTCCCTCTCACTCATTCCCCTCCCTCTCACTCATTCCCATCCCTCTCACTCATTCCCCTCCCTCTCACTCATTCCCATCCCTCTCACTCATTCCAATCCCTCTCACTCATTCCCATCCCTCTCACTCATTCCCCTCCCTCTCACTCATTCCCATCCCTCTCACTCATTCCCTTCCCTCTCACTCATTCCCCTCCCTCTCACTCATTCCCATCCCTCTCACTCATTCCCCACTCACTCATTCCTCTCTCACTCATTCCCCTCTCACTCATTCCCCTCCCTCACTCCCCTCCCTCTCACTCATTCCCATCCCTCTCACTCATTCCCATCCCTCTCACTCATTCCCCTCCCTCACTCCCCTCCCTCACTCCCCTCCCTCTCACTCATTCCCATCCCTCTCACTCATTCCCCTCTCACTCATTCCTCTCTCACTCATTCCTATCCCTCTCACTCACTGCCATCCCTCTCACTCATTCCCTTCACTCATTCCCATCCCTCTCACTCATTCCCATCCCTCTCACTCATTCCCATCCCTCTCACTCATTCCTCTATCACTCATTCCTCTCTCACTCATTCCCATCCCTCTCACTCATTCCAACCCCTCTCACTCATCCCCCTCTCACTCATTCCTCTCACTCATTCCCTCTCACTCATTCCTCTCTCACTCATTCCTCTCTCACTCATTCCTCTCTCACTCATTCCTCTCTCACTCATCCCCCTCTCACTCATTCCCTCTCACTCATTCCCTCTCACTCATTCCCCTCTCACTCATTCCTCTCTCACTCATTCCCATCCCTCTCACTCATTCCCATCCCTCTCACTCATCCCCCTCTCACTCATCCCCCTCTCACTCCTCTCTCACTCATTCCCATCCCTCTCACTCATTCCCATCCCTCTCACTCATCCCCCTCTCATTCCTCTCTCACTCATTCCCTCTCACTCACTCCTCTCTCACTCATTCCCTCACTCATCCCCCTCTCACTCATCCCCCTCTCACTCATTCCTCTCTCATTCCCATCCCTCTCACTCATTCCCATCCCTCTCACTCATTCCTCTCTCACTCATTCCCATCCCTCTCACTCATTCCCATCCCTCTCACTCATTCCCCTCTCACTCACCCCCCTCTCACTCATTCCCTCTCACTCATTCCTCTCTCACTCATTCCCATCCCTCTCACTCATCCCCCTCTCACTCATCCCCCTCTCACTCATTCCCTCTCACTCATTCCCCTCTCACTCATTCCCCTCTCACTCATTCCCCTCTCACTCATTCCAATCCCTCTCACTCATTCCCTCTCACTCATTCCTCTCTCACTCATTCCTCTCTCACTCACCCCCCTCTCACTCATTCCCTCTCACTCATTCCTCTCTCACTCATTCCCATCCCTCTCACTCATCCCCCTCTCACTCATCCCCCTCTCACTCATCCCCCTCTCACTCATTCCCTCTCACTCATTCCCCTCTCACTCATTCCCCTCTCACTCATTCCCATCCCTCTCACTCATTCCCATCCCTCTCACTCATTCCCTCTCACTCATTCCTCTCTCACTCATTCCCCTCTCACTCATTCCCCTCTCACTCATTCCCCTCTCACTCATTCCCCTCTCACTCATTCCACTCTCACTCATTCCCATCCCTCTCACTCATTCCCTCTCACTCATTCCCCTCTCACTAATTCCCCTCTCACTCATTCCCCTCTCACTCATTCCCCTCTCACTCATTCCCCTCTCACTCATTCCCTCTCACTCATTCCCTCTCACTCATTCCCTCTCACTCATTCCCCTCTCACTTCATTCCCCTCTCACTCATTCCCCTCTCACTCATTCCCATCCCTCTCACTCATTCCCTCTCACTCATTCCTCTCTCACTCATTCCCATCCCTCTCACTCATTCCTCTCTCACTCATTCCTCTCTCACTCACCCCCCTCTCACTCACCCCCCTCTCACTCATTCCCTCTCACTCATTCCTCTCTCACTCATTCCCATCCCTCTCACTCATCCCCCTCTCACTCATTCCCATCCCTCTCACTCATTCCCTCTCACTCATTCCCCTCTCACTCATTCCCATCCCTCTCACTCATTCCCATCCCTCTCACTCATTCCCCTCTCACTCATTCCCCTCTCACTCATTCCCCTCTCACTCATTCCCCTCTCACTCATTCCCCTCTCACTCATTCCCATCCCTCTCACTCCCTCTCACTCATTCCTCTCTCACTCATTCCCCTCTCATTCATTCCCCTCTCACTCATTCCCCTCTCACTCATTCTCCTCTCACTCATTCCCCTCTCACTCATTCCAATCCCTCTCACTCATTCCCTCTCACTCATTCCCCTCTCACTCATTCCCCTCTCACTCATTCCCCTCTCACTCATTCCCCTCTCACTCATTCCCATCCCTCTCACTCATTCCCTCTCACTCATTCCTCTCTCACTCATTCCCATCCCTCTCACTCATTCCTCTCTCACTCACCCCCCTCTCACTCATTCCCTCTCACTCATTCCTCTCTCACTCATTCCCATCCCTCTCACTCATCCCCCTCTCACTCATCCCCCTCTCACTCATTCCCATCCCTCTCACTCATTCCCTCTCACTCATTCCCCTCTCACTCATTCCCCTCTCACTCATTCCCATCCCTCTCACTCATTCCCATCCCTCTCACTCATTCCCATCCCTCTCACTCATCCCCTCTCACTCATTCCCCTCTCACTCATTCCCCTCTCACTCATTCCCCTCTCACTCATTCCCATCCCTCTCACTCATTCCCTCTCACTCATTCCTCTCTCACTCATTCCCCTCTCACTCATTCCCCTCTCACTCATTCCCCTCTCACTCATTCCCCTCTCACTCATTCCCATCCCTCTCACTCATTCCCTCTCACTCATTCCCCTCTCACTCATTCCCCTCTCACTCATTCCCCTCTCACTCATTCCTCTCTCACTCATTCCTCTCTCACTCATTCCCATCCCTCTCACTCATTCCTCTCTCACTCACCCCCCTCTCACTCATTCCCTCTCACTCATTCCCATCCCTCTCACTCATCCCCCTCTCACTCATCCCCCTCTCACTCATCCCCCTCTCACTCATTCCCATCCCTCTCACTCATTCCCTCTCACTCATTCCCCTCTCACTCATTCCCCTCTCACTCATTCCCATCCCTCTCACTCATTCCCTCTCACTCATTCCTCTCTCACTCATTCCCATCCCTCTCACTCATTCCTCTCTCACTCACCCCCCTCTCACTCATTCCCTCTCACTCATTCCTCTCTCACTCATTCCCATCCCTCTCACTCATCCCCTCTCACTCATTCCCATCCCTCTCACTCATTCCCTCTCACTCATTCCCCTCTCACTCATTCCCCTCTCACTCATTCCCATCCCTCTCACTCATTCCAATCCCTCTCACTCACTCCCCTCTCACTCATTCCCCTCTCACTCATTCCCCTCTCACTCATTCCCCTCTCACTCATTCCCCTCTCACTCATTCCCATCCCTCTCACTCATTCCCTCTCACTCATTCCTCTCTCACTCATTCCCATCCCTCTCACTCATTCCCATCCCTCTCACTCACTCCCCTCTCACTCATTCCCCTCTCACTCATTCCCCTCTCACTCATTCCCCTCTCACTCATTCCCCTCTCACTCATTCCCATCCCTCTCACTCATTCCCTCTCACTCATTCCTCTCTCACTCATTCCCCTCTCATTCATTCCCCTCTCACTCATTCCCCTCTCACTCATTCTCCTCTCACTCATTCCCCTCTCACTCATTCCAATCCCTCTCACTCATTCCCTCTCACTCATTCCCCTCTCACTCATTCCCCTCTCACTCATTCCCCTCTCACTCATTCCCCTCTCACTCATTCCCATCCCTCTCACTCATTCCCTCTCACTCATTCCTCTCTCACTCATTCCCATCCTTCTCACTCATTCCTCTCTCACTCACCCCCCTCTCACTCATTCCCTCTCACTCATTCCTCTCTCACTCATTCCCATCCCTCTCACTCATCCCCCTCTCACTCATCCCCCTCTCACTCATTCCCATCCCTCTCACTCATTCCCTCTCACTCATTCCCCTCTCACTCATTCCCCTCTCACTCATTCCCATCCCTCTCACTCATTCCCATCCCTCTCACTCATTCCCATCCCTCTCACTCATCCCCTCTCACTCATTCCCCTCTCACTCATTCCCCTCTCACTCATTCCCCTCTCACTCATTCCCATCCCTCTCACTCATTCCCTCTCACTCATTCCTCTCTCACTCATTCCCCTCTCACTCATTCCCTCTCACTCATTCCTCTCTCACTCATTCCCATCCCTCTCACTCATTCCTCTCTCACTCACCCCCCTCTCACTCATTCCCTCTCACTCATTCCTCTCTCACTCATTCCCATCCCTCTCACTCATCCCCCTCTCACTCATTCCCATCCCTCTCACTCATTCCCTCTCACTCATTCCCCTCTCACTCATTCCCCTCTCACTCATTCCCATCCCTCTCACTCATTCCCCTCTCACTCATTCCCCTCTCACTCATCCCCCTCTCACTCATTCCCATCCCTCTCACTCATTCCTCTCTCACTCACCCCCCTCTCACTCATTCCCTCTCACTCATTCCTCTCTCACTCATTCCCATCCCTCTCACTCATCCCCCTCTCACTCATTCCCATCCCTCTCACTCATTCCCCTCTCACTCATTCCCCTCTCACTCATTCCCTCTCACTCATTCCCCTCTCACTCATTCCCCTCTCACTCATTCCCATCCCTCTCACTCATTCCCATCCCTCTCACTCATTCCCTCTCACTCATTCCTCTCTCACTCATTCACCAGCGCCGCTGCATCTCGAGTCCACCTCCAACGCAGGCCGCGTCCATCATGGCGGATCAAGGGGGCGGGCGCGCGGGGAGTTAGGGGGGTGGGTTGAGGGGCGGGGGGATTGGGGGCGGGGCGTACACAGTGGGGGCGTTGCAGAGGGGCGGGGCTTGTGGGGGGGGCCTGCCCGTAGGCCACGCCTCCACCAGAGATCCGAATTCAAGGGAGTCCTCTACTTACGAACGAGTTAGGTTCCAGAGGTCATCTTCTTGGTTCTTTCGGTAAAGTCACGTAGAAGGGAAGTAATAAAATAATAAAAATAAAGCATAATAAAACTTCCCTTCTACGTGACTTTACCGAAAGAACCAAGAAGATGAATCCCTGCAGTCACGAAAGCTTTAAATCGAAAATTCCAGAGATCTGTTCGTAAGTCGATTTGTTCGCAAGTCCAACTTTACTCCCGTCGATTCCAAACATGTTGTACGGCGTGTACACTAAACACGGGGAATGGCTTGCAAAGTTGTATAATCTCCTGTAGACGTAGATGCCACTGGTTCTTCACGTTCTGCAGATGTAGATGCCACTGGTTCTTCGCGTTCTGCAGATGTAGATGCCACTGGTTCTTCACGTTCTGCAGATGTAGATGCCACTGGTTCTTCACGTTCTGCAGATGTAGATGCCACTGGTTCTTCACATTCTGCATATGTAGATGCCACTGGTTCTTCACGTTCTGCAGATGTAGATGCCACTGGTTCTTCACGTTCTGCAGATGTAGATGCCACTGGTTCTTCACGTTCTGCAGATGTAGATGCCACTGGTTCTTCGCGTTCTGCAGATGTAGATGCCACTGGTTCTTCACGTTCTGTAGATGTAGATGCCACTGGTTCTTCACGTTCTGCAGATGTAGATGCCACTGGTTATTCACGTTCTGCAGATGTAGATGCCACTGGTTTTTCACGTTCTGCAAATGTAGATGCCACTGGTTCTTCACGTTCTGCAGATGTAGATGCCACTGGTTCTTCGCGTTCTGCAGATGTAGATGCCACTGGTTCTTCACGTTCTGCAGATGTAGATGCCACTGGTTCTTCACGTTCTGCAGATGTAGATGCCACTGGTTCTTCACGTTCTGCAGATGTAGATGCCACTGGTTCTTCGCGTTCTGCAGATGTAGATGCCACTGGTTCTTCACGTTCTGTAGATGTAGATGCCACTGGTTCTTCACGTTCTGCAGATGTAGATGCCACTGGTTCTTCACGTTCTGCAGATGTAGATGCCATTTGTTTCTCATGTTCTGCAGATGTAGATGCCACCACCGCCATCTATTGCGCGGCGGTTGAATTTACGACTCTTGTTCCAAACAGCCAACTGGACATACGTACAGGTTTGTTCGTATCCCTGAAAGTTCGTAAGCCGAGTCCCTGTAAGGACTGCGCAGTATATCCCGTGTGGAGATCTAATTTATAATTATAGAGCTGAAAAACTATTACGCAGTGCGTGTACACTTTTTATCCGTCCGGCGCTCCGCTCGTTGTTGTGAGCGTCGCTCCTCCACCCTCCTTCACGAGCCTCCTCCTCCTCCATCGAAGCCGATTTTGACGCCGCTGGTACCAGTCATCGGCAAGTCCAATCACCTCCACATCCCCGTGTACCACATCAGCACATCTCTTCTCTAGCCCACGCCCGTTTAGCCCCCCTCTATCCGGCCAAACAGAAGCTGCTTGGGCATGCAGAAAACGCAGTGTCTCGCATCCCGGAGGAGCTCACTGATGAGACCGTGTCCAAATCTAGACCCTCTCACACGCACCTGGTCTCACACAGACAAATATCCCCAGTATAGCCTTAACCGGCTGTTGGGGCAAGTGGTGTTCGCGAGCACCTACGAAGCTCGGCACGGCACCCGAAGCGGTGGGTTGCCAGCACCACGCACGGCTGTCTTTGTCACCCTAATGGCGATGTTTACACAGCGCTCATTTGAGGCCGAGTCGACCTACACACACTCTCTCACGCACACCACCCCGGCACTTCACTTCATCGTGGCTCCGAGCGCGCCACCAGTCGCATTAATAATGCAGCTCGCCAGCGGCGCCACAACCAATTAGGCTCCATTACAACCCCTGGACCCCTCCCCTCACCCCTCGATTCCACCCCCCCCCCCCCCCCCCGGATGACCCCTCTACACCAAGGGTTATTTTTGATCCACGTCTCTACTTGACACCCACCACTCACCACCGCGCACATTCACACTATCACTCATTCACCCCGCTAAATTCATTCCCCCCTCTCACCCACTCTCTCGTCACACTCGCCTCTCGTCTTTAACTTATCCTGTCACTCACTTCACTCGCGTGTTCCTACACTCACTTACTCATTGTCCATCCACTCACCCATTCACTCACTCACTAAGTCGCTCACCTACTCACTCACCACCCGCCTGCTATCCACTCAACACATTGACTCACACATCTATTGACTCACCCACTAACTCACTCGCTTACCAACTCACCATCCACCTCCTTTCCACTCACCGACTGACTCACCCACTAAGTCGCTCACCCACTCACTCATCATCCCACGTTACACTCACCCATCGACTCATAACACCCATTCACTCACCCACCGACTCGCCCGCAAGCGCACTCACAACAAATTCACCCACCCCCTTATGCACCCACATACGCATCCACATATCCACCCACCTACTTATCCACTCTCCTACACAATCACTCACCTAACCACTCATCAACCCAACTGATCTCCACTCACCCATCGACTTACCCACTCACTCATTGACCAATGCACTTACTCACCCACCGAACTCTTCATCATTCACTCACCAACACCACTCATCGGCGTACTCGGCAACCCATGCAACACACATTCGCCCGTGCGCGCCTACAATCACGCAGGGACGGGCTTCACATACGCGCAAAAAGAATGCTTATCTTCCTTCGCCGTCAATTGTAGTTAATGAGCTCCAATGGGGACCACACGAGAGACTCCTGAGCGCCGCATGCGCAAGAGTGAGAGGAAGCGAGAGGGAGATTGGAGAGGAGCGACGGCGCTCACGCAGTCGACTCCACGCGCCATCGAATCTTCGTCAAAAGCCTCGCGAAGTGCGCACCCTGGCGTCAAGAGATGCCTCGTTCCTTGAAACGAAAACAAACCTCCTGCCTCCCCTTGCCTCTCTCCTCCCCACCTCTCCCTGCGCCTCTCCCATCTCCCCGCCTCTCCTCCGCCCGATCTGCCTAACCCTGTCTCCCCCTACCTCTATTTTCCTCTCCCCATCTCTCGCTGCGTCGTGACTACGCGCTCCCCCGTGCAATCGTGAGCGAACTGCAGCGTTTCGACCCTCGCGCGTTGCGTGTTGCGCGTGCGTGCGAGCGGCAGTCACCCGCCAGTGCGTATATGGTGCGCGTCATCTCGTCCTGCCATGGCCAATTCCTCCGGTCGAGCGCGGTGAGCGCGTGGTGCGCCTCCGCCGACGGAGCGGCGTCTTCTCCTCCGCGGTGTCGAAGCGAGCGGGACCTCTCGGAGGGGCGCCCCCCCCCCCCCTCCACGGGCCAAGCGAGCGGGCGGGGGGGGTGACCCCGCGAGACCCCCGTTCCCGCCTCCTCCCCGTTATATATTCCTCCCCCCCCCCCCCCCCACGGCTGACCGTCGCCCACGCACTCGGTCCGCAGCACCACCGGCGCCTCTGGGCGCAGAACCCCTCCTCGTTCGCTGCGATTGACGCGAGGACTCGACGCAGAAGAGATGGCGACACGAGAGAGCGGGAGATGCCGAGGATGAGGAGGAGCCGAGCGCCGTGATTCGCGACCAGCGCCGGCCATCGCTGCTCCTCCATCCTTCACCCCCTTCTCGCCTCCATCGCACGCTCTGCGGGTCTCCGAGGAGGCTGAGAACACCCGCCTCGGTACGGATGTTGCATTTGTGGACACGGACACAGAACACACGCGCAGACTCGCGGCTACACACAGAGACGCGTGTGCGTGCATACCCACTGACGCGGATACACGCGCAGGCACGGGTAGCACACAGATACGCGGGCACACACAGATACGCGTGTGCGCGTGTACACACGGACACGGATCGACACGGATCGACACGGATACGCGAACACACGCTTCACGTGCGCGCACAGAACGCGTACACGCACCGTCATGGGAATACGTCAACACGCATGCATAATAAGACGCACACAAACTCACACGCGTACACACGCACGGGTACATACGCAGACATGCTTGCACGTATGCATACAGACTTATGCGCACAGTCACCCACACAATGACCCGCACACGCACGCACACAAACATCCCGCTGCATTCCCATGCCCCTCCACGCACAGCCCTTGTTGACCCAGTTCCACGGAACGGACATCAGCGCGACCTCCTCCTCCTCCTGCTGCACCGGCTACCCCCCCCCCCTCCACCCCTTTATTCCTGCCTCGCCTGCCCCCTTCTGCACTCCCTGCTCCCCCTAGTCAGTCATTGCCCCCGCTCTTCCTTATGCCCTTGCCCTTCATCGCCCGGCTGCTGTGCCGTCGGTGCCCGCTGTGCCCGCGCCACGATCCCATGTACCCACACGTGTTCCTCGAGTCTAATGAAGGTGCTGACCCTACACCAGCAGCGGCTCTCTCGCTTCTCGCAGGAGGAGCGGCGCCTTCAGGCACCGGGGCCCACAGGGGCAGGCGGACGCGGCCGATTATAATTGGGCCCGCGGGACAGGAGCGACCGGAGATCGCTCTCGTTCTGCTGCGGCCGCTCTTGCTGCTGCCGCTGCTGTTCGCGGCTATAATTGGCGCAGGGAGGGGCCAGGTTCCGTCGCGAGTTGCGTCTGGACGGTGGCGATCGCGGCGCCGCTGGGACACGGAGACGTCGCTCGAGGTCCAACGCGCACGGTTGTGTGGGGGAGCCCGCGGGAGATGAGGTCCTTTGCCCTCGGAGGGCGCTTCGACAACAGCCCCGCTCCCGGGTCTCTGGGCCGCGCGGACTGAGGCTTGGAACCCTACTTCGACGGACCGATCGCGCGCGACTCCCCTGGAGCCCCAGACCGGAGACCCCGGAGAGCAGAAAGCGTGGGACCCTCGGACCCCCCCCCCCCCCGGGGTGCGTCATGGTTCTCCTGGCGTGGGCGCTCCTCGTGTGGCTGCGGCGCGCCTCCAGCGCCGACGCGTCAGGACCGGGAGTTTACGGTGACTCCCGCACGCCGCTCACCTCGCTCGCTCCCAGCTCCAGCACCAGCCCCAGCACCACCGCCGTCATTAACACCCTTAACTTCATCAGGCCTAACACCAGCGCCATCACGAGTAGGATCATCAACACCAGCATCATCCCCGACACCAGCTACATCAACGGCCCCCTTTACCATCAACGCTAAAAACAGCTCCATCACCAGTCTCATCCTCATAAGGGGCCATCCATTTAGTACGTACGCATGGAGGGGGGGAGGGGGGTTAACTCAAATGCGTACGCTTGCGTATGGGGGGGTCTACTGACAATGTTCGTACGCACAGGAAACGGGGGGGGGGGTGAATCCTCGGTAATAAATTGTCTACATTGGCTTTCAAATTAGTTAGATAGTCCGGCGGTGGACTATTTGCTTAAACACGTTAATATGATTAATCCTTGATCGTTTCTGCGTGGATTAAATATCGGCCGTTCTATAGGATTCGGGGGGGGAGGTGCGTCAAGCGTATGTGCGCAGGTGGGGAGGGGGGTGTAAATAGTACGCGTGCGTACAGGGAGGGGGTAGGGGTCAAGTTTTGACAGATTTTTACGTACCTACTCAATGGATGACCCCTAAGCAGGCCCATCACCGGCATCATTACCATCGGACCCATCGCCAGCACACGCATCACCCCCGATACCAGCCTCATCCCCAGCATCACCTCCATAACCAGTGCCGGAGTAAGTTAGTGCGGGGTCCGAAATAAATAAATATAACACATAAATATGAAAACACACATTTTTTACTTGCATAATAAAGTCATTGTATCTTTTCATTTGCTATATAGCGAGATAATACGACAAATCGCTAACCTTAAGCACCCAGTCGTTCACAGTAATAGAGCAAGTGCAGAATCACTGAACCGGAATTCATAGCTTGAAAGCATTTAGCGCGGGGCCCTTGAAAGTGCGGGCCCCGTAGCATATGTAGCTCCTTTTGCTCCTGGGATAATCCGGCACCGCCCGTAACTACCCCAACTCCATCACCAGTGACATCCCCAACACCAACCCCATCACCAGCGCCAATGCCATCTGCAGTCGGAGCTCCGCTCTGATGTTAAATACGGCTGTGAACTCCCCTCCCTCCCCTCTTCTCCAGCTCCCCCTGAGGCAAGAATCGTCTCCACGGGGCAGTCGTGCAATGGACAAGATGAGGGTCAGAGCGAGCGCGCGTTCGCCGTGCGCGAGGGGGACACCCTGGAGCTTACCTGCATCGTCAAGGGTCACCCCCACCCACAGGTGTGGCCACTCAGCTTCCTCCACCTGCACCACACACCACGGCTTACTCCTCCTGCACCACGGACCACGGCTCACTCCACCTGCACCACACACCACGGCTCACTTCTCCTGCACCACGACTTACTCGTCCTGCACCACGCACCACGGCTCACTCCACCTGCACCACGCACCACGGCTCACTCCACCTGCACCACGCACCACGGCTCACTCCACCTGCACCACGACTCACTCTACCTGCACCACACACCACGACTCACTCCACCTGCACCACACACCACGACTTACTCCACCTGCACCACGCACCACGACTTACTCCTCCTGCACCACGCACCACGGCTCACTCCACCTGCACCACGCACCACGGCTCACTCCACCTGCACCACGCACCACGACTTACTCCACCTGCACCACGCACCACGACTTACTCCTCCTGCACCACGCACCACGACTCACTCCACCTGCACCACGCACCACGGCTCACTCCGCCTGCCATCGGCCTGGCCGCTCGTACGCCCCAGATTCGCTGGACCAAGACGTCGAGCACGAGCTCGGACAAGCTGCAGGAGATGAATCTATCCAACGAGACGCTGCGCATCAAGAACATCACGCGGCAGCAGGCGGGCTACTACTGCTGCCGCGCCGAGAACGGGATCGGGCAGCCGGCCATATTCTCCTCCCGTGTGGACGTTCACTGTGAGTCAAGGGGTTCACTGTAGGTGAAGGGGCTCACTGTGGGGGAAGGGGTCCACTCTGGGTGATGGGGTTCACTGTGGGTGAAGGGGTCCACTGTGGGTGAAGGGGTTCACTGTGGGTGAAGGGGCTCACTGTGGGTGAAGGGGTCCACTCTGGGTGATGGGGTTCACTGTGGGTGAAGGGGTCCACTGTGGGTGAAGGGGTCCATTGTGGGTGAAGGGGTCCACTGTGGGTGAAGGGGTCCACTGTGGGTGAAGGGGTCCACTGTGAATTAAAGGGTCCACTTTAAAGTGAAGGGGGTCCACTATGACCGGACATATCCCCGTCCATCCACCCTCCTCTCCCGCACCCTCGTGTGCCCAGACCTGGACCCGCCCGTGCTCATGGTCCACCAGAACGTGGGGGAGGCGAAGTACTACCAGGAGCGGACCACCTTCCTGCGCTGCTCCGCCAACTCGAGCCCCCCCGCGCAGATCACGTGGCTGCGCGCGGGCCACGTGGTCAAGCAGGAGCAGGACGACGGCATCAGCGTCTACAAGCCGCTCTTCGTGAAGGTGCGTCTTAGGGCGGGGGGCGAAGGGGGGGGGGGGGCAAAGGGGGGCGTGGTGGGGGCGGAGGGGGGGTTGCGTGTTGAGTTTTTTATTGCGGTTATTATTTGAGGCCACGTCGCTTCTGAAAATCAATTACTAGCTAGGCTTTCTTTACCCGGACGGTTAAAGACAGTTAAGTTTTATTCGCGTATAAAAAATTTTTCTTTAAGTGATTTGTTTACATATCCTATACTTTGCACCCCTGTCGTGTTTGTGTATTTTTTGTTGTTGTAACGTTTTGACCCCGTGTCCCTTACTTGACATCTGTGACAAAGAGCTTCATAGCTCATCGGATTCCTCCGTTATGAACAAATATTCTGATTCTGACTTGAGCCATGGCCGGGTCGGTGCTTCGCCAGCCACGGCCACGTGCACGGGCGGCAACTTCTTGCTATGCAACCGCGGCCCTGCCTGGCTGTAAAAAAAACAAAGGTAAAAGCGCAGCCCTGTAAATTGCTCGCTCACCACCACTGCTGGGGGTAGGGCCTCCGCTTGAAGAAGCTGGAGGGAAGCCCCCTAACATCGAGGGTATTTTGTTCGAATCTTCCACGTTGTACCCAGGCACCTTCACAGAGGTGGGCGTACCCTGCACTAAGATATTCCGCCCCACACGCAACCTGCCGATCGACCACCTGGAACACATTTACACTGTGGCTGGTGGACAGAAGCGGTGTGTGGGAGGCGGGGGGGGGGGTGGGAGGCGGGGGTGGGGGGAGATTTAAGAAACGTGCCCCCATCGTTTCAACTGCCCCGCCGTGGGAGATGGAATACATTCTAGATTTGAAGCTTTCGTGACTGCAAGGATTTATACTGTATCAAGTGAGGCAAAATTCCAAGAGCTCGTCTCGTGGAATTTTGCCTCACTTGATACAGTAACTCTAGCTGTGACGGTCCCACCTGATGACGGAGACTTGTGTTGCCTCCGAAACGTCGTGATTTATAATTTTATTTCTATTATTATTTCTATTATTTTTATTGTTTATTTTTACCTACGTGACTATACCGAAAAAACTTAAGAGATGGAATCCAACCGGCGAACCTTCTCGGCTGGCAAGTCCAGCGGCGGCGTCGCTGCTGACCGCTAGCCGCACGGTCGGTCGGGGGGGCCTCTTCACGCTCCGCGGAGCCGAGAAGTCGCCCCCCCCCCTTCCGCCACCCCCTCCCCCCCCCCCCCGGGAATTCACAGTTGCCGCATCAGCGATTCGCAACAACGACGGCGTGGGTAAGGGATGGCGGGGTTTGGGAAGGGGGGTCAATACGAGTAAGGAAACAAGGAGCGGGGTGGAGGGGTGGGGGGCAGCTATTTGATTTCCTCTCCCAAGAGATCGATTTTTACTCCCTCGCTCTGCTGAGCGCGGCGCGGGGCGCGAGAGGCGAGAGGACGTAGAGATGCAGCACCTCGGGAGAAATGGTTCTCCATGGGACAACAGGATCCAAAGAGGTTCCCCGGGACTGCGGATCCGGGGTTAGAATGCCGCGTGGGCCCCCAGTTCCCACCCCCCTCTCCTCCCCATGATATATTTATTTTTTGTGCGAGGCCTCTGTTGGGGGGGGGGCGTGGGGGGGTGTGCCGTGAATATCGGAGAAATGGAGGCACACGAGCCACGCGGGGACGTGGGTGGGTGACGCGTGGCTTTGACTGCATCGCGCCGGCGTTGCGCGGTGCAGGACGAGCCCATGGTGCTGAAGCTGAAGAACATGCGGGACAAGGACTACACGACGTACAGCTGCGTGGCGTCCGTGCGCAACGCGTGCGGCATCGAGAACCTCACGGCGAGTTTCCAGCTCACAAACAAGACCGGTGCGGGGTGCAGCTCACGCGCACGCTCACGCACAAAGACAAAGATCCCCCGGATAGACTTTACGGCCTGCTGGGGCAAGTGCTGTTAGCGAGATCCTTTGAAGGCCGCCACGGCACACGACGGGGTGGGTGGCCAGAAACCAGAACCGGCCGCCTTTGTCTCGCCAGTTGCGATGTTTACACACCACACCAGGTACTCATTTGAGGCTGAGTCAACACCACATAGACACACGTATATGCACAGTGCTTGAATTCAGCAGGAACAGCCCAAAACGCTGTTCCAGTAATTAATTATTTTGGCACGGCGCATCCATCTCGCCTCCTTTTGCCGAGATGGGAGGTGTTATGGGACGCCACATCAAAAATATAGGGTGTTATTACGCACATGCATAACCTCAACTCTAGTGCCAGGAAGTACCTTACACCGATTACGCCTGCTCCAAGCGCAGCCGCTATGGCAGCGTTATGGAAAATATTGAGTTAAAAATTAAGCCCCGCGTGTGTCCACACTAACAAAGACAAAGATCCCCCGTATAGCCCTAACAGCCTATTGGGGCAAGTGCTGTAAGCTAAGTAGCACATTTGAAGGCCGGCACGGCACACAACGGGGTGGGAGGCCAGCACCACGCCCGACCGCCTTTGTCTCCCCAGCGGCGATGTTTATACCCCGTGCCAAGTACTCAGTTGAGACTGAGTCACAGGGCCGTATTGCTGTCCATACTAACGCACACACACACTCTCTGCCACCCCCCCCCCCTCTTATTCCACCACCCGCCGGCTCCCCCAGCGCCCCCGCAGAGCCGCATCCGCGACGCGGAGAGTCTGGTGATAAACCCAGGTGACAGGGTCTTCGTGCAGTGCGACGCCGTGGCTGGGTACCCCCACCCCTCCCTCTCGTGGTCACGTTTGGGGGGGCGTCTGCCCCCTAACAGTTGCGTCTCGGGCGGGAATTTCAGCCTGGCGCGGGCGCACCGTGAGGACGCGGGCACGTATTACTGCGAGGCGTTCAACCGCGTGGGCGACCCCTACCGCCGGCCCGTGACCATTGTGGTGCGAAGTGAGTCCCGCGCAGAGGTTTGGGGGTGGAGGGTGGTTCGTGCACCGTCACGCAGCATCACGCAGCGTCACGCACCATCACGCACCGTCACGCACCGTCACGCACCACCACGCATCATCACGCACCATCACACACCATCACGCAGCATCACGCAGAATCACGCAGCGTCACACACCGTCACACACCGTCACGCACCATCACACACCATCACACACCATCACGCAGCATCACACACCGTCACGCACCATCACGCACCATCACGCAGCATCACACACCATCACGCACCATCACGCACCATCACGCACCATCACGCACCGTCACGCACCGTCACGCACCGTCACACACCATCACGCTCCATCACACACCGTCACGCACCATCACGCACCATCACGCACCGTCACGCAGTGTCACACACCATCACACATCGTCACGCACCATCAAGCACCGTCACGCACCGTCACGCGCCATCATATATCAGAAGGCACCGCATGCCCCATCGCGCCCCAGCATACACTAGCATGCAGTATCACACGCCATCACATACAACCGTGCACAATCACGTACAAGCATACATGATAATCACACGTTAGCATGCACCATCACATACCTTTAACACAGGATGTACCACGAGTATGCACCATCACACAGACAAACACACACCGACTGACGGGACCTCCTTGAACACACACACACTCCTCCACCCAGCTCTGCGCCAGGGCCGCTTTTGGATCACCCCGGACCCGTACGTAGAGGATGGAAACATCACCATCGGCCGCGGGGTGAATATCACGTGCCAGGTGGAGGCCGTGCCTCTGGAGGAGCTCACGTACACGTGGTACAAGAACGGGCGCGTGCAGTCCAGCACGAGCCACATGGTGATCACGCCCACCGACGTGGACATCCACCCGGGCACCTCCAGCCTCGCCATCATCAACCTCAAGTTCACCGACTTTGGCACCTACACGTGCGTGGCGTCGCTCAACAATTACGCCATCCCCAACATCAGCATCGACGTGAACATCTCTAGCAGCACTGGTGCGTGACCTCAGCTCCAGACGGCCGCCACGGCTGCACCTGAACCCTGCTTGGGGAGGCCGCTGTGGGCAAACCCTGGGATGACGGCGTGCCAATCATTGTTTCACTCAACATCTTTATTATGCTGGAGGAATCCGATGAGCTACAAATGTATTTTTTCACAGATGTCCAATAAAGTGCAGGTTAGAATGTTACAACAAACAATTCAAAAACGATAGAAGCGTAAAGTAGAGGAAAGGTAATAGAATAGGTTTTACCCTTTTTTCTGGTAATAAAACAGGTGTTAAGATGTTAAAACCCCCTTGCAAAAGGTTTCAGTTTGGTGTTTTAACATCTTAACATCTGTTTTGTTGCCAGAAAAAAGGGGAAAACCTATTTTTATATGTTGACACTGGCAAAGGAGGTCCCACGATAGAGGAAAGATAATAAGTAATTTAAAATATATACAAATACAATTTAACATTTTTTTTATCTTACCAGGTAAAGCCCACTGAGCTATTAGCTTGCTTCAGAAGCGACCTGGACACAAATGATAGCTCAACGAAATTACTTATCGCGTGGAAATGTATAATCTGTTCTCTCGTTGCGATCACGGGGAGGATGGAAACAGGACGGACCGGCTACCACTTGCGTAATACGTCTCTCTACTGAGATAACACACAAACGCACCCACACACAGCAGCATCTGCAGCAATTATCGCTTCCTACTGGCAGGCTAATGCCCCACGTCACTCTTGCAAATGAAACTCTCATCCTGCTCTCTTGAGTTCTCACCTGGGGAAACAAAATTATGCTTAAAGAGGTCCGATTTACGGCGCATGCAGAGTTCGTGCGGCGAGTCGCTGACACGAGCCAGAGAAGAGTGTCGTCGCTGAAATGTTATTGCGCACAGACATTGTTTCAGCTGTTTCGTAGACACCGCAGCGCTGTATAGATACATCCACAGGAAGCCGTATTCCACACACGGGGAGCGGAGAGGATCATGGGTGCTCCCCATCCCACCCCCAACCTGCAGCACGAAAGAAAAATCCTTTATATGCGTGGCGGCTAGAGTCCTCTCGTCCTCTGGCTTGAGATGGCTGCCACCTATGGGTCAGATGATTGCCTGCCACGATTATGCAATTGGTTGGAATATAAAAAAAAAATCCTAAAAAGTGTAAAGTTATGGAAAAACAATTTCACGAAAATAAATTGTCACGCACAACGAGTCTGTGTGCAAAATGTCAGCTCGATTGGATCACGGGAAGTGGGTTAAAAAACGACCGAAAGATTTGCACGGTCGTAAGCGCGCAAGCAAGCACGCAAGTGAACTTAATATAAAGGATTTAATAAGCAACGTTTGTTTAAGCGGCAAACCCAGGACTTGATTCAAATGAAATGTTTTGCTTGCAGCTCAGGATTGAAACGCAATGCTGTAGCGCTACGATTCCTGCAGACGATAAATTGCCCTTTTACTATGAAGAAGGGCCATTCGCTCTAAACGCCCCCCATTATTGTGATTATATTCCTCTCAGGGCAGCAGAGTTATTGACAAATGTGTTGAGTTTGTTATTTGTGCTTTTACGCAACTGCCAATGCAGCATCGCGAATACATTGTTAAATAATGATAGATCGTTTGCCACCGGCCATGAGTGCGGGTGGAACATGAGCGCGGGTGAGGGCAGGAATTGAAAATACAAAAATTAACCCGTAAAAACAAAGTTTTTCACTATAAATCCTTTATATGCGTGGCGGCTAGAGTCCTCTCGTCATCTGGCTTGAGATGGCTGCCACCTATGGGTCAGATGATTGCCTGCCACCATTAAGCAATTGGTAATTAAATATTATTTATTTTTTCCTAAAAAGTGTAACATTTTGGAAAAAATTTTGTTAACGAAAATAAATTGTCACGCACAACGAGTCTGTGTGCAAAATGTCAGTTCGATTGCATCACGGGAAGTGGGTTAAAAAACGACCGAAAGATTAGCACGGTCGTAAGCGCGCAAGCAAGCAAGTGAACTTAATATAAAGGATTTAAAAAGTAGGGTCCACAACTCGACAACAGCTCCGGGCCCCCACCACTCAAACTTCATCGGGGCCCACCGCGTATCCTGTCGAGTGTGCCGAGTTTCGTGGTGTGCGTGACCCCTGTCCCTCCCACCCCCCCCCCCCCCTCGTGTTGCGGGGCGCGTACCCAGTGGCCCCCACGGTGACGGTGCCCAAGGGCCGCTCCGTGGTCACGGTGCGAGAGGGCAGCGTGGCGGAGCTGCAGTGCGTGGTGAGCGGCAAGCCCAAGCCCGTGCTGCTGTGGTCCCGCGCCGACCGCGACGCTCCGATGCCGGACGGGGCACCGCACACCGAGAGCCACGACGGGACCCTGCGCTTCGCCAACGCCACGCGCAACATGACCGGCACCTACCGCTGTCAGACGGGCCGCTACAATGGCTTCAACGTCACCCCCCGCGAGGCCAACGTGCAGCTCATCGTGCAGTGTGAGCGTCGGCGCTCGGGTCACGCGGCGGCACGGTGCCTGGGGTGGCTCAAAGAGCCCAGGGTGCATGGCTCAGAGACCACGCAGAGTTACCTGGGAGCAGCGTGGCTCAGAAAAACCCAGGGTGGTCAAGGAGAAGGGTGGCTCAGAAAACGCAGGTTGGCTCGAAGACCTCGGGTGGCTTAGAGTCGCAGAGTGGCCTGGGAGCAGGTTGGCTCCGATATCCAGAGTGGCATAGGATCAGGATCGCTCAAAAACTCAAAGTGGCCTAGGACTGGGGTGGCGCAGAGACTCAGGGTGGTCCGTGTGACCACTTGAGCAACGAGTTACGACCTCCGGCGACCTGCGGAGTTTAAGCGGCAGTCGGAGTGGAACGACGAATCGATCCATCAACACTCCTGCTGCAGGCTCAACCTCCGCCACTTAAACCCCTCTGAAGTCGACACCACGCTACCACAGAAGGACGTTGTGCATGGGGATGTGAGAGCTAGAGCCGATAATACATGGCAGCCAAAAGAACATGGCCCTCGCTCATCTTTCTGTTCACCATTTAACACCACCAACCTCAGATTATGATTCCCCCCCTGCCCCCCCCCCCAATTCAAAACTTGTAACACGGAGTCACACCGCAGGGTCGGGCTCACGGCGTATCGCAGCAGGACTGCACGTGGTACGAGTCGGCGTTTGTTTACGTGTGTGTACACGTTACATCAATGCGATTATCTCACCCCTCCAGCCACTGGAGATGCTACCATTAACGCGAACGTTTGAATTGTCATCCTATTCCTTATTCTTCTTCTTTCGTATGGCATTGTGAAAAGCAACAGGTTTTTATTTTTTCTTAATGATCGTTATAAATGAATGTAAAGGTTCCTCATCCAGTCCAATGAGGTGGTTGACGCAGTGTGGATTCCAGCGACACCGCCAGGATGTGCATGGAAGGAACATTCGTCGGCGATGTGCTTGATGGTTCGGACTTCTCCACAGTCGCAGTTGGGCGATTCTTTGATCTTCCATTTATGGAACGTGTACGCGCATCTGCCGTGTTGCGTTCCTCAATAGTCGCCATCAATTGAAAATTGCTTAGGGTGTGGGGGGAAGGGGTGGGGGAGCGGTCTCACTTTGTTGTCACGCAGGCGCCGTGTACCCTCGCCATATTCTTAGGTTTTTTCGGTAAAGTCACGTAGGTAAAAAATCAAAATTAATGAAAGTAAAATAAAATAAAAATCACGACGTTTCGGAGGCAACACAAGCTTCCGTCTTCAGGTGGAAGCTTGTGTTGCCTCCGAAACGTCGTGATTTTTATTTTATTTTTATTAATTTAAATTAGATTTTTTTTACCTACGTGACTTTACCGAAAAAACCTAAGAATATGAATACTTGCAGTCACGAAAGCTTCAAATCTAGAATACCCTCGCCATCTCTACCTCCTCCGCCCACTCCACCCACCTCCCCTCCGCACTCCACCTCGAGCCTCACACCCCCCCCCCCCCACCCCGGTGTTCCCCCCTCCGCCCCCCCTCCCAGACCCCCCGCAGGTGGAGCCCGTGGCGAGCGAGATCCGTCAGGCGCTGGGCCGGCGCGTGTCGATGCGCTGCGCGGTGCTGCGCGCGTTGCCCGCGCGGCCCCTCGAGTATGAGTGGCGACGCGGGGGCCCCGTGCTGCGCTCGGGCCTCGTCGAGTCTCTGGACATCGCGAGCCTCTCGGCCGGAGACTACGGCTCCTACACGTGCACCGTGACCAACGAGGCCGGGTCCTCGAGGTGCCTCTTCAACGTCACCGGTGCGCACGGGAACGCGCGCGCGTGAGGAGCGCGCCGCGATACAAATCCGGCGAGCCGAGTTCGATTGCCACTGACGGCCAACACCGGTGACCATTATCTCAACCGGTTTCTGGGCCTCCCCTAGGTCGGCTCAGCCACAATTGAGTAACCGGTGCGATGTGTAAAAACATTGCCACTAGGGAGACGAAGGCGGTCGAGCGTAGTGGTGGCCAACCTACCCCCTCGTGTGGCGTGCCGGCCCTCATAGGTGGTCACGAATATAACTTGCCCCAACGGTCCTGTTCAGGCTATACGGCGGATCTCTGTATTTGTGCACATGATGGGCACGCCTGCCCGGTGTTTATGGATCCGGTGTGAATTTCAAGTTGTGTGGTTCATGGGGCGAGCGGGAAGGTGCATGTCCATTTTTGAATGTGTAAGGTAGCTTGCAGGCAGGTTAGACATCTTGTACGGTTCTTTCGGTAAAGTCACGTAGATAAAATAATAACAAGAAAATAATAAAAATGAAGTGAATGAAAAATAATAAAATATCACGACGTTTCGATCGCAACACAAGCGGTCGTCCCTGTTCCTGATGACGACCGCTCGTGTTGCGATCGAAACGTAATATTTTATTATTTTTTATCCACCTTATTTTTATTATTGTATCGTTATTATTTTTCCATCTACGTGACTTCACCGAAATAACCCTAGAATGTGACTTCCTGCAGTCACGAAAGTTTTAAATCAGGCTGAGACATCGTGACAAGGCGCGTGTCGCCAGGCGCGTCCGTGCCCTGATCCCGAGTCCCCGAACCCGCCTCAGTTTCAGCTTTCATGTATTAGGTATTATAGCCCTGTGAGCCATTCGGCTCTTCAATCCCCCCCCCCACCCCCCAGGCCGTGCCTACGCACCAGAGTTCTACTACAACCGGTCGCACCCGATCCGCACGGTGGGCGACATGTACGCCTATCAGCTCGAGTGGACCCAGGCGCTGCCGGAGGCGGTGGACCGCGTCAAGACCTACAAGCTCGAGTACCGGCGGGTGAGACCCCCAGCCATCGGCGTGGGCAGCACGGGCGACGCTCCTCGCCGACCACCTCATCCGCCAACTCACACGCCTCCTCGCCTTTCGTCCCACCTGTCCGTCCGCCCCCTCGTGCCCGCAGGTGGGCACGTTGTTGTGGCGCAGGGTGACCTTGCAGGCGCTGCCCCTGGGGCGTGGGCAGCTGCACGAGCATGTCCTTCCCGACCTGCAGCGGCCCCACTCCTACCAAGTGCGGCTCACGCCTGTCTCGCAGTTCGGAGAGGGAGACACGGCCAACTTCCTCGTCCACTACAAAGAGGGTAAAGCGTCGCCCGCCGCAAGCGAGAGCCTCGTCGCCGCGCGAGGGTGACCGCATCGCCGGCGCGGGCAAACTCATCGTGACCAGGGACGTGCGGTCAGGGGAGGCAGCTATCACATCTGCCTCACTGAGGGGGACGTGTCTAACAGTGAGGACACGCCCCCCTCCGTGAGGACACGCCCCCTCCGTGAGGACACGCCCCCCTCCGTGAGGACACGCCCCCTCCGTGAGGACACGCCCCCCTCCGTGAGGACACGCCCCCCTCAGTGTGTGTCTCTGACACGCGCCAGTGCCTCCCCAGACATTGACCTCACCGCACGTCACTGGTCGTGACAAAGAGAGCAACCTCACCGCTACAAGGGTAACCTCACTACTTGAAGGGTAACCTCACTACTTGAAGGGTGACCTCACTACAAGGGTAACCTCACCACTACAAGGGTGATTTCATCTTCACGAGGATAAACCTCGCAAATATATTTTGCTCTCAGTACAGGTCCCATCTCTCACCCATCAATCACTGTGCTCAACTATCACCAACCGCTCATCCGACTCACTCATTCCTCATCCTGTACACAAGTCTCACCCATCCATTTATCTTTCGACAACGCCAACTTACCCTACACAGCCAACACGCTCCATGCCACCCTGCCCGCTCACCCCCCCCCCCCTCTCGAGCCTCTGACCCCCACGCCACCTCGCCCCCTCTGCACCGCTCTCTCCTTGATCCTCTCTGCCTCACCCCCGTCTCTCCCTCACCCCACTACCTCCCCCCCTCTTTCTTACCCTCCCCCCTAGTTCTCTTGTATGTATGTTGAACTTCTTTCGCACCGTACGTCGTCAACCGTGCTAATCGGGGGTGCGGGGGAAGGACAACAAACTAAGCACTCTCCTACCCCCCAACTCCCCCTCGAACTTACCTCCTAATTATTTTGCTCCCACCCATCTATTAGTCCTTCTCCCCCTCTCTCTTACCCTTCTCTCTCTCTCTCTTACCCTCTCACATTGCCCCCCCCCTTGTCCCCTCTTTCTCCTTCCACCTCTCCCCATCTCTGTCTCTCTCTCTCTTACCCTCACTCCCCCTCTCTCTTACTCTCTCACATTCTCCCCTTGTCCCCTCTCTCTCTCTTATCCCCATCGCCGCCGCCCCCAACGCCTTCCTCTGACGACCTAGACCCACCCCCCTTTCCCTCGTACCCCCTAGATCTCAACGGCTCGGGAACCCTGACCCCTGCCTCCGCGTGTCAATTTGAGGAGAATCTCTGCGGCTTCGCGGCGGACCCGACGGGGACGTTCAACTGGACGAGGCGAAGCCCCCTGACCAGGTCCAGGAGGCCGTCCAACACGGGGCCCACCCTGGACCGCCACAACACCTCGACGGGTCAGGCCACGGCAGACAATGACGCAGACTGCCCTCCGGCACCGCAGAAGTCACGCGCACTGTGCCACACCACGCACGTCATCAGCAGACCAAGCACTCATATTCTTGGGTCTTTCGGTTAAGTCACGTGGATAGTAATAGGGTTTTCCCCTTTTTTCTGGCAAAACTGAAACCTTTTGCAAGGGATCATGTTTACATTAACCACAATACTTGCAGTCAGAATGCAAACAAAAAACATATTCTGATAATGTATGCATTGTCCTTGATACTGATTGGTCCACACCAGAGACAGCTTTCCTTAGAGCCTAGTCTCATACGGTGTTCGACCAGATGACGCCAAAAGGCGAACACCAAAAGGCGTCATCTGGTCGAACACCGTATAAGACGAGGCTCTACGGAAAGCTGTCTCTGGTGTGGACCAATCAGTTTCAACGACAATGCATAAATTATCAGAGTGTTGTTTTTTGTTTGCATTCTGACTGCAAGTATTGTGGTTAATGTAAACATGATTCCTTGCAAAGGTTTCAGTTTTGTTGCCAGAAAAAAGGGGGAAACCCCTATTATTATATTTTGATACTAGCAAAGGAGGACTCATGATGTAGATCACGTAGATAGGTTCAAAGAAAATAACAAAAAAATACAAAAAAACTACGACGTTTTGACCGCAACACAAGCAGTCGTCTTGAGGAAAACGACCACTTGTGTTGCAATCGAAACGTCGTAGTTTTTTGTTATTTTTTATTTTCTTTGAACCTGTCTACGTGACTTTACCGAAAGACCCAAGAATATTAATTCCTGCAGTCACGAAAGCTTTAAGGCAAGATTCAGACCAAGTTCATTTGCCTACACGCACACCACCCCCACCCACACCCAGTGGCGGAGCCAGGATTTTCAGGTAGGGGGGGGGCAACCCCTCCAGCAATGAAAAATGATAGAGGAGTTGTTAGTAAGTAAGGACTTGTCCCTTCCTTTTTATTTGACGCGTGTGTGATCGGCATCGCGCTCGCTGAAGGTATGATGCCTTCAGGGAAGTCGTGTACTGTCTACGCAACTGCACACAATTATGTGAGTCACGTATAACTGCTTTGCCGTTACTTATTGCCAATTATGGACTCAGACTATTGTCCTATCATCTCAGAGTCCCTGGCACGTAATAATATGCTACAGAGTGGCAGTGGGGGTCGCAAAATGCCGACTTATTACTAATAAACCCCAATGATCCTATCGAAATTAGGGATTTCGATCGGATCATTGGGGGGGGGGGGGGCACGTGCCACCCCCCCTCCCCCCCACTGGCTCCACACCGAGTCTGCCAGAGTTTAAATTATTTTTTTCCGAGGTCCTCAAAACCTGCAACACTCCCCCCACCCCCTCCTCCTCCCCACACCCTGGGGAAATCTTTTCCAGAGCTCAGTTCGGGACACTTGAAATAAAGGCCTGACTTGGGGTGACTAAGATTGTGACTCAGGGTGGGTGACTTTGGGTGACTCGCCGTGACCCCGGGGCGACTGGGCACCTCGCCCGCAGGTCACTACATGTTCCTGGAGGCTTCGAATCCGCGCCGTGCCGGGGACCGGGCGCGTCTCCTGAGCCCCTGGTACAGCCCCCCGTGGCGCACCCACTACGCGAAGGTGAACAAGGACATCTGCCTCATCTTCTACTACCACGTGTACGGCAAGCACATGGGTAGGTACGGCAAGCGCTCGGGTACACACACGCGCGTGCGCGTGTTCATTGAGCTTAGACGCACACACACACACACATGCCTGGCCCTCCCTACCCCTGTGACTGCGCTCAGCCCACCTAACCCACCGGCCACACTCGCCTGTCACGCTCATCCCTCACGCTCACCGCTGGCAGCTGGCAGCTGGCCATCGTGAGCCAGATCGAGGGCTGCGGGACACGATGCGGTGTGGGAGTCCACGGCACGACCTCCACCCCGCAGCCCCCGAAGAACTCCTCCCCACGATGTTACGTGCGCGGTGGCTCCGTCACTCGCCCCCATTTCGATGCAAATGAGGCAATTGCCGCGGCTGACCGCACGCGCGCACGCGGCTTCCTTCCGACGCAAGCTGCGGCGAATGGGTTAGGGCCGCGGTGTTCAAGAAGGTCAAGGTCACGTTCAGTGCCGGAATAAGCTAGTGCGGGGCCTGTAGCATATGTTATAAAGGGCCCTTAAATAAAAAAAAACACATTCATGTTAAAACACCAATTTTTTACTTGCAAAGTAAAGTAATTGTATTTTTTCATTTGCTATACAGCCAGATAATACGACAAATCGCTAACCTTAAACATCCAGTCGTTCGTTAAAGTTGAAGGCAGTATAGTACTCTAGTAATAGAGCAAATGCAGAATCACTGAACCGGAATTGATAGCTTGAACGCATTTAGCGCGGGGCCCTTGAAAGTGCGGGGCCCGTAGCTACATATGTAGCACAAGTAGCTACTTGTGCTACGGGGATAATCCGGCACTGGTCACGTTCGGGCTCGGCTGGGGTGCATGTGTAGGGGGACGCGACTTTTCCTCGCATCTCTCTTGCTCCCGCCCCACGAGGACGACGAACGCGACGCGGCCGTTTGTCTTTGCGTGCAGGCGCCCTCAATGTGTACGTCAGAGCGGAGGGAGTCCCCGACAACCGCGTGTGGGGTCGCAGCGGCAACCAGGGGAACGCGTGGCACCACGCCGCCGTGGGCATCGTGCCCCCGAAACGCTTCCAGGTGAGACACTCACTCCCCAAAGGTGAGAGACTCGACAAGGGGAGTGGTGAGCGCCTCACGTGGTGTGGGCACGGAGACCTGTGATGAACGAGACTCGGGTGGGGCGAGTGGGTTGTTAAGTGCTCATCGACACATTCTGTGCACACCCCCCCCCCCATAGACACACACCGCAGCGGGTACACGTACTCATTTAATGCTGAGTCGACCTAGGGGAGGCCCAGAACCGGTTCAGATATTCGTCACAGATGTTGACTGTGAGCGGGAATTGAACTCGGGTCGCCGGATTCGTAGCGCAGCGTGCTAACCGCTGCGCCACCGCTCCTCACCTAGGATTAGACAAAGACCATGACAAACCTGTAGACACCAAACCCACACAACAACAACCGCCACTCGCCACTAAATGTCAGTGACGTTACCACGGCGTATGTGCCAGGCTAGGTGCACTTTGAGGCGACGGGAAGTGTCGAAGGCACGCGCACACTCACTCACACACACTCATAGGCAGACACAAATATGTTTATAAATAAACACTCAGACACACAGATGCACGCATGGGTATACAAGGTGCTTCAAAAAATGTTAACACTTATATTAAACTATCGTTTTTAATGTTAAAGGATAATACACTGTAACATGGTATCAAATGTGATGTTAATAGATTCAAAATGTCAAAATGTCTCCACTTGTTCGCCATCATTGTCAACACGTGCATGGAATCTTCTCCAGGCGGTCTACAGAGCCCGGAGGCGGCACATTTCTCAGAAGTGTTAAAATGTTTTTGAAGCACCCTGTACATCCACACGCGCGCAGACGCGAACACAAACGCAGTCGGCTGGCGACTGCGCCTCCCCAAGGTCACCACTTGAGATGATGAGAGTTTAAATTCTTAGCACCCTTCCCTTGCCTTGCACCATACCCCCCACCTCGCCCCCCCCCCCGCCCGGTAGCTGGTGTTCGAGGGGGTGCGCGGGAACGGGGAGGAGGGGGACATGGCCTTGGATGACATCTCCGTGATGCAGGGGCGATGTGAGCGCTACGTCAACCTCAAGCGTGAGTGCCGCCCTGCGAGCCTCCTCCCCGAGTGTTACTCTGTGAGAATCCCTGAACGTGAGACTCCCTCTGAGTGTGAGTCTCTCTGAGTGTGAGTCTCTCTGAGTGTGAGAATCCCTGAACGTGAGACTCCTCTGAGTGTGTGACTCTCTGAGTGTGAGTCTCTCTGAGTGTGAGTCTCTCTGAGTGTGAGAATCCCTGAACGTGAGACTCCCTGATTGTGAGACTCCCTCTGAGTGTGAGTCTCTCTGAGTGTGAGAATCCCTCTGATTGTGAGACTCTCTCTGAGTGTGAGAATCCCTCTGAGTGTGAGAATCCCTCTGAGTGTGAGACTCTCTCTGAGTGTGAGTCTCTCTGAGTGTGAGTCTCCCTGAGTGTGAGTCTCTCTGAGTGTGAGCTCTCTGAGTGTGAGAATCCCTCTACGTGAGACTCCCTGATTGTGAGACTCCCTCTGAGTGTGAGTCTCTCTGAGTGTGAGAATCCCTCTGAGTGTGAGTCTCTCTGAGTGTGAGAATCCCTGAACGTGAGACTCCCTCTGAGTGTGAGACTCCCTGAGTGTGAGAATCCCTGAGACACCTTAACCCCCCCCATCATCCCCATCTCTGCTCCTCCCCCCCCTCCCCCTCCTCCCGTCCCCTCTTAGCCTCGGTAGGAGTCGCCAGTCCCCTGGGCCGAGCGGGGAGGCCCCGCCGTGCCCACTGGTGGCTCGTGGTCGCGGGGTCCCTCGGCATCTTCCTGCTCGGCAGATGATGACGAGGAGCAGCCCCATCCGTGCACACGCACGCGCGCACACCTGTACACGCGTATCCACACACACACACAAACCTACACACGTCGGTTAACAGAGTCCGGGGACAAGCGCTGTAAGCGAGTAGCACCTATGGAGGCCGCCATGGCACACGAGGTGGTGGATGGCCAACGCCACGCCCTCGTCGCGATGTTTACACATCGCAACAGGTACTAATTTGAGGCTGAGTCGACCTAGGAGAGGCCCAGAAGCGGTTCAGATAATCGTCACTGGTGCTGATCGTGAGCGAGAATCGAACTCGGGTCACAGGGTTCGTAGTGTAGCGTGCTAACCATACACAAACACCTGTGCACACACCCCCATAGACACGTGTGACACCCACACATCTTTGGCACACCTGTGCCTACAGCCACATTGCATACACACCTGTTGACACACACACGCACATCCTCCTCGCTCGGGGACCACAGCCCGGGCTCCTCCGCACTCACGCCTCCCACCCCCGAGGATGAGCTCTCACCTGGAGCCCCAGGAGGGTGGACGCCAGGTGGTGGTGGTGGTGGGGGGGAGTAGGTGGAGGGGAGGGGGGGAGTAGGTGGGGGGGGGGTATCCCCACATTCCCGGCTCTTCAAGACGTCGCGCGTTGTCCCCTGCCGTGCGGGAGGCGCCTGCTGGAGAAGGAGGACGAGGGGACTCCACCAGCTGGGAGCACGGAGAGGCTCCACGTGGACAGTGGGGCGAGTGGGGTTGGGGGGGCTCCACTGCGCCCGCAACCCGGGGCCTGGTGCCACTCACAGCGGGAACTGCAAAGCGCGCACCGAGTCGCGGTGGCGGTGGTGGAAAAACGGGAGGGGGTGATGGTGGGGGGGGTTCGAGAGGGAACACGCGGGACCCCCTGCGGAGTCGTCGCCTGTATTAATCTCGCGGTTATGAGCATTGAGTGTAATCCCTGTTATGAGACAATGCATCCATGTTATGAAAGTGCAGTATTAAGCCATACCTATGATTATTATTATTATTCACACTACGAGTGTTATTGTCATGATGATGACGGTTATTGTTATTGTTGGTCCTTCTGGGCATCACTAGGCCGGGCAAGCTGTGGCCCGGGTCCCCCCTGAGCTTCCCAAAGGGTCCGTGGGGTCCCCTAGAATTCGGGGTCCTGGCGCATAGCCCCCCACCCCCCCCCCCCCCGCGCGTCTCGGTCCATCCATCCAGGGAGACGAGGCGAGAACGTCATTGGCAGCGGAGACCACCATGGCAGTGCCGACACTCACTTGGCCTTGGGACTAGAGCAGTGTTCTTCACGAATTTTCAGAGAGGTGAAGGGGCACTTTCGCCGATAAGACATCATCAGCGTGTGAGGACCGCCACATATTTGAAAGCATTGGGGGTTTGACAGCAGCGCGATGATGATTGGGGGGGGGGGGGGTCACATTTGCGTTGTGTCGGGGGCCGCACGCGAGGGGCCGCACTAAAGGCGCCAAGGGGCATCCAGTGACCCGCGGGCCTTGCCACGTAGAACACTGGACTAGAGCAATGTGGCCTGGCACCCTGGCTAGCGGACATGGGACTTGCGGTCTAGGACGTGGAGCCTGGGAACTGTCCTCTGGAAACTAGGAACCGGTCACTTGGACCTAGAATCCAGGAGCTTGGGACTGCGACCTCGACCACGTGACCCGACCTGGGCGCGCCTTGGCTCGCGAACCAAGCGCCTTGACCCGCGGTCCCACGAGGCTCTGGGGGTGGCACAGACTAGGGGCGCGGTACCGTAATGGGCACGGCCGTTACGGCCCGAGTGGAACCAGTGGAACCAGGAACCAATGGAACCCAGTGGAACCAGGATACAGTGGAACCAGGAGCCAGTGGGACCTAGTGGAACCACGAGGCTCTGGGGGTGGCACAGGCTAGGGGCGCGGCACCGTAATGGGCACGGCCGTTACAGCCCGAGTGGAACCAGTGGAACCAGGAACCAATGGAACCCAGTGGATCCAGTATCCAGTGGAACCAGAAGCCAGTAGGACCTAGTGGAACCAGGAATCAGTGGAACCAGGAACCAATGGAACCCAGTGGATCCAGTATCCAGTGGAACCAGAAGCCAGTAGGACCTAGTGGAACCAGGAATCAGTGGGACCAGGAACCAATGGAACCCAGTGGATCCAGTATCCAGTGGAACCAGAAGCCAGTAGGACCTAGTGGAACCAGGAATCAGTGGAACCAGGAACCAATGGAACCCAGTGGATCCAGTATCCAGTGGAACCAGAAGCCAGTAGGACCTAGTGGAACCAGGAACCAGTGGAACCAGGAACCAATGGAACCCAGTGGATCCAGTATCCAGTGGAACCAGAAGCCAGTAGGACCTAGTGGAACCAGGAATCAGTGGAACCAGGAACCAATGGAACCCAGTGGATCCAGTATCCAGTGGAACCAGAAGCCAGTAGGACCTAGTGGAACCAGGAACCAGTGGAACCAGGAACCAATGGAACCCAGTGGATCCAGTATCCAGTGGAACCAGAAGCCAGTAGGACCTAGTGGAACCAGTGGAACCAGGAACCAATGGAACCCAGTGGATCCAGTATCCAGTGGAACCAGAAGCCAGTAGGACCTAGTGGAACCAGGAATCAGTGGAACCAGGAACCAGTTAACCCAGTGTATCCAGTGGAACCAGGAGCCAGTGGCATCTAGTGGAACCAGGAACCAGTGGAACCAGTTAACCTAGTGGGACCGAGTGGAACCAGTGGAACTAGGGGTGCGACCCGTGTCTCGCCTCTTCATCCTGGAGCGACCGCGCGATCCTGAGCCTCGTCGTCTGTAATATTAACTGCGATGGGGGGGGGGGGGACCCCCACCGTACGAGTTGGCGGAGTACAGGGGCCTCACAACACTCCTTCCCTCTCATCTTCCCCCTCTCATTTCTCCCCTCGGCCTGTCTCTTCTCTTGAATCTCTGCCCTACCCCTTTCTCATCTCTCCCCTTGCATCTCTCCTCTCACGTATCTTTCCTCTCATCTCTGCCTCACCTCTTTCTCTCGCTCTCTGGATTGCTGCAACACTTTTCACAAGGTTGCCTACACTGCACCATCACAACCCCGCTCACCACAAGCGAATCTACACCAACAACCTACCCACCAAATCAACAGCGGACTCGCTACACCCCACACCACACCCTCTACTACCACACCCACAAACACGCCACAACCCATCCACCGCATCGCTACAACCACAACTACACCAAAGACCCGACTCGCCATGCACACACCACACCCCCCTACCTAGACCAGCACACCGTACTCACCACCCCACAGCCGAGCCTCCACATCACAACCTCACTGACCACGCAATCGCGAACCCACCCCTGCCCAGACACCGCCACCCACCCCTCACCCCCTCCCGGCGTCGCGCCCGATAAGAAGCACAATCCGTCCCGACCCACGCAGCGAGTGGCGGCGGAGGAGATGTACAGATTTTACACCAAATCCACAATAAACACCCCGTGTTTACTCTCCGGCGTTCACTCTCCCGTATTCACTCTCCCGCGGCACTTTTCAGGAATGCATCTACTACGTTAAAGGAAGACTTGCTGTAAACAACAATATAACGAAGCAAAATAAATATATATGTCCCGCAACATACAAACGTATTTGTTTTACACATCCAATTCGACCACGTGGCAATCTGGGAGTGCATCACTGCAGCAGCATTGGTTCAGTACAAGCACAAAGCCTGGACCGGTTTCGACAATCATTGTCTCATCAGCAGTCACAGGCTTTGCTTGAAGCAATTGCTGGTGAACTGCCAGACATAATCGGCAAGGACCCTCTCTCGACCACACGGGTCCTATAGTAACCACAGCCGTGTTTAGCCGAGCTCGTGTTGACCACGCCTCGTGCACTACGCCCCCGCGACTGCTCCCATCCATGCGCCCTAATTGCCAATTGCGGGTGGCTACGTCCATTATTAATGATCCATTAAGGAGCCGAGTGGGTCGTCGCGATCTCCAGTGGGGGCTGAGTCTCCCTGCGGTCAGCGCTTCCATCACCAGACGCTCCCCCCTCCCCTACCGCCCGCCCGACATCCACCGCCCCTCTCTCCACCACATCCGCAGTGCTCAACCGGGACGAGGCGACCGCCCCGGGGTGGTCTGTGGTGCGGAGGAAGAGACAAAGGCAAATCCGTCCCATGTAGCCCACACCGACTGCTGGGGCAAGTGCTGCTCGCAAGCAACACCGACGAAGGCGGGCTTGGTGAATGAGGGGGTAGTGCGGCCAACGCCACGCCCGGCCGAACTTCGTCTCCCGAGCACTTATCTTGACCACGTCGCTCCAGGTACTCATTTTAGGCTGAGGCTACCCAAACGGAGGACCAGGACCATGATAAATTTTTTTTACCCTTCTATCTGGCAACAAAACTGACACCTTTTTTTACAAGGAGTCATGTTTACATAGACCACAATACCTGCAGTCATAATGCAAACAAAAAACATAACTCTAATAATGTATGCACTGTCCTTGAAGTTGATTGGTCCACACCCGAGGCAGCTTTCCTTAGAGCCTAGTCTCACATGGGTTGGACCAGATGAAGCCAAAAAGAGCAGTTTTTTGTTTGAATTATGACTGCAGGTATTGTGGTATATGTAAACATGACTCCTTGTAAAAAAAGGTGTCAGTGTTGTTGCTAGATAGAAGGGTAAAAAAACAATTATCATATTTTTACTGGTAAATGAGGTTCCAATGGTGACCAGGACCATCTCATGGATTCGGATAATCGTCACCGATGATAGCCGTGAACGGGAATCGAACTAGGGACGTCGGGTTCGCTGCGCAGTACACTAACAGCCAACACGCTACCGTGGCGAGAGACACGCGAAACATTTGTCTAGACACGGACACGCGCACGGATACACACAACACACACGGGCAGACCCGCGAGTAGCCAAAACATAGGGGCACGGGGACACGCGTACACACGCACCAGAGTCCACCAACACCTGGGGGCAAACTGGGTCCCGGGTTCTGCTGCAATCAGCGCACACGCGTGACAGCTCCCACCGAACCTCTATTCCCACTGACCTACCCTCCCCTACCCACGACGCACGGAGCACAGAACACGATTAAAAACACGTTTTGGGTCACACCATGCTCGAGATGAGATGGGATGAGACAAAATGAGATGGGATGGGTGGGTAGGACAGGGTGAGAGGGATGGACGGAACGGGTGGAAAGGATGGGTGGTGCTAGATGAGGCCGGATGAGACGGGTGGATGGGGTGATGGGGACGAGGCGAGCAGCTATCCCTCACGCCTGGCGGTAATGGTCATAGGGGCGCTTCCTCTATTTTCGTGGTTGCGATTTACGGCCTCCAACCAACCAGGTCCACGGGGAGAGGACGGAGCAGAGCGAGCGGGGAGCGAGGGGAGGGGGACGGCTGGAGGTGGGAGGGGAGAGGCGGTGGTCCACACTCCATGACTGTTAGCGCAGACGATGCGACATAGCTTTTGCGATACGGCCGCGACTAAAGGCAGCAAAGTAGACACTGCCACTGATGTAGACAATGACACAACAACAAGGCTGAATGGTGGTGACGTCACAGAGGCGATGTGCCATTCTAAGTGCACTTTGTTGGCAGGTCACAGGGTAGGTCCGGGTGTTGACGTATCCACTGTGACACGCACACACACACTTGCATAGACAGAATGACACAAACACAAACAGACACCGTGTAACCTTTTTAACAGACTGTCGGGGCAATTGCTTTTAGCGTAGACGTATGAAGACCGGCACGGCACACGAGAGGGTGGGTGGCTTAAACCTCGCCCGTAGCCGCCTTTGTGTCCCCCAGTGCTGATGCTTAAACGCAGCACCAGGTACTCAGTTTAAGTCGACCGAGGGGGCAGGACCAGGACCTGTTCGATATTCGCCACTGAAATTTCATCGCGAGTGGGAATCGAACTCGCGTCAGCCGGGTTCGTAGCGCAGTGCGACAACCGGTCGCCACTACCGCCCGCCACACACAGTGACACGGACACGGTCGCTGTTATTTTTGGGTGCTCGCTTAGACGCTGCAAAATCCTCGTTATCGCGCGGTAGTAAATCTGAGCTGCATGGGGGGGTGGGGGGCGTGGGGGGCGGCAGAGACGAATTCAGCTCCGTTTGTGATGACGAAGCTCTTCCTCCCCTCAACTCTGACTCCCCTACCCCCCCCCCAATGCCTCCGCCCCTCCGCTCACAATCAACACTCGCTTCCCCCCCCCCCACTCCGAGCTCAATACCTCCCCACTTTCACCCACACCCTCCTCCCAAACCCAACTTCTCTTCCCCTTCACCCCAATCCCCTTGGCTCCTGTAGCCACTTATCACGACCACCCACCGCTCAATTCCTCCCACCTGCCGATCCCTTCCACGACTCATTCACATCCACCTCACTCACCCACTGCTCAATTCCTTCCACCTATCAATCAAGCACGTGGTTCACTCTCATTCGCCTCACTCACCCGGCACTCAATCCCTCACTCGCCGCTCATTCGCATCCATCGTTTAATTCCTCCCATAGATCACTGCCATCCACCACCGCTCGCATCCCGTCTGCTGCTCACGCTTTGCTCCAATCTTGATCAACTTCACATTGTCTCGATGGGGGGGGGGGGGGGGGCAGGTAGGGTGTAGTTTAACTTGGTGCTGGGGTGGGGACAGTCGATTTCCACCCACCGGACCTGACCTCTCCAACCCCGAAAAACGCTGCTTAGGCTCGGACCCTTGAGCCAACACCGTCAGCTTTTACGGTACTGCTGTTGGGGCTCTTGATGTTATTGATGTTTGTTGTTAATGGCGATGCTATTGTGGCATTACAAGCAAAGCGAGTGGAGGGATTGAATTACAATCTGCGGGGGCTCTACGGACCGCTGCTCTGTGCAGTTCACCCGCCCCCGCGATTCGCAGCGGGGGCGAGGGGGGTTGTGCAAATGGTGTCCCCCTTCCCTCATTACCGCCAGATCTCGGCAGTGCGGGTGATGTGATTACAGTATTTCTGTTTGAATATTTCATTGCGTTTAGAGATTACATGCTGGGCTAGTGGAGTTGGGCAGCATTGGCCAGGGGCGAAGATAGCACTCGGGACATGCCATGCTTCAGCACCAAGGACAGGGATTAGAATAAAGCACCAACGCCCACACTTTGGAACATTAGTCAATGGGCCAGAACATAAATTAGTTCCATCTAAAGTAAGCACATATTTCTTAATGTTCACGTTTATGTATGCCTAATGAGTGATGTTTTTGATAACTCAGGCATTTCAAATGATTATCTCATAATTGACTGTTAATGGCCATATAATAGAAATTGGAACCACTATATCTGGCCTGTGCTAATAGGACTATATAGATCTATTCAGATGTCTAGAAGCGGACTATAAATATAAAATGAATACAATCTTGCCATAAAAATGTATCCTCTCGAACCTATATTTGACGCTGTTGTCAACATCAGGGCGGACAGTGGAGGATTAGAGAAATTGAATTCGCACGATACAATCCTCCAGTGTGTGTAGAGTGTTATTGACCTACTTGAAAATGCTGTCTAATTATAGTGCTTTAATAATGGATGCTACCATTAGACACCAAGTATGTATCACGCATGTATCATATTTGTAATGCGTGTGCGACGAGCCAGCCTCTAAGGGAGAAGGAATGGGGAGGAAGGAGGGAGCGTCCGCATGCTTTGTCACCTTGACATTTCCCCTGACCCCGTGACCCCGCTTCTCCCACTCTTCGCCGGATAAATAAATAAACACATCACGGGACGCGAATGCATCCGCAGCGCGGGAAGGGAGAAGCTGCTGCTGCTGCTGTTGCTGCTGTCACCCGAGTCGCGTCCGTAGATTATAGGCGAAGCGGCAGCAACGGGAATCGGGGGATGATTGGTGGATGAATCAGTGCCCGGCTGGGTGGACCATGGGCCTAGGGAGGCAGGACAAACCAGGGGAGCTGGGGGTGAGGGACAGGTTGGGAGGGTAAATCCCACCCACTGCCCCCCCCCCCCCCCCCCAGCGGCACCAGGCGCTGATGCAGGGCAGAGCGGTTTGGGACTTCAGGGTTTGTGGTTCAAGCCTCGCCCTCCTCGCGCCGCGCAGAGGAGGCATCGAACCTAGGTTTTCCCCCTTTAACACATCTCCATGATGCACATTTGCCCACCACAGCCTCAGTGTTAAGACTCTTTTTCAGCAGGGTTCTGCTGAGTTTCGCAGAGAGGTAAGGGGGTGATGTTTAAGTATTTGATGTTGGCTATGTATATATATTTTCACAATTGGCCTATTGTTTGGAATAACGTCACGGGATCTTTAACGTCCGCTACGAAGCAGATGACGAAGACTTTTACGGTTACTGCACCCGCAGTATCAACCAGGGTGACCCAAAATACGCTTCCACTTGGCAATGTCACCATGGAAGGGGATGGGCTCCCTGGCACTGTGCAAGTGTGGGGGGGGGGCTCGTCTGTCCCCAGCCTGTGTCAAAAGCTGGGCCTCAAGTTTACTCACAACAGCACTCTGCTGCCTATACGAGTCCCTGTAATTGTGAGTCTTTGGAGGAGGTTACCCCCAGGGTCGTGATACCGACTGGTTGCGGAAAGTGAGACCGTCTGGTCGTGAATAAATGTCCCTCTCCGATAGTGACATTCTCTGGTTGTGAACATTTGGCAGTGGCATCCTCTGAAAGTGACACTCGCTGGCTGTGAATATTTGGCAGTCTCCCTATGACAGGGACCCTCTGGCGATGTCACTCTCCTGGCCATGCGCAACCGCCAACCTCCATGCTATGCTCGCACCACGCTCTCTCTCTCCGCCTGTGCTTCCACAAATCCGCACGCCGCTCACTCCTGCTCACAGAAAATCCATCGGGAGGCCTTTATTTGACCAAGTGAAAGGCCACAGAAACAACCGGTCAGTGCGGCATGGGAGACGTGGGCACAGCAAACAATGTGCACTCGTTCGCGGGCGTGCACCTCCACACAAGTAAAGTCCAGGCTCCAGGTGGAAGACGGTACAAACTCCACCCCGGGTTTTCGGGTCGTTGACGACTGCATCGTGATGGCAGCACGTGATGATGACGATGATGAACAATTACTTGGCTCGCACAAAGCCAGTAAAATCTTTGTTTATCTAAATTAAAGGGACACCTTCCCTGAAGCTTCCCATCTACATTATCGTGGTATATATGGAGAGTTTGAAATCTAAACTGAGCGTACCAATTAAGGGATAAAAACATCAACACATTCGTCAACAACACTGTGGCCCTAAAGAAAAAATACACAAAAAATATAAAATAGGCAATGTTTCGGCCATTGGCTCGTCTTCATATCACGTAGTTTGTGTATTATGGAGAAGGGCCATTGACCAAAACGTCACATTTTTTTTCTTTTAAGGCCAAACAGTGTCGTTACCGAATTTGCTGGAGCACTTTCTTCGTTGCTTGTGCACCACTGCCAACGCAGCAGGAGCAGCAACAAATGTTGACGAAGGCGATTTATGTGACTTGCTACATTTTCCTGTAAATCTGAATGGAATGCATCACCTCCCTGGAAAAATAGGCTTTTGTATTAATGAGTTCTCCGACTATAATGTTCTCAAGTGCATAGGCGTGTGCGTAACTGGGCGTGTGCTGTTATGTGTATCTGTGTGTGGTGTACATACAGGAAGAGAGCTAGCAATGAACCACTGCCATCACATTACAGTTTTTAAGTGGGTCCCTAATAAGAATGTCACCTCGTAACGCGCACGGCATTCACTTTATCTCGTACAGAGAGAACGACTGAGAAGAGAGCGAGAAACCACAGACAAGCAGGAATCTAACGCGACAAGCCGGTGCCAACAATTTTCCAAAGCTCTGCAGTCCTCTATATATCATTTAAGGTGATATCGGCCAATTAATGAGTGTTTACATGTCGGAGAAAAACCGGAGCACCCGGAGAAAACGCACGCGTGCCAGGGGGAAACCACCCTGACCAGAGGTCGCAAACGGGTTTTGATTCCCTACCCGAAATGAGTGACAAACAGTTACTCACCAGTGACTCATGGCCTACCCGTACCCGGCCGCACCAGGGTCGCAAACGGCTACCCGTACGGGTAGGGTACGGGTATCGGGGACCCGGTTGCGACCTCTGACCCAGGTGGAGTCCACATCTTTGCTGTACTGCCATCTCGTGGCGAGTCAGGGGTACGGGCTCCTCGTCGACCCCCACGGGAAGGGAGTTTCTTAACATTTATGCGGTGATCCAGCAACCCTCAACCACCAGAGCACTGGATTACAGACGTGCGCCATCACTGCCCGGCTATGGGGGTCGACGGTCTCGATGTCAGGAAATGGGTCTCTGTAAGTGCATGGGTCTCAATGTGAGTCTAACAGTCTTGATGTGAGTCTATTATGGGTCTCTTATGAGTGCATGGGTCTCAATGCGAGTCTAAAGGTCTCGGTGAGAGTCTATTATGGGTCTCTTATGAGTGCATGGGTCTCAATGTGAGTCTAAAAGTATTGATGCGAGTCTATGGGTCTCTTATGAGTGCATGGGTCTCAATGTGAGTCTAAGAGTCTTGATGTGAGTCTATTATGGGTCTCTACGAGTGCATGAGTCTCAATGTGAGTCTAAAGTTCTCGATGTGAATCTATGGGTCTCTACGAGTGCATGGGTCTCTATGTGAGTCTATGGGTCTCTACGAGTGCATGGGTCTCGATGTGAGTCTATGGGTCTCTACGAGTGCATGGGTCTCTATGTGAGTCTAAAGTTCTCGATGTGAGTCTATGGGTCTCTACGAGTGCAAAGGTCTCGATGTGAGTCTATGGGTCTCTACGAGTGCATGGGTCTCGATGTGAGTCTATGGGTCTCTACGAGTGCAAAGGTCTCGATGTGAGTCTATGGGTCTCTACGAGTGCAAAGGTCTCGATGTGAGTCTATGGGTCTCTACGAGTGCATGGGTCTCGATGTGAGTCTATGGGTCTCTACGAGTGCAAAGGTCTCGATGTGAGTCTATGGGTCTCTACGAGTGCATGGGTCTCGATGTGAGTCTATGGGTCTCTACGAGTGCAAAGGTCTCGATGTGAGTCTATGGGTCTCTACGAGTGCATGGGTCTCGATGTGAGTCTATGGGTCTCTACGAGTGCATGGGTCTCGATGCGAGTCTATGGGTCTCTACGAGTGCATGGGTCTCTATGTGAGTCTAAAGGTCTCTATGTGAGTCTATGGGTCTCTACGAGTGCATGGGTCTCTATGTGAGTCTAAAGGTCTCTATGTGAGTCTATGGGTCTCTACGAGTGCATGGGTCTCTATGTGAGTCTATGGGTCTCTACGAGTGCATGGGTCTCTATGTGAGTCTAAAGGTCTCTATGTGAGTCTATGGGTCTCTACGAGCGCATGGGTCTCTATGTGAGTCTATGGGTCTCTACGAGTGCATGGGTCTCGATGATGAAGCCACTGCCATCGCGCTCTAAGTCACTCGATGAATACACCGACACACGTCATACCCAAGGCTTGAATTTATAGCCTCCTCAGCCTGCAGCCGAGAGCAGAAAATAGACATTAGGAGCAGCATCGGCCCGCGCATCACGGCCGCGGCCCATGCTCAGGGGGCCGTCTTAGCGTCGCCGCGTTGGGGGGGTCGCTCCTCGGGGTCCGAGTCGGGCTCGGACGGTGCTAGGGGGAGGCCATCGGGCCCCCCAGAGCGCAGGCCCACCAGTCGCTCGCTGACCTCCCACAATTTCGCGGCCACGGCATCATCCGTGGCGACGGGCAGGAGCTCCTCCTGGCGGCAGTCGCCGAAGTAGGCGCCGCTGACGTCGGCCACGTCGGGCGAGGCGGCGAGGAAGACGGCGGTGCGGGCTCCCTGCTCGGGGGAGCGGAACGCGGCCCAGGCGAGAAGGTTGAAGAGCGGCCGTGCCAGGGCCGGCATGGAGACGTGTCGGCCCAGGTTGGTGCGCACGATGCCCGGGTGCAGCGCGTTGGCCGTGATGCCCCGGCCACGCAGGCGCCGTGCCAACTCGCGTGCGAACATCACGTTGGCCAACTTGCTGCGTGCCGTACGCGGCCGCGGGGTCGTAGGATCGCTCGCTGGCGAGGTCGTCGAAGTTGACGCGGCCCTGCTTGTAGAGGGCCGACGACACCACCACGACCCGGCTGGGCACCGAGCGGCCCAGCAGCGGCAGCAGCAAGGCGGTGAGCAGGAAGTGACCCAGGTGGTTGACCCCGAACTGCGTCTCGAAGCCGTCCTCGGTGAGCGCGTAGGGGCAGCGGAACACCCCCGCGTTGTTCACCAGCACGTCCAGCCGCTCCTCCTCACGCTCCATCCGCGCGCAGAAGCGACGCACCGACGCCAGGGAGGCGAGGTCCAGTTGGCGCACCACCAGCAGCTCGGCCTCCACGTGGCCCAGCTCCCGACGAAGTTCGCCCGCCGCCTCCTCGCCCAGCGCCACATCGCGCACCGCCAAGATGACGCGGGCCCCGAGGCGGGCGAGGGCCAGCGTGGTGGCGCGGCCCAGGCCGCAGTTGGCACCGGTGACCACCACGGTCTTGCCGCGCATGCTGCCGGACATGAGGGCCAGCAGCGAGGGCCGCCCGTGGAGACGGCGACGCGCCGCTGCGAGGAGCACCACCAGCAGCAGGAGGCCGCAACCCGCGGTGCCCGCCAGCGCCTGGATGCCAGGGCCCATCTGTCGGGTCAAGTCGACGGGGACCCCGTCAGCTGTTCGGGCGTGGGCGTCCCCTGGTGGCCATGCAGGATTAGAGCCGTAAGCGCTATTATTCTTAGTCGTCATGATCGCGTTTTTACCTCGGTAGGGCGATTGGTTTGATGTTGGTCAGAGAGTCGAGAGCTCACGGGGGTGATGCTGTGAACGGATGAGATTCTGCGAGCGAATGATGGACCACGCGCAGTGGAAGCCCTTCTCACCGCAGCTTGTCGTTTAAATGAATACCGCGGTAGAAATGGTGGATCGCTGCAATTGTTTACGCCACTGCTGGCAGAAAGGCTCCCTCTAGAGGCCAATTGAACGACTACTCTCCCACGTGTGCCTGACGTCTTGGAAGAGGGAGTCCGTGGTCAGAGGTCGCAACCGGGTACCCGATACCCGTACCCTACCCGATACCCGGCTACCCGGCCGGGTACGGGTACCCGTTTGCGACCCTGGTGCGGCCGGGTACGGGTAGGCCGTGAGTCGCTGGTGAGTAACCGTTTGTCACTCATTTCCCAACGTCTTGTCTCTTCTCACAATTCAAGTTCCTAGAATCAACCCACTCGCGCCTGCAACATGGCTTCATCCCAGAGGTCGCAATCAGGTACCCGATACCCGGCCCGGGTACCCGTTTGCGACCCTGGTGCGGCCGGGTACGGGTAAGGAATCAAAACCCGTTTGCGACCCTCTGGTCGTGCTCCACACTTCACTGAACCACAGGCGGACCTGGGTGGACGCAGACGGAGGGGAGAGTCGGATAGTTGTTAAGCTTCAACTGACTCGAATGTGCGCACTAGCGGCGCCATGGTGGCGAGATGTTAACTACCTCGCTTGGTATACAGGAGGTCGTGGATTCGATCCTAACCCTGACGCCTGCTGTATATTTGGAGTTTGTATGTTCTACCCGTGGTCGTGTAGGGTTTTCTCCAAGTCCTCCGGTTTTTTCCCTCCACATTTAGAAACATGCGTTTTAGAGTACATGGCTGGTATAAATTCCCACAAGCCAATTCGTTGAGATATAACGTGGCCAGGTTGCTTCTGAAAAAGAGCCATATAGTTGTGGGCCTTACCTGTTAAAATAAAAAGTTTAGTTTACATCTTAGTAGCTGCGCTGTACTCTAAAATGTAAAATTCAATGGTTTTAGTGGCCTCCCTTTGAAACTATTTGACTGTTACACAGGTTTTTCTTAATTTTACCATACTCCAAAATAATTATTTTTTACGAGCTTAAATTTGAAAAAACATTAAGGTAGGGGAATGTTATATGGTTTCTCGGTCAAAGGTCATATGCCTAACAGCTCATTATGGATACAAGTCTCTGGTTCCTATCAGTCAGAATGAGACCTCAACTCTTTGGTAGGCATGTGACTCGAGTGCTGTGACTGATACACTCATATGGATGAATGCCGTTTTTTAACAGTGTAGATACGAACACTGGCATTGCAGAAACATGATCAATAACAACAGAATGGAGACGTTTTTCCGAGAGCAGATAGACAATGGCTAGAGATGTCAAGAGGAGGAAAAAAACACATCAGGAGTTTAATGGCCACAAGCACAGGTTCCTTAGCTTAGGCTTGGAGGTCTCTATCCCTATGGAGGGGTTCGTTGGCCCTGGGTTCTCAACTCCACACCCCCGTTGGGTGCGACTGTTCTATAGGGGGTCACAAGGACGGGAGTCAAAGTCTTCTACCATAAATTGCAATGATGGCTCCAGGCCATTTGTGCTGGGCACCATCCGATAACTCTTAAAATCTCAAACGCCAACCATAAACACCAAACCCTAAATCCAACCTTTAAAGTGCGCCGGAACCATTCACCATGCGACCATTACTTTCACCATCTTTTATTTCAACTTTACAGATTCGTATGTGTTTATTATTTACAGTGTATTATATCACTACATTTCGTAAGCACTTTAAAGTGCATTTCCAAAACAATCAAGCTCACTAAATCAAGTTGCTCATCTCACCGATGAAATATGTAAATTTCCCAAAAAATGTATTACGTCAATCTCCGAGGTGAGATTGGAAGAATTACACACGAGGCTAAGGCAGCACACGCGAGAGGCACCGCAAGATAACCCGAGTCAGCAACACAGCCGCAGCCTCCTGCCTCAATCGAATCTCATGGCAGCAGCTCCTCGTCACCCGTGCACGACGACCAGGAGCTCACGCATCTTGGCACTCGGGCTCGACATCTGGAACAGCAACAATTGTTGCCTGCGTTTGATTGTCAAGTGCTGTTGCGCCGACGTCTGCCTGGACGGCACTGAACAGCTCTTCCATGTCCCCCAGCATGTGCTGTTGTTGCTGGGGCGTGGTGGCACTGGAGCCGGTGGCTTGCTGCGTGTCGGCTGGAGTGCTCGGTCCTGCTTGCGGCACTCCCAGAGTAGGGGGGCCCACGGCTGCTGCACCCACGGGAGGGCTTCCCGCCGCTGTCCGCCGCCCGCGCCTCTTGCCCAGCACCTGCACGTAGTTGGCAGGCGCCAGGCCGGTGGCCACCCCATCGCGGCTCGCCAACAGCCAGCCCCGCACCCTCGGCTGCTGCTCTGTAACCGCGCAAGCACCACCAGCTCGTGAGTCATGGATGTACATATTTAAAATGGTTGGCTACGTATGGTGCAAAATAAGTTATACATACAGTGGTTTGTCCCAATAAAAGTGGTGTGTGTCAAGGTGGCGTGGGAGATGGTTATATATGGGATGTGTTGGCCTGGGCTTTGATGTATAGGTCTTCGAAGTTGGTGGTATGGGGCATGGTAGTGTGGGCTGTGGTGGGGTGTGGTGGTAGCATGGGTCAATGTTTCCTGGCTCATGGTAGTGTGGTGCCATCGGTGGGAGCAAAGAGGGCAGCGGTACCACCCAGGGGAAGTGCGTGTGCATGGCGTGACGTACCCTTGGGTGCCAGGATGAGTACATCTCCTGCACGGAAGGAGATCTCTTCATCGGACGTTGCGGTGAAGTCGTACCCCGCCCGGGCCACAATGTGGTCATCTTCACCACTTGCCCACTCACACCCTGATAATAAAATAAATGACACAGACACTCACGACCACTCTCGTTTAGGCGCCCACCCCGTTCCTGTGAACTCTGCTCTCAGAATCTTTCATAAATCCCAGGCTCTCACCAGTTTCAGGTTCTTGTGCAGCAGCACTAAGAAGCTTCCAGATGAGGTAGGGCCCGCCGAGTACCACAGCAAAAAACAGAAGGATGGGCCAGGACTTGGGGCCAGCTCGGCCAGCTCCGGAGACACTTGCACCCTCTATCGAGGCTCCTGGAGAACATGGAGGTACCCACACACCAAGCTGAAATTCCCACCCCCACAACCACGGCTATGCTTACCAGTACAAAACAATCGGTGGGGAAAGGCAAAACTTTGATTTTAAAGGAGAGTAGCACGAATGTATCAAAATGGGCATGCAGGTGCTGCAGGTTCGCTGCTTGTACCAGCAGCACAGCTCTCCACCCAAGCAGCGTCAACTTCACTCTTGCTCCTAAGCCCCAATAGCGCCAGGAGACGCCCGTAAAGAAACCTGACGGTGACAAGCACACATGTAGTTACCGAGCGGCACCCTGCCCACATCAAGCATGGGGGTCACCAAACACGTCTACTTGCATCACATTTCAGCATTTGATGGAAACGCATTGGTGCAAGACGGGTACTATTGGTATGTGCCCCTCCCGCCCTGGCGTCGCTGTGGTTACCGGATAGTGCGCACGAGGGCAAAGGCCGACAGGGCGTTTGTGAACTGCATCCGCAGGCGGCTGAAGTGGTCTGCGACGTCGAGCACGGCGCGGAAGCTGTTGTACACGGCCGAGAAGGTGGCGTCGAGCATCATGGAGACGGAGCTGAACGCGTGCACGATGCTCTCCACCGACTGGAACGCCGTGCGGCTGCTCTCCTCCGCCGTGCGCACAAAGCGGCTCGGCCCGCTCGTATTCTGCTCGCGGAATCGGCTGTAGCCGTAACCGCCATACTGGCTGCCACCAAAGCCAAGGCCGTACCTGCAGAGACATTTGCCATGAGAAAGCGAACAAAGACAAAGACCCCCCCCTCCTATGTAGCGTACACAGGCTCCTGGAGCATGTGCTGTGAGCACCTACAGTGAGGGAAAAAAGTATTTGATCCCCTGCTGATTTTGTACGTTTGCCCACTGACAAATAAATTATCAGTCTTTAATTTTAATGGTAGGTTTATTTGAACAGTGAGAGAAAGAATAACAACAACAAAATCCAGAAAAACGCATGTCAAAAATGTTATAAATTGATTTGCATTTTAATGAGGGAAATAAGTATTTGACCCCTCTGCAAAACATGACTTAGTACTTGGTGGCAAAACCCTTGTTGGCAATCACAGAGGTCAGACGTTTCTTGTAGTTGGCCAACAGGTTTGCACACATCTCAGGAGGGATTTTGTCCCACTGCTCTTTGCAGATCTTCTCCAAGTCATTAAGGTTTTGAGGTTAACGTTTGGCAACTCGAACCTTCAGCTCCCTCCACAGATTTGTTTATGGGATTAAGGTCTGGAGACTGGCTAGGCCACTCCAGGACCTTAATGTGCTTCTTCTTGAGCCACTCCTTTGTTGCCTTGGCCGTATGTTTTGGGTCATTGGCATGCTGGAATACCCATCCACGACCCATTTTCAATGCCCTGGCTGAGGGAAGGAGGTTCTCACCCAAGATTTGACGGTACATGGCCCCGTCCATCGTCCCTTTGATGCGGTGAAGTTGTCCTGTCCCCTTAGCAGAAACACACCCCCAAAGCATAATGTTTCCACCTCCATGTTTGACGGTGGGGATGGTGTTCTTGGGGTCATAGGCAGCATTCCTCCTCCACCAAACACGGCGAGTTGAGTTGATGCCAAAGAGCTCTATTTTGGTCTCATCTGACCACAACACTTTCACCCAGTTGTCCTCTGAATCATTCAGATGTTCACTAGCAAACTTCAGACGGGTATGTATATGTGCTTTCTTGAGCAGGGGGACCTTGCGGGCGCTGCAGGATTTCAGTCCTTCACGGCGTAGTGTGTTACCAACTGTTTTCTTGGTGACTATGGTCCCAGCTGCCTTGAGATCATTGACAATATCCTCCCGTGTAGTTCTGGGCTGATTCCTCACTGTTCTCATGATTATTGTAACTCCACGAGGTGAAATCTTGCATGGAGCCCCAGGCCGAGGGAGATTGACAGTTCTTTTGTGTTTCTTCCATTTGCGAATAATCGCACCAACTGTTGTCACCTTCTCACCAAGCTGCTTGGCGATGGTCTTGTAGCCCATTCCAGCCTTGTGTAGGTCTATAATCTTGTCCCTGACATCCTTGGAGAGCTCTTTGGTCATGGCCATGGTGGAGAGTTTGGAATCTGATTGATTGATTGCTTCTGTGAACAGGTGTCTTTCATACAGGTAACAAGCTGAGATTAGGAGTACTCCCTTTAAGAGTGTGCTCCTAATCTCAGCTCGTTACCTGTATAAAAGAAACATGGGAGCTAGAAATCTTTCTGATTGAGAGGGGGTCAAATACTTATTTCCCTCATTAAAATGCAAATCAATTTATAACATTTTTGACATGCGTTTTTATGGATTTTGTTGTTATTCTGTCTCTCACTGTTCAAATAAACCTACCATTCAAATTATAGACTGATCATTTCTTTGTCAGTGGGAAAACATACAAAATCAGCAGGGGATCAAATACTTTTTTTCCTCACTGTATAAAGGCAGGCATGGTGTGGCCAGCACGACGTCCAGCAGACTTTATCTCCCCAGTAATGTTTACGCATTGCATCAGTATGCCGACCAGGACCAGTTCAAATATTTGCTTTTGATGTTGCTATTTTAACAGGAGTAGAACTTGGGTTGCTAGCTTTGTAGCGCAGAGCACTAACCATTACCTTACCACTCCCGATATAAATACACGTACACATATAGACACAGAAATACAGACAGAGGCCCACAGGGAGACACACAAACTCAACACGCAGTCTATCACCTCATGCACACACCACAATGTAAGATGCACTCGTGAACAACATTCCTGCGCACGGTACCCCATGCCGTTGTTGTAGTAGGGACTGGAGACCCCGTAGAGGCTGCCGGCGTGCGGGGAGGTGTACGAGGAAAATCCCGGACGGTAGGCAGACCCCATGGAAGTGAAAGCTGACGAGCTCTGGGTGGGGCGAGGTGGCAGGGGTGGTGGAGCCGCCCTGCCCGGGCCACCCTGTCCAGCCCACGCCTCTCCGCCCGGGGCCTCTGGGGCTCTGACCACAAATATGAGTCGCATAGAATGCCATGGTGCGGCCAGGGCAGGTGGCCTCATGGGCTCGTTGTACCAAAAACATTCCTCTCATCCATACCGTGTTAAACAAATTGAAGAACGCAACATTTTTCTCTCCCTTTTTCCTTGCACTGCTCCACTTTGAAATGCACTCCCGTTCCGTTTCCTCAAATTCCGATAAAGCTTGCAAAACTCAAGAAACGTATTGTCTTTTAAACTAATGTCAGTGCCGTTATTTTTTGGCCGCTTTGCATACTGAGTATATGATTTTAAAAAAACACACACACAAAAACAGGGCGTTGTGGCAGTGATAACTACTCTTAACTCTATTCTAGACTTGAAGTTTTCTTGACGGCAAGGATCCATACATACTCTTGGTTCTTTCGGTAAAGTCACATAGGTAGAGAAAATAAAAGAAAACAAAACACGACGTTTCGGGCGCAACACAAGCGTCCGTCATCAGGCGGGGACAACCACAGCGGAAACAATCGCTGAAGTATGCCAAAGAGATGATTGTGACAATCCCTGATGACGGACGCTTGTGTTGCGCCCGAAACGTCGTGTTTTGTTTTATTTTCTCTACCTACGTGACTTTACCGAAATAACCAAGAGTATACTCTTAACTCTACCACGCGAGAGAGACTCAACCTACCCCCCTAACTAAACAACCTGACCCCCCCCCCCAGTCCATAATCATGGTGTTATGCACACTATGCAATCCTAACCCTCATCACACAAGTCAATCATCTCTCGATATCAACCCTGCCCTAAAGACATTGTTAATCAAACAACATTTGCATGACCTTTCTCCCAATATCTAACCATAGAGCACCTCGCGGCACTGGTCCTGCACGGGTTGTCACGGCCACCACAGGCTGTCGCCAAATCGTCATCGCTGGTTGCCTTCTGGCTCCTTACCGCAGCTGTTTGAAAGGTCAACACCACTGCGACCTCGAAGCTACCGCACGAGCTCAAAGTGGCCGGTTGCATTTACGCTTTGAGTGAACTTCTCAAATACTCTTAGGTTTTTTCGGTAAAGTCACGTAGGTAAAAATTAATATTTTTAAAATAAATATTCATACTCTTAGGTTTTATCGGTAAAGTCATGTAGGTAAAAATAGGTATTACATTTGAGAAATTCTAGATTTGAAGCTTTCGTGACTGCAAGGATTCATATTTTTATTTATTTCTACCTACGTGACTTTACCGAAAAAACCTAAGAGTATGAATCCTTGCAGTCACGAAAGCTTAAAATCTAGAATTTCTCAAATGTAAAACCACGTGGGGATTTTCCCTTGCGTTATCCATGCAATGCAAGTTAAGGGATAAAATCCTAAGCCACTTTGTTGAGCGATCATTTGTGGCCAGGTCGCTTCTGAAAAAAAAGTTAATGCCTCGGTGCGCTTTAAAAAGAATGGTTTAGATGTGTGTATTTTGAGTGATTTGTTTACCTTTCCTACACTTTGCACTCCCACCGTGTGTTTGTATTATTTGTTGTTGTAACGTTCTGACCAACGCTAGTACTGCACACGTGCAAAAAAATTGCTTTATAGCTCATCGAATTCCTCCAGTATAAATACTCCGATTGTGGACCCCCCATCTCGAGCGTTTCCCATTCAACTCTCCACCCCCTTCTCTCTCTCCCCCATGCGACTTTCACAGCCACCACCTCGCGGCACCAGGTGGCAGAGGACCCTGCGGGGAGGAAGGGGGACGCGGGGTGGGAGACGCGAGGCCCAGGTACCGGAACGCGGGGTTGACGCCGCTGTTCGGGACCGCTCTCCTCTCCCAAGGTTTCGGCGGAGGCTGCGAGGCCATGGCGCCTGCTGTCCCGCGGAGCTCCGGCCTCGACCGTCACGGCTTATTGGGCTGGGGTGGGGTGGGGGGCCGCGGGTTTCACGTGGCCACGGCGTTCATGGTCGGGGCGGTCGAGTGTGGAGTCGAGGTACCCCCGCGTCCCCTGTGGCCCCCGTGTCTCCTGTGTAGTCGAGGTCCCCGTGTCCACCGTCTAGTCTCCCCGTGTACCCTGTCTAGTCTCCCCGTGTCCCCTGTCTAGTCCCCCCGTGTCCCCTGTGTAGTCTCGCCGTGTCCCCTGTGTAGTCTCCCCGTATCCCCCGTCTAGTCGAGGTCCCCGGTCCCCTGTGGCGGGGGGAGGATCTCGGGGTTCGTGCTCCTTCTCAGCGTCTCCCACCAAACACGCGCCCCGCCATGTTGCGGGCGACGTGACACCACATCCGGGTTGTTGTGTTGCGTGACGTCATTTCCGGGGGTCGTGGGTGGGGAGGGCGCGCGGTAGGGGGCGGGGCCCTGGACAGAGAGGGGCGGGGTTATGGTGTAGGGGGCGTGGTCACTGTAAAAGGGGCGTGGTCATCGGGGAAGGGGGCGTGGTCTTGGGGAAGGGGGCGTGGTCACAGGGCAGGGGGCGTGGTCACGGGGGAAGGGGGCAGGGCACGCGGCTCCACCCTGGGACCGGGAGGGACACGGACCGTGGCTCCTGCCGCTGCTGCTCACTCCCCTCCCGGCTGCTGCTCACTCCCCTCCCGGCGGCTCCCGGCGGCTCCCAGCGAGGCTCCTTCAGGCTCCCATCGCCGTTCCAGAGGCTCCAGCTCACTCGGTGCGGCTCCCCCTGTCGCCGTCCAGAGGCTCCGTCTCGCGCCTCGGTGCCACTCTCCCGCATCTTCCATCGACGCCTCTGCCCCGTCTCTGCTAGCTTTGCTGTTAATGTCCTCTTCTGCCTCCTCGCCTCAGCTCCCCTCCTTGCCAGCTTTGCTGATCTCTCGTCTCCCTCCCTCCCTCCATCCCTTCTTCCCCGCCGCCGCTATCACAGCGCGAGTGATTATCCGTCCATCTCCTCGCCCCGTGTGCGTCTTCTCTCCTCGCCCCGTGTCTCTCTATTGGTCGCGAAAGCTACGTGTTAAACCTCTCTCTCATCTCATCTCCGTGTCTCTCTCATCTCTCCGTGTCTCTCTCATCTCCCCGTGTCTCTCTCATCTCTCCGTGTCTCTCTCTCCGTGTCTCTCTCCTCTCTGTGTCTCTCATCTCCGTGTCTCCTCTATGTGTCTCTCCCCGTGTCTCTAATCTCCGTGTCTCTCTCCCTCTCTCATCTCCGTGTCTCCTCACCGTGTCTCTCCTCACCGTGTCTATCTCGTGTCTCTCTCCCTCTCTCATCTCCATGTCTCTCTCCATGTCTCTCTCCCTCTCTCATCTCCGTGTCTCTCTCCGTGTCTCTCTCTGTGTCCCTCTCCTCACCATGTCTCTCTCCGTGTCTCTCTCATCTCCGTGTCTCTCTCCTCCCCGTGTCTCTCTCTGTGTTTCTCTCTCCGTGTCTCTCTCCGTGTCCCTCTCCTCACCGTGCCTCCTCTCTCAACCCCCGGCGCGTGTCTCGCCCCCAGGCACCATGTTCAGCTGGATGGGCAACGACTCGCGGCGCAGGAAGGAGCCAGAAGTCTTCCAGACGGTGACCGAGGGCCTCAAGAAGATCTACCGCACCCGCCTGCTGCCCCTGGAGGAGCACTACCGATTCCACGAGTTCCACTCTCCCTCGCTCGAGGATGCGGACTTCGACAACAAGCCCATGGTGCTGCTGGTGGGGCAGTACTCGACGGGCAAGACCACCTTCATCCGCTACCTGCTCGAGCAGGACTTCCCCGGCATCCGCATCGGTCCCGAGCCCACCACCGACTCGTTCATCGCCGTGATGCACGGTGACACGGAGGGAGTCGTGCCGGGCAACGCGCTCGTGGTGGACCCCAAGAAGCCCTTCAGAAAGCTCAACGCGTTCGGGAACGCCTTCCTCAACAGGCGGGTGGTGGTGGTGGTGATGTGGGGTGACACGGTGGGGTGGGGGGGGGGGCAGGTCAGGTCATGGAGAGTGTCTTGAGGTCGTGGGGGGCAAGAGTCGAGAGCTCATCTCTTCCCCGCCCCCTCGCCCCCCCGGGGTCATGGGCCCACAGTTTTGATTGACCCAGGCCGGTAGCGTGACCTTGTTTAAAACAACAAAAGGGGGGGAGGAGGGGATTGGCAAGCGTAGACTCGGGTCAATGTCAAACAGAAGGGCCAACGACGAATGAGCAGTCGGACGATCAGCACTCCCTGTGTATGTATTGGACCAACATTGATTGCCTTGACTCTAGGAATTTAGAGAGGGCTAAGATCCCCCACCTACTGGAGGCTCTGCCTCTTTGTAACTCCCTTCTCCGTTGCTCTGAGGGGCTGCTTTGACCTTTCCTGGGTCACAGTCAAAGTGGTTGGTGTGACCTGGGTCACAGCATGGGTCATAGTTGACCTGATCTCTCCAGAGTTATAGTCTGAGCCGTACATACGACCTATCCTGGGTGTCATGGCTTGGATCATAGTGCTCGGGCCTTTTATGAGCCGCGGTGCGAAGCTCCTCTCTGTCCCTTGCTGACAACAAACCCCGATTCCTGGCCACGGCCAACATCGGTGGCGAGTGATACCTGAACCCGGTCCTGGGCCTGAGTGAAACATTAGAACTGGGGAGACAAAAGCGGCAGGGCGTGGACCCGGCCACACCACGGCCTTGTGCCGGCCTAAACAGGTGTTCACCCCAACAGCCTATAAAGGGATCAACCCAAGGGAATCTCTGGTTGGTACGTGGATACAGTTAGAGGTCATGTGTAAGGTTTGGTTTAGGGTTCAGAGTAAGGGTGAGAAGTGGTTATAGATGTATGTTTGTTGAACTTTTTTTGCACCGTCCGTAGCCAACCGTGCTAATCAGAGCTAGCGAGGCTTAATTTCTCATGAAATATTTTACCAAGGTCCCCAAACTCCGCCTCACCTCTCCCCGAGAGTAGGGGGGGGGGGGGTTGGGGGGTGGATTAAATTATGTAGCTTAGCCCCAGACAGCTCCTGTTGAAATCAAGCCCCTGGTAATATAGGAAGGAGTCTGAGTGAGCGTTAGGGTCGGGCTCATTCACGTGGCATCACTGCCGCTGCAAGTCTGGGCTCAGGAGGCCGAAGGTCGGCAAGACGCGCCAGCTGGTGACTCGTGCGAGAGCCCTCTCCCTCCCCCCGCCGTACCCGACACGGCCGCCCATGTTCGGAGCCACATGGCACGACGAGCCGCGGGCCCGATGATGGTGCAGGAGCACTGGGGGAGGGGGAGTGGAGGCAAGGGAGGCTTGCATGAAGTTGTAAAGCCTCGTGAGATGACAATATAAATTGACAGTTGTACTGAGAACATGGTAATGTAGAAAGAGATGTAGTGAGACGGGAGAAAAGAGATGCTAACAAGACGAATGAAAGAGATAAATTATCTTTTTGATGTTGATTAGCTTTTTGTGTTGATTGGGTTTGGAATTTGACGTGATATTTAATGCACCCATACTAATTAAATAATTAATTATGAATCCAGGTCCCCCTTGTGTTGCTTGGGGCGCTAAGCATTTGTTGGCTTTGCTTGTGCCGAGCGCCGCCACTGGAGTGGTGCCGGTGGCCGCAGGAGTACCGCCAGTGACGTCACGGCGTATGCTTCCGTCCCGCAGGTTCCAGTGCTCGCAGATGCCCAACCCTGTCCTGGAGAGCATCAGTGTCATCGACACCCCTGGAATCCTCTCCGGAGAGAAACAGCGCATTAGCCGAGGTGAGGGCCGGTCTTTGAGAGATGCGTGGATGTGAGAGAGGCATGGAATCGAAAAGGATGGTGGAGGGCGTGGGTCAGGGTGAGGGATAGGTCATGGTGAGGTTGGCAGGGGGTAATGGTGGGTCATGGTGAGGGTCAGTCAGAGTTGAGGGCTGGATTTTTATTTTGGCCCAGGTAAAACCCATTGGGCCATAAATGCTAATTGTAGATGGTGACCTTTTTACAAAAGCCTGATTACAGCCAAACAATTTACGTAACAATCAGAAAACAACAGATTGTAGGATTCTGGTGTGTTCAGGGTGAGGGTATCTAGAGGTGAGGCTGGCTCGGCATGAGGGCTGGATCGTCGAGTAGGTTTGACTTGGGTGAGAGGTGCAACTTTACGTGCAGACTTGTCTACTTGCTTTGTAAAGTTTATTTTAAACATCTATAACTTGTAACAGTTCGTTCTTGGTAAGTAGCCCCTGTTTCAATAGGCGGTTAAGGCTGCAAACAAGAATGGAGGTGCGAAGGGAGGATCCCACGTGGGTATGGGGAGTTTCTCCAGCCCTTGCACAGGGTCTCCAAAGGCCAAACCTGGGCAGAAGTGTAACATTTGTTTTGAACCGCTAACTCGGCTGCGCATCACCGACTTGTTTCGAACCGACGACCTTGTCTGCGTGGGCGCCCAGGCTATGATTTTGCGGCGGTGCTGGAGTGGTTCGCGGAGCGCGTGGACCGCATCATCCTGCTGTTCGACGCGCACAAGCTGGACATCTCCGACGAGTTCTCCGAGGTCATCCGCTCTCTCAAGGGTCACGACGACAAGATCCGCGTGGTGCTCAATAAAGCCGACCAGGTGAGGCCTCGCCCCGGGGCGGGGGGGGGCAGCGTCGGGGATGGTTCCTATCCCTCGTTGTCCTGGGGCAGGCACAATTTTCTTGCGGCGCGCGAGCGTCACGCCGTTTGCCTTCGTTGCAGGTCGAGACGCAGCAGCTGATGCGCGTGTACGGCGCCCTCATGTGGTCGCTGGGCAAGATCATCAACACGCCCGAGGTGGTGCGCGTCTACATCGGCTCCTTCTGGTCCCAGCCGCTGCTCATCGCCGACAACCGCCGCCTCTTCGAGATGGAGGCTCAGGACCTCTTCAAGGACATCCAGAGTCTCCCGCGCAATGCCGCGCTGCGCAAGCTCAACGACCTCATCAAGCGTGCGCGTCTCGCCAAGGTGCGTGCGGCCGGGGCACGAGGCGTGCCGGCGGTGGCGGTGGGGAGGGACCGGTGTGGCCAAGGCCCCCGTTATGTTTGTGTGCATTCGTGCATCCGGAGTCTGACAAACGGTCTCTTATCTGAGGCTGTGAAGGGTGGTGTTCGGTGATGGGTAATCAGAAGGACCATTCGTTACTCGGAGCTACATCCCGTGCACCGTGGTCGCCGTTGAATGGTTTTGAAGTTTTCACGAAGCGTGAGATTGTGAAGGAAACGCGAGACAGATAGATGGATTGCCGTTATTTATATCCAGGTCCACAGATCTGAAGTCTCTGTTACAAGGGAGTCATTTATCAGAACTTTTTCTTGTAAGCGCCTGGTTTATCATTGAGGCAGGATGAGCACTGGCCTCATATATGCGTCTACGGGTATATAGTTGGTCACCCAAGGTGGACTCATTATACAGCTCAACAGTGCGCGCTCTATCCACGCGCAGGGACCTGATCAGCACGCGCCACGCACACACATAGAGTATGCGCGATAGCGCGGCGTGGCACCTTTGCTTTGCCTGGCATCGCTGGCACCGCTTACGCAGGCGAAGTGAGCCGTGGCCGATCACACCCGCTTGCGTTGCCGCGATACGGGGAAGAGGCAGATCTGAGATAAATCGTAGCCCTTATGTAAACAGCACATGTGGCGGTATCTGCGCCGCCCTGCCTTCTCTCTCGCAAGCACACGCACCACTGCTTAGAGTGTCCTCCAGCACTGCCTCAGAAGCGACTTGTGTAATCGAACCCACAGCTTCACGCCCCCCACTGTCACCACTTTCTGGTCTTATTGCACAGTCAAAATTCTCGAAAATGTAAAAAAAAAATTATTGCAAATATTGTAAAAAACCAGCACTCATTCAGTGATTTGGAGTTGCGGAGGGGGTATGGGGCGCTCGAGTGTGCGTCAGACGACGCTCATTTTTCGTCCAGAGTCTCTGCGATACTCCAGCGTGACAAGGAGCCTGAGGGCACTGGGAGCTGGGGATTAAGTTGTGGACTAAATACGGCAAACGGAGAGTGCGGCTGCTGGTGGGGGCGCAGGGCTGGGAGAGAGCGCGGAGCACGTGGGCGGCGGTGCAGCTGACGATGCAGCGATCACAATGGACGCTTGGTTCCTGTCCGTCGCTTCCTGCAGCCCATTTCCTGTTTCCATGTGGATAATATTCATAAGTGCGGTGCACACACAGCATCTTGTATGCTCACACACACACACAAACATGTACACACACAAACGCTACGAGCCCTTCAACCGGATCATTGTTTTTATAAATCCGGGAGTCGTGGCTGACGTCACAACTGAACCTTGTTTGTCATTTTCATGGTACCCTGGGTGAGTGACGTGACCCTGAGCCCCGACGTCCCCTACCACCGCCCACGCCCGTGTGGGGGGTGATGGTGTGCGGTGGTAACGCGGCTCCGGCAGGGGCCTGATGGGGGAGGCTATCCTCGCTGTAGTGGAGCATTTGTCGGTTGCTTGGGGATTTAAACGAAGCGGTTGTTTATACTGGCTTGGAACTGCAGTCGCCGGAGGATAGAGGCGTCCACTGCATGGGGGAGGGAGTTGAGGAGTCTGCACTCGTCCAAAATTTGCGATGAGCTCACCGCCACCTCGCCTCCCGCTTGCATAGCACTTGACCCTCCTCAGCTGCTGCTGCGTGAGAAACCGCGGTTGGGAAATTTTTGCGAGCTGGCGCCGTCAGCGCCGCTGGTCCCGCGTGATCCACTGGCGACGGTGGTGGCGGTGCCGGTGGCGAGAGTGCCGGCTGGCCGCTCGACTTGGTGCCGCGTGGCGGTGCCGCCGGGTGTGAGTGGGGTCATACTCTTAGTTTTTTCGGTAAAGTCACGTAGGTAAAAAATGAAATAAAAATTAATAAAAATAAAAGAATAAAAATCACGACGTTTCGGAGGCAACACAAGCTTCCGTCTTCAGGTAAAACCGTCACAGCAAAATATCTGTATCAAGTGTGACGGTTTCACCTGAAGACGGAAGCTTGTGTTGCCTCCGAAACGTCGTGATTTTTATTCTTTTATTTTTATTAATTTGAATTTCATTTTTTACCTACGTGACTTTACCGAAAAGACTAAGAGTATGAATCCTTGCAGTCACGAAAGCTTCAAATCTAGAATGAGTGGGGTCACCTTGAGAGCCTGAGGAGGTGGCTGGTACTCTGTCAATGATTGCCTGGGAGTGTGACTTCAACTTCTCGCTCCAACTGTCTCTGTTTCGAAAGTTGAATTTCCTTGTGCTCGTCCAACGAACGGCTTACATCAGCTGTAAAGTGTTTATGTCTCGCAAAGGAACAACGTTTGGTTCGAGCTTGTGCGGGTTTCTTAATGCATTGTTTGAACAGCATTTATCCTTCGATTGCACCTCCTTATAAGGGAATCTGAACTTTGTTCCTGCAGTGGCTGTTATTGAAGCATTCTTAGCTCACTCTCGATCAATGTGGCCACCACCCACACGACCTGGCCCAGCAGCCACGTTCCCACTACACAGCTCTGCCCATGGTTGTGGGGAGATTTCCAGTAGCAGGTGAATCAGGATTCTGGTGCAGCACATTCGGTGTAAATTCCAGGACAGGTTTTCCACTATTTCAAATTCGAGCCTGGTCAAAATAGCAAACACGACCGACACGGTTTAATTTATTGGCCTTACCTATTGTCAGCTCAAAACCTGGGGAGTTTGTCCGTGTGATGGCAGTGAGTGCACGTGCGATGGCTGCGAGTATGTGTGATGGGAATGCGTGCATGAAGGGAGTGTGCATGATGGGGGTGTGCGTGCGTGAAAGAGTGTGCATGTGTCATGGGAGTGTGTTTGTATGATGGCAGCGAGCATGTATGTGTGATGGACGGGAGCATGCGTGTGTACTGGACGAGAGAGTGTGTGTGCGTGTGTGTCCGATATTCGGAGCGCGTCCCGTACTCTGCATCGGAGTGGCCAACCTCCCCATGGTGGGCGGCATGTGTTGACCGTGCACGCGTCTGTAGGTGCACGCGTACATCATGTGCCATCTGAAGAAGGACATGCCGACCGTGTTCGGCAAGGAGAACAAGAAGAAGGAGCTGATCGCCGACCTGGGCAAGATCTACAAGCGCATTGAGCAGGAGCATCAGATCTCCCCGGGAGACTTTCCCAACATCACCAAGATGCAGGTGCACACACGCGCTCGCACGCGACCCCTCGGCGCCATTTACCCGCTCACCGCCCGTGACCTCTCGCCGCCCGTGACCCCGCGCTTTCCCGCCGGACTTTATCTCGTCGCGCGCAGTGGGGAGCGGTGGGTGGGGGGGGGCACTGACTCCCAGCGACAGGATGTTTGCAGGCGTCGCACGGGAGAGGCCCGCGATGGATTTCTGTCTTGGCATCCTCGGTACGTTTGTACATCCTGTGGTTTTTCACGTGCGACGTGAAGCTGGAACAGCGTGTGCCGCAGGAAGTTCTGGATGGAGGTGCGGGGGTGACTGTGCGAGGGGGAGGAAAGGGAGTAGTGAGGGGAGAGTGCATCAGGGGAGAGGCGGTTGGCAGGAGAAGAATTTGGGGGAGAGAGAGAACCAGAGGAGAGTAGATATATTAAAGGAAAATACAACCAAACACTGTCCTGTTCTTGTTCATACATGCTTAGGCTGTGTGTCCTTGCCTGTCCAACACAGAGTGCAAAGCTATATCAATGAGAAGACTTCACAGTGTAAATCCAGGAGCGCTCTGTTGATGTCACTGCAGTGACGTTGCATTATGCGGCACGGCAGTCCCACTGATTTGTCAATGCAGCAGTAATGCGATGCTCCTGGAAGTAACTTTAAATATAGCTACTTGTTTCCCTCATTCAGCTTTAAACTCGTGCCTGAGGGATGCTGTGAGACAATGGGAGAGAGGCCAAGGGGGTAACCGGTGGAGTCTATTGAACGTGGCCTACAGGGTGATGTCCACTGTTCCACGGCTTAAGTCTGCTGGGCTTGCAAGCGGATGCTGTGGCTGGTTTTTGTTGACAGTGACACCGCGTTTAATGCTCGAGCAGCTTCTGCTGGGAGCGATTTCATTATCGGTTTGTTTCATAAGAGTTTAGCTCCAAAGAGTGCATATAGCTAGCCTCTATTTCTTGAAAACTACTTTTTGTGTTTTGGTTTGTTGTACTTCCCCCGCACCTCTGATTAGCACGGTTGGCCACGTACGGTACGAAAGAAGTTCAACATACATACGTACACCGAGAGCCGCGGTCACCATTATGAAGGACCAGACACCGTGGGGTGAAGGCCAGAATCGCGACGTGTGAACGCGATTGCTGTCACTGCAAGGTTTCGGACGTCGACGGGGTTCACGGGTAGCGCTGCTCTTGGTTTCTCCCTCTGTGGCAACCACGCAGCTTGGGAATTGAGCGCCGCCGATTTGTGTCGTTGAGTCTGCGGGAGGATGCGGCGTCGATGTTCCACATCGTGGGCACAATCGCGATCGCCGTGGCGGTTTTTGGCGTCCGCGGATTTGTTTGGTTAACGCTTCCCTCCCAGGCTCCCCCCCCCCCCCCCCCCGCGGGTCTTCGTGAGACAGCGGGGCACGCTCAGCAGCCTTGAGCGACGAACAAAGTCCGGCGCGTGGCCGCCAGAGGGCGGTGCTGCACCCCACTGCGCGCGCGCGCATGCCTCTGGGGGCACCGGGAATAGGCGCAGGGCGCCACCGCGTTGGGTCGACTACTGAAGCCAAATTACTCAATTGGGATCAGACGCAGCATGTATGCTGAACTTGGCAGGACCCTTCTGAAAAAAGAGCCGTGAGACTCAGTGAGGCTTTCCTGGCTAAATAAGCAGAATAATAATAATGGTGATAAGAATAATCACACGTGTGGGCAAGTATCCAGGTCAGTGTTGTGTCCACATTTTCGGGGGGGGGGGGGGGCATTTTCGCCTATATACATCAGTGTGAAGGCCACCATACCGCCGCCTACAAGAGGCGTTTTAACATTTGTGTATTGTCTGAGGACGCACAGCAGGGGCCGCACTAAAGGCCACCAGGGGTCGCCTGTGGCTCACGGGGCCTTGTCGCCCTGCCTAGCGACAAGCCTCGGTGACTGTCGTCCCGTCCACCCCCCTCCGCGTGACCGCCAACAGGACCTGCTCCAGAACCAGGACTTCACCAAGTTCAACCCCATGAAGCCGAAGCTGCTGGAGCAGGTGGACGAGATGCTGACCAACGACATCGCGCGCCTCATGGCGCTCACGCGGCAGGAGGAGGCGCAGCTTCCGACGCCCATGGTGCGCGGCGGCGCCTTCGAGGGCACGCGCGATGGCCCGTTCAACCAGGGCTACGGCGAGGGCGCCGGCGAGGGCGTTGACGAGGCCGACTGGGTGGTGGGGCGCGACAAGCCCAAGTACGATGAGATCTTCTACACGCTGTCGCCCGTCAACGGCAAGGTGCGTGTAGCGTCCGCAGGCGTGGAGAGGGGGGGTACATTGACTACAGGACTCTGAAAAAGAACTGTATAGCTCAGCGGGCCTTTCCTGGTAAAGTAAAAGCTTCTGAAAAAGAACTGTATAGCTCAGCGGGCCTTTCCTGGTAAAGTAAAAAAATTGCCCCCCCCCGACCGCGTGCGTGCATTCAGGTATCGGGAGCCAGCGCCAAGAAGGAGATGGTTCGCTCCAAGCTGCCCAACACCGTGCTCGGCAAGATCTGGAAGCTGGCCGACGTGGACAGGGACGGCATGCTGGACGACGAGGAGTTCGCCCTCGCCAACCACCTCATCAAGGTGAAGCTGGAGGGACACGAGCTGCCCGAGGATCTGCCCAAGCACCTGCTGCCCCCCAGCAAGCGCAAGCCGGTGGATGCGTAAAGGCCTCGCCCTGGGAAGGAGTGGGAGGGGGGGTAGGGGGGAGTAAGGGAGGGAGATGGGGGGGGGAGAGGAGAAAAGAGGTGTGGGGGCGACGTGGGTTTGGCGCGAGCTGGCGGGGGTGATCGGTGGAGAGGTGTGTTTGACGCAGGGGAGTTGTGGGGCTCTGCGGGTTTGGTTCAAGCGGGCTGTCGGCCCTGGCTGCGCTGGTGTCGGTAGCACCGAGCCTGGCCCAAGCGGCCACCGTCGCTGGCAAACTGCTGCCGCTTGTGTATTGGAGGCGACGGTGGCTGTGCGGCACTCCGTATCGACTCCTAACGGCCCGCCTTGGCGCGCTATCTTTATTGCCACCTGCGGTATGTCTTATTACCTGCAATGTGTCACTCGCATGCAATGGACCCCCTCTCTCCAAGGTAGACTTTACACCTGAGCGCTGCACAGCTTTAAAAACACCTCCAGGTCCACGCCATCTGGGTTAATGTGTCCCTACCAATGCACGAGCAGCCGTGGAGTGGAATGCGGACTCTGCTGTGACCCTTGTCCGTGAGGTCTGCAGTGGGGGAGTGCGGGGAGTGGTTTATTGTGGGGATGTTTGAGCGGGATCGTAATGGGGGGGGGGGGGGGTGTGCGGATCGTTGAGGGGATCGTAACGAGAAGCTGTGACAGGCACGGCCAGCTGAGAGCCCCTCACGCCCCAACCCCCGTGGTCCCGTGGCCCCGTGGCCCCGACCGCATCCTCGCCTGCTGGCGCCGCTCGCCTCCCTGAGAAACCGCACCGCTCAAAATACTGGGCACCGTCGACATCGAAGGGCGCAGCCTCGTCATGTTACGAGGCGGCGTTTGTTAAAAATTATCGTAAGGCAGCCTTAAAAATTACTCGTGGTCTAACTGTACTCCGGTCCCTTGAATATTTTGATGCCTTCCCCAACCCCTGGTGCCAGCACAGGCTCCCCCCCCCCCCCCCCCCCAGGCTGTGATTCAAGTTGAACATGGGGTGGAGGGGGCGGGCTGTGAAGGTGCCCGCCCCCCCCTCCTCCTCCCACCCTCCCGTGGCGCATGGTGGGCACGCCGGTGCTGCGGCCATGCGTCTCAACACTAAAAGTTCACGGCGGAGCGAGCTTGTTGGGTCGTATTGTCGATGGGGACGCGGTGGGTGGGTGGAGCACACACACCGTGTCTCGGCTGCCGTGTATGAAGTTACTGTGAATAATAAACGCAGTGTTACCACCGCACACGCGTGCGCTGCCCACTCTGTCGCCACACGTCGCGTCCGATCGGAGCTCTTCGTGCTTGGAGAGTTGCGGATGGAATCCCAGACGGGCGAAGCTCAAGATCGCACGGGCGCTACAGCACAAGACGCACACCGCACCACGCACCGCTGTCGTGTTTGTGGCAGGAACACTGTGGGGGCGAGGGTTGCGAAACTCCCTTCCCATGGGTTGTTGAGGTGCCATTCCCTGGCTCGCCAACAGAAGGCAGTGCAGTACAGCAAAAATGTGGACTGCACCTGCCAGTACACTCACCAAACGTAATAACCAGGCTACAGTCTACATTATAGACTGCCAGTACACTCACTCCGATGAAGAACCAGGCTACCATCTACATTCATGTTTTTGTTTGGTATTATTAAAATGTATTTTTATTCACTTTCTATCTACGTGACTTTACCGAAAGAACCAAATAATATGCACCTATTTCATTTGTACATGCGGGTTTATTTTTAACGGGTTGCTCCCGTTTTCTCTCACGTGTAAACACTGATTAATTGACTAATAACACCTTCATATATTGAGGACCACAGAACTTGGGCAATTGTTAGTGCCGGCTCATTGCCTGGACGGGCTGTCATTCTCTGTCTTTGAGAGTGAGCGAATACTGTGCGCGTTACAAATTCAAATTATTCTTATTCAACCTTCAAGTTTATATTGTTTAACCAGATGAGCACTCAAGAGATCAGGATGAGTCTCGTAGGTAAGAGTGACCTGGGGCATTAGTCTGCCGCCCAAGAGGATGGATGGTGAGCTTGATGGAGGATGACGTGGTGATGGTCGTGGTCATGGTTATGGTTGATGAACTTTGTGGCGTTTTGCAAGAAGGGTGTTTGTGATTGAGTGAGCTTTGACCTCGTGAAGCTGTGAATGCGTGCGGCTGCGGTGAGGAGACAAGGTGGGCTCCGGGTGTGTGTGTGGGGACTCGTGACCCCGCTGTGGGGGGCTGGGTAGGGTTAAGGCGAGGGGGGGGGGGGGGGCACGGCTCCAGTCAGGAGGGAGAGGCAGGAGGCCCGCTGGCGTCGCTTTATTGTCGCGCAGTAAATTCCAGCGGCCGTGCCCAATACAAAGGTCGCCTCACACCACTTCCGCGCGCATCCCGGTACGCCCGGGCGCACTTGGCCCCAGCCTGGCTCCAGCTCCCACCCGTCCCTCCAGCTCCCGCCCGGTGCTGGAGTTGTCAACTGGTTCCCCAGCTCCCGCCCGGTGCTGCAGTTGTGAACTGGTTCCCCAGCTCCCGCCGGCTGCTCTGATTTCATCCCGTGGAGGAGCGGCTCCCGAGGAGGAAGGAGAGGGTAGAGGGGTCGGAGCGCTGCCCCCCCCCCACCCCCACCGCTGTGAGTACCCACGCATCCGTGCCCCCCCTCCCCCCAGTGTCTGCCTCTGCCAGCGTGAGAATGGGGTTCATGCCCCCCCCGCCCTCGGCGAGCCGGGACCCACAGCGCGAGCGACCCCCCCCCCCGCGTCTCGTGCGCGCACTCGCTCATAGAGGTTCACTCCTGAGATGGGGGGTAGGGGCGGGTGGGGGGAGGCAAAGTAGGGCGATTTTGCAGGGTCTGCTTTTGATCGCCTCATCACTGAGCCCCCTCGTTGGGGAATCCTGCGGCTCAACGCGACGGCTCGCGTCACCCGCAAGGCGGTGCGTCGACCTCGGACCCCGGTCCCGCAACTCCGAAACCCCGAATTTTGGACCCCGTTGCTAAGGTCAAAGCCGGGCACTGGATGGAGCGAACCTTGCCCATTTCCCGGACCCCCTCCGGGTCTACCCCGGTGGAGGGTTCCAACCCCAGTCCCCCGTTCTCGTTGTTCCCCGGTCACGGTAGGGATCTATCCGGTCGCGTCTGAGCCCCACGAGGAACTCGCCTGAACCGGAACCCCTCATGGGATGGACCCCCCTCCCCCCCCCCTTATGGTTCCGTGCTGGGGTCCACTCCGATCGCCGCGGCTCCACCAGGGGCCACGGCTGACGGGTGTCAATGCGGGACGGCCGTGCAGGGGTGCGCAGGGCTATCTGTGTGTGCGTGTGGGAGTCGTGGTGCTGGCCATCGTGGGTGCTCGCTTACAGCACTTACCCCAACAGTTTGTTAAGACTTTCCGGGGGATCTTTGTCTTTGTTAGTCCATGGGGGGGGGGGGGCAGAAGTAAGCACTATTCTGCCTCCCACCGCGCCCCCGCCTCCCAATTTAGTGAGATGGCAAAATAGATGCAGATACGAGGTATGTAGTGAAATGCGAAAAGTGTGGACCAAAGATGGATATGTACGTTTTATTGTACAAAAGAGATAACAGACAATACAGTTTAGCAGGGAGATTACATTCGGATTGAGATTCAAGCTGATTTTTGTTTAACTTTGATCATAAAATCCGGTGCCCTTCAGCTATTTGGGGGCCCTCAGCCTTTGCTTTGTTCATGCCCAGCGCCACCACTGTGCAAGATATGCGGTTGTTAAGTGGTGCAGGATTGTGGATGTGTATGCATGTGTATAGTAGGTATGTGTGCAGGCGTGCGGGGTATGTGTAGCGGGTGTGCGAGTGTGGCGAGCGGTAGTGTAGCGGTTAGCCCTCTGCGCTACGAACCCGGAGACCCGAGTTCGATTGCTGCTCACAGCAAACGCTGCTGACGATCATTTGAACCGGTCCTGGACCTCCCTTAAGCGGTGTCAGCCTCAAATAAGTACCTGTCGCGATGTGTGTTAGCGTCGCCACGAGGGAGACAAAGGCGGCCGGGTGCGGTGTTGGCCTCCCACCTACCGTCGTGTGCCGTGCCGGCCTTCATAGGTGCTCGCTAACAGCACTTGCCCCAAACAGTCTGCGTGGCTACACTCTCGGGTCGGATACGCGAACGGCACTTGACTCTCTGCAGGCGACTTTGTCAATCGAGTGACGGATTACATCCTCGTTCGTGCAATGTGTGTCCTCGTCTGGTTAAACAAATATTCAATAAATACATAGATCATGAATGTGAACTCCACTGAGGCTAACGCGGAAACAGTGTTGTCTTCTTTGTGGGTGTGAGGAGGGCGAGGTGAGGGCGAGGTGAGGGTGAGGTGAGGGTGAGGAGACACACATCGACCGCTCACCATGGCGTCCGAGTTCGAGACCGGGCGAATTCGCACGCTGCAGGAGGAGCGGATGCGCGTGCAGAAGACGACGTTCACGCGGTGGATGAACGTGTTCCTGCAGCGGGTAACACACGGGGTGGACAACACACGGGGTGGACAACACACGGGGTGGACAACACACGGGGTGGACTCACAGGGAACACGGGGTGGACTCAGGAAACACGGGGTTGACTCACGGGAAACACGGGGTTGACTCACGGGGTTGACTCACGGGGTTGACTTACGAGATGGACTCATGAGGACTTGGGGTTAACACGTGGTGGACTCATGAAAACACGGGGTGGGCTCACAAGGGTGGATTCACGGGGCGGGTTCACGAGATTTACTCATGGGTACACGAGATGGACTCACGTGGTGGACCCATGGACAGCCGGGTGACTCGGGGAAGTTGTCCCGTGAGTGGCGTCCTCTGTGCGATGAGATTCTGCGCGGTCATAGCCCCTGCACGGTGGGCTCGTCCAGGTGGATGTCACGGTGGAGGACGTGTACACGGAGCTGCAGGACGGCCTGGGCCTCATGAAGCTGCTGGAGATTCTGTCCGGGGAGAGCCTGCCCAAGCCGAGCCGCGGCCGCATGCGCCTCCACTACGTGGAGAACAACAACCACGCTCTCAACTTCCTGCGACAAAAGGTGACAAAGCTGTCTCCACCGCTCACCAATACATCTACTTACGAACGAGTTAGGTTCCAGAGGTCTGTGTAAGTCGATTTGGTCGCAACTTTACTCACCGTCGATTCCAAACGTGTTGTACGGCATGTGCACTAAACACGAGGAATGGCTTTAAAAGTTGTATCATCTTCTGTAGATGTAGATGCCACTGGTTCTTCACGTTCTCCAGATGTAGATGCCACCACCGCGAGCTATTGCGCGGCGGTTAAACTTACGGCTCTCGGTCCGAACAGGCAACTGGACATACGTACAGGGTTGTCGAATGTTTGTCAGTAGAGGAGTCCCTGTACTCACCACTGCTCGCCACAATTTCGCCCCGTGAACGTGTCACTTCCTCACATCCAGAAAGTGAACGTGGACTTGATTGGCGGGGAGAACGTGGTGGATGGAGACCGGACCCTCATCCTGGGCCTCATCTGGATCATCATCCTGCGCTTCCAGATCTCCGGCATCCTGGAGGTAGCGCGCACACCATCCACGTGCACACAAGTCACACCGCAACACCCCTACACCACCACACCCTCCACGTGCACAGCCGTCACACCGCAACACCCCTACACCACCACACCCTCCACGTGCACACCTGTCACATCGCAATACTCCTACACCACCACACCCTCCACGTGCACAGCCGTCACACCGCAACACCCCTACACCCCCACACCCTCCACGTGCACACCCGTCACACCGTAACACCCCTACACCACCACACCCTCCACGTGCACACAAGTCACACCGCAACACCCCTACACCACCACACCCTCCACGTGCACACAAGTCACACCGTCACACCTCTACACCACCACACCCTCCACGTGCACAGCCGTCACACCGCAACAACCCCGTGCACGTTTATGCACTCACAACCGCCCACACCACGCCGAGGAACGGTTCAGTGAATTGCCACTGATGTTAGCCGTGGCCACGGGATCGAACCCGGGACAATGGGTTCGTGGCTTAAGGTGGGGGTCGAAATTGGAGTTGTTGTTATGGAGTATGGCAGCGATGCTCAAGCTGTGGGTCTTTCAAGGCGGTGCAGGCTGCGGCACGGATGCCGTGCAGGATAAATGTGTTTGGTGCTTGGGGGTGGGGCGCTGGTAGCGGGTGTGGTTGGAGGTGCCGTAGCTTTAGTGTTGAGAACTGGGTTAGGGTTAAAGTTACGGTGAAGCCTGGGGCTGGGGTCAGGGTCAGAATCAGACCCGGCTTAACGTTGGCGTTCGTGTTATGTCTTTCGCCGAAGTCATGATTACATTGAGAGGCACAGGTTCGAGCCAGGGTTGGGGTTAGATCCTGGATCAGGGATCAGAGTCGGGATTATGACTGAGATTGACCCCCTCCGCCCCTCCCCCCGCGCCCCTCCTCTCACCCCTCCGGTGCCCCCCTGCCAGGATGTGGGTCCCGGCTCCGAGGAGCGCCGCTCCGCCAAGGACGCGCTGCTGCTGTGGTGCCAGCGCAAGACGGCCGGCTACCGCGACTGCGAAATCAAGAACTTCACGAGCAGCTGGCGCGACGGCCTCGGCTTCAACGCGCTGATCCACGCGCACAGGTGGCGACCACGTGGCGCCGTCGCCAGCAGCAGCAGCATCCGCAGTCACAGCGAGATATATACTGGATGCGGTGCGCCGGAGTGTGGCAATATTTTATGACCCAGGGGATCTTTAACACCACTCCTGTGACCCCCAAACCCCCCCCCCCCGACTTACGCCCCCCCACCGAGAGCCCTGTGTCACATTGTCCCCGATTGCGCTCAGGCCGGATCTGCTGGACTACGACCGCCTGCGCCAGCGCGACCACTTGAAGAACCTGCGGCAGGCGTTCGGGATCGCGGAGGGTGACCTGGGCATCGCTCGGCTCCTCGAGGCGGAGGACGTGGACGTGCCCCATCCCGACGAAAAGTCCATCATGACCTACGTGTCGCTCTACTACCACTACTTCTCCCGCATTCACAAGGAGCAGACGGGGGGCAAGCGCATAGCCAAGGTACCTTGATGCGCTGGCCGAGTGTTGGCCACCACGGCGCCACGCTCTGGCTTGCCACAGGAGGAGGACGTGCGGCGCAGTCTGAATCCACCCGCTCCAAATGTTGAGTGTTGCCGCCTTACTTGTGTCGTGTCAACGATTCAGAGACAGAGTTTCTACGAGGCACTTTCTTTATTAACAATTTTCACGGTCTCGTCCACACATTCTCCACAGTAGCTCAGTCTAACACTGACGGCGTTGGCTGAGATAGCCAACTACTCTCCTTCGTAACGCAACATCTAGCGGAGGCGTTTAGCGACGACGGCGACGAGATGACAACGACGACGAGACGAGTCCACTCCCGAAACCGGCAGCCCCGAGCCCCCCGCTCTCGGCTCCTGTTATGCTCCCAGCGCGGCCTGGCTCTGCTCTGACCACGCCTCCCTTTTCGAACCCGCCAGCAGGTTCCAGGGGCCTCCAGACGGGGTCCTCCGTGACCCTTACCCTGGTTCCTCCTCTCTGCCAACACACTCCGTGCACACCCTCACCGGCGTGTGCGCCGTCTGTCCACCACAGTTGCCGCTGCTGTCCACCAGCCGGCGCTATTACACTACAAGTGCATGCGTGCGTGTTCTCCGGGTGCGCTAGTTTGCATGTAGAACTTCCTTCGCACCGTACGTAACCAACCGTACGTAGCCAACCGCGCTCAGGACAAACGAACTGAACACAAAAAAAAGTTTCCCTCGAGTAGAGGGGAATGACCCCGTGTGACCCCATCTGACCCGGGTCCCTCGGTGACCCCCGAGGATAGCCCCATCCCTGGTCCCGCCCCGGACGTGGAGCGACCCCCTCATCGCTTCCCCCCCCCCACCAACCCCCACCCACGACGGGGATAATTGGAACAGGGCTCCTAATCCCCTCTCGCCCCGAGCCCGTGGGCTTGACACAAACTGCTCGCCATGACCTTCGTCGCGTCGCTGGGCAGCAGCTGGCGGAGATGGCGCTGCATCCGGGGCGGTGTGAGGCCTTTGCTGGGCCAGGTGGGCACGGGGAGGGGGGGGGGCAGCGAGTCACCAAGGGCAACGGTGTGAGCAGCGTGCGTGGGGCCTGCTGTGGGGGGCAAGGGGGGGGGGCGGTGGAACTCCCTTCCCCCTCTCCCTCCTCCTCCTCCCCGTGTTGCCAACTTGGCGGTCGTCGCTAAATGCTCGCGACTCTCACAGGGCTATACCAAATAAATTAAACTGAAACTGTGTTGCCAACTTGGCGGTCGTCGCCAAATTCTCGCGATTTTTTGGGGTCCATCCCCCCAAGTGGTGAGACGTCGTTGTGCCGAACCAACAAAACCTCGCGACTCTCCAGGACACGGACTCGAAAGTGCAGCTTAAGGAGCGATGCCCGGTGCGCATTAAGGATGCCATATCAATTTACGATTCCAGATATCGATTATAGGGATCCTGTATCAGATGTCTAAATGTGGTATGTATGAAGGATTTAGTATCAGTTTAATACGTTTAGTCCTTGTTAAATTTGCCTTTGCCGTCTTCACAATGTCTACCTCGAGCCACCTGGCGACTCTTTGAGATTCGTTTGGTGACTTTCCGTCGTGGGGCGTTCGCGACGCCGCCGACTCCCGCGTCCTCCGGCCCACGCCAGAGGGGTCTCGCTGACATCGCGACCTCCGCCGTCTGTCGCCCCCGCAGATCGTGGGCCTGCTGACGGAGGCGGAGGAGCTGAAGACGCAGTACGAGACTATGGTGACGACGCTGCTCCAGTGGATCGAGCGCAAGATCTTGGAGCTCAACGACCGGCGCTTCCCCAACTCGCGCAACGGCATGCAGGCGCTGCTGTCGGCGTTCGCGCGCTACCGCACCGAGGAGAAGCCGCCCAAGTACCAGGAGCGCGGGCTGCTGGAGGCTCACCTCTTCGCCGTGCGCACCAAACTGCGCGCCAACAACCAGCGCGACTACGTGCCGCCCGAGGGCCGCACGCTGCGCGACATCGAGCGCCGCTGGGGCGAGCTGGAGCGCGCCGAGCACGCGCGCGAGAAGGCCCTGCGCGCCGAGCTCAACCGCCAGGAGATGCTCGAGCGGCTGGGCCAGCGGTTCCAGCGCAAAGCGGCACTGCGCGAGGCCTACGTGGCCGAGATGGGCCGAGTCGTCGCTGCGCAGGAGGCGCAGCCCGACAAGCTGGCCGCCGTCGAGGCGGCGCAGCGGCGCCTCGAGGCCGTGAGCACGGACGTGACCGCGGGGCGCAACCGCCTCGACGCCCTGGTCGGCATGGCCGACGTGCTGACCAAGGAGAAATTCCACGACATGGCCAACGTGGCCAAGAGGTGCGCTGCTGCTGCTGCTGGTGGTGGTGGTGCCTGTTCCGGCGCGTTTGGCCGCGCGGTTACGGTGAAGCGGCTTGTGTTGTTGCCGTTGTTCGGACGACGCTTCAGTCCTCCCGATCGGTTTTAGCAAAGGTGGACAACAGATTGCCTGGTGGTGGAATGTGTCGTCTGAACGCGACCGTTTTTGAGCGATACGCAACTTCTTTGAATCCAGACGCCTCCTCGACGTGGGTTGCAATTCTCTAACTATCAAAAATGGGCCCTAAACTGATTTTGGTTCCTTCCTGTAACAACGGACCTGCGCTTGGGATCCCCGTGGGAACTCGTGTGTCGACGATGTCAGCGCGTGCGTCAATGTGATGGGAATGGTGTGCGTATGTGTGTGTTGTAACCGGGGTGTGTGTGTGCGTGCATGCACGTGTACGTGGTGCTGGCCACCCACTCGCTAACATCACTTGTCCCAACAGTCTGTTGAGGCTATACGGGAGATCTTTGTGTGTGTGTTGTAACCGGGGCGTGTGTATGTGGGTGTGTGCAGGTGTGTGCCGCTCGCTAACATCACTTGTCCCGACAGTCTGCTTAGTCTACGCCGGGGATCTCTGCCATCGTTTTTTGCATCTGTGCTGTGCGAGTCCTCCGCGCGTGCCTCTCTCTGCCTCGCAGGAAGAGCGCCATCGTGGATCGCTGGTCCGCGCTGCAGAAGCAGATTGCGCGCAACCAGGAGGTGCTGTCCCGCATGGCGCAGGCGCTTCGCCTGCTGCGGGACGTCGAGTCGCTGGAAACGGAGCTGCGCGAGCTTCAGGTACGGGGTGGGGGGAGGGGCGGGGGGTGGAGGGGGGGGTAGAGACCCCAGGGCAAGGGGGCGCAAGCTGCCCCGGCATTGGGGGACGGCGCACGGGGCCGTGACGCGGGCCCCGGGCGCGGACGGTTTTCCAAAACGCGCGACCGCCGTTGTCTCGGCACAGGCCAAGGTGAGCTCGGAGGACGTGGGGCGGCACCTGGAGGCCACGCAGGCGCTGCTGCAGAGGCACGCGCTGTCGGAAGCGCAGGTTGCCACGTGCGCCGAGGCCATGGGCCTCCTGGACGGCCGTGCCAAGGAGCTGTCGCGGAGCCCCGACGCGCAGACCCTCGTGGCCAAGATGCGCACGCTGCACCAGACCTTCGACAAGCTCCGCAGCACCAGCCAGGCCAGGTGAGAGTGGCGTGCCCAGGCCAGGTGAGAGTGGCGCGCCCAGACCAGGTGAGAGTGGCGCGCCCAGGCCAGGTGAGAGTGGCGTGCCCAGGCCAGGTGAGAGTGGCGCGCCCAGGCCAGGTGAGAGTGGCGTGCCCAGGCCAGGTGAGAGTGGCGTGCCCAGGCCAGGTGAGAGTGGCGTCCCAGGCCAGGTGAGAGTGGGGCGCCCAGGCCAGGGATCTCTGAAGAGGAGTGGTCGGCCGTAGCCGAGGGCAGCGGTGACAGAAGCGGAAGCACCCAAAGCCGTGGCCTCACCCAGCTACTGGTGGACTCCCTTACTGAGCACGCATACAACGCGGCATCTCTGCCAGTCGTCTCGGTCAGCTAATTCGTAACGCCTAGGTCTGTCTCGTGACCACCTTGCCAGCTTCCCCGCTTCAAGTGACATCCTCAAAGTGCACCTAGCCTGGCACGACTGCTCTGGTCACGTCTCGGTCAAGTGGTGAATGGCCGTTGTTGTTATTATTATGTGTCAGTGTTCATAGGTGCTCGCTAACAACGCTTGCTCCAGCAAACAGTCTGAAAGGTTACACGTGTGTGTGTGTATGCCTGTATGCATATCTGTAATCGTTGCCAGTGGCGATTATCTGAGCCGGTCCTGGGCCTCCCCTAGTTCGACTCAGCCTGCTCGCCAATGGCACTTGCTCCACAATCTTCTTTGCCGTTGCAGGCGTGCGCGGCTGGAAGAGGCGCAGGCAGTGTGGCTCTTCCTGCGCGACTGCGAGGAAGAGGAGCTGTGGGTGCAGGAACGAGCGCAGCGCCTGCGCACGGCGCCACTCGGCCGAGACCGGGCGCAGACGGAGAGCCTCGCTCACAAGCACAAGGCATGGCCCCCCCTCCATCCCCCTGCTCCCCCTCTCCACCCATTTGACCACGAAGACAACGACCCCGTATAGCCTTAACAGACTGGTGGGGCAAGTGTACGAGAGGGGTGGGTGGCCAGCACCACGCCCGGCCGCCTTTGTCTCCCTAGTGACGATGTTTACACATTGCAGCAGGTACTCATTTGTAGCTAAGTCGACCTAGGGGAGGCCCGGATTAGATAATCGTCACCGGTGTTGGCCGTAAGCGGGGGATCAAACCCGGATCTCCATGTTCGTAGCGCAGGGTGCTAACCGCCACACTGCCGTTCCCCCCATTTGACCACAACCACCGATTCACCCCCACCTCCATATCAAACCACATCCCCAGATCACACCACATCCCCAGATCCAACCACACCCACCAAGCCGACTGGAACCCACCGGCAACAACCATGGACCGACGACCGTGCCACACCCAGCAGCACCATCACACTCTTCTTATATTACTCCTTATTACTGCGGGTGTAAAACCCGCTGTAAAAATACCACACGCCGTCCGCTTTGCAGTGGACGCTAAATGCCCCCTGACGTAATTAGAATCAAGTAGGCAGTTGTGTGCCGGCTCGCCGGTGCCAGGGTCCAACTTTGCCTCATTCTAAAAATGAGCCGAGAATTATTACATCGAGATAACACTCGGCAGCAACCATCGGCCCCTACTGGCCGAATAATGCCCCGCTTGTGGGCCAGAGGCGCCGAGTCACCTTGTGCCGCACAGGGACAGCTGCCCAGTGGCAGCTGGGACAGCGGTGTACAGCTGAGACGTCTCTGCGGCTGAAGGAGGGTGGCTGTCAACAAACAAATCGGTGTCATCGTTGCCCTTGACTCAACCGCACCGACACGACCGCGCGCCGCCGACTCAACCGCACCGACACGACCGCGCGCAAGCAGCGACAACTGCTGACGACGTGTCACCGCGTGCGCGCCCCGACCCCAGGCGCTGGAGGCCGAGTGCCGCTCGCACGAGACGGCGTGGCGCGCGGCGGCGCGGCGCGGCGAGGAGGTGTGCGGCGGGAAGCGCGGCGGGACACGGGGCCCGCGGGAGGACGTGGCGCGCGCCCTCGGCGCCGTGCAGGAGTCGTGGCGCCGCCTGCACGAGCTGCTGGCGTTGCGCTCGTCCCTGCTTCAGCAAGCGGCGCTTCTGCAGCTGGTGCGTGGCACGTGACCCACGCCGTCCGTCTATCCGTCCCGTCGTCGACCCTCGTAGCCCGAGGGTCGATGCCCACGACAGACGCTGCTGCTGCTGCCGCCCACGTTTTACGTTCCCTCCCACGTGTATCGTAAACACTCGCTGCTAATTGGCTGCAAACATCTTAATATTTAGAGAGCTGCGGAGCAATTGTTGGGCACCGCCTGGCAGCCTTCCAGCTTGTCTGTGGATCCTCGGCGATTGCGAGATCGTGTTTGCATGAACGACAACGTAGGCTTTCGTGACCAATATCATCCATAATACAGTTTTTATGGGTTATATCGCATAAATATATAAATGTCGTACTCAGATCGTTGTACTCGGATTGTAAATGTTGTGGCTTTGCTCTCAAATACATCGGTGTGCTGTACTAGTAACGAATTGGCATGTTCTGGCTGTGTCGGGTGGTGGCGGGTTTAACGACACATTTATATATTTACACGATCTAACCCAAAAGACCTGTATTATGGAGGATGAAAATATTCACACGGTTCTTATTCATTCCGCGTGAATTCCCCAGACGCTTCAACGATGTCCTTCCACTAAAATCACAATGTGATGCTTCGCTGTCAATTCTGCACGATAACTCCACTTGCAGCGTTTTCGCCATGTTCGCCTGTCCGTTTCCACAGTCGCTCGATAACCACCCCTTCATACACGTTGATGGTTTTCTCAGTAAGTTTAGCTCCAGATGGTTGCTAAAGTAATTTGTCCGAGCCAGTTTTGTTTACAGGAAATGTATTTGACTTAATATTGATTCATGCTGGTGCATTGTTTCCGATTTATTCCGTAGTGCCGTTGATTGTAACTCTACTCGGTCGTCTCTGCTCTGATTTGGTTCATTGCTGAACTTCGTTTTTCATGCGTACTGCTTTTGCCGCTGTGGTCACCCAGGCCCTACGCCCCAGTGAGACCCTATCCCGGTCTCTTGAGCCGTCGCCTCGTTAAACGAAGCGAACCCGAGGGTCAACTACGATCCGTGCCGGCGGTGCTCAGCCGTGTTGCCCGCGCGTGCGTGCCAGTTCTACGAGGAGGTGGACGAGATGGAGTCGTGGCTGAGAGAGAAGCTGCCGCTGCTGAGCAGCGAGGACGTGGGGCGCGACGACTCCGGCGCCGAGGCGCTGCTCAAGCGGCACCAGCGCCTGGAGCGCGACCTCGAGCAGCGCGGAGGAGACGTGCGCAAGCTCGCCGAGCAGGCGCGCGCCCTCGTGCTGGCGGCGCCGCCGCCCGGCCCGGTACGAGCCCCCCCCCCACGCCACCACGCCACCACGCACCTCGCCCCTCACCTCTGGTGAAAGGCCGCTAGGCCGCAGGGAGACGCTCACCGCCCCCCTCCCTCTTCGTCTCCCCCCCCTCCCACTCGTGTCCCACCCCAGGGTGAGCAGGGGAGCGCGGCGCCACGCAGGAGGGAGAGCGAGGAGAAGGTGGAGCACGTGGAGCTGCCGCACGTGAAGATGCGCTACAAGTTTGAGGGTGAGCCACACGGCGCAAAACCGCGACACGCCACGGATGCACACCACACACGCCGTACCGCCATACCGCGTCATATCACACCACAACCATACCACATCATACCACACCACCGCCATACCGCTTTATACCACACCACAACCATACCACACCACCACCATACCACATCATACCACACCACCACCATACCACATCATACTACACCACCGCCATACCACACCACGACCATACGACCACCACCACCACTGCGTGCCTCACCACACCGCACCATGCAGCTCCGTTCAACATCACGCTCCACACCACAGGAACCCACATGCCACCACGCCGCCACGCCACCACGCCAGCCTGTACCGTGCCACATCGTCACACCCACCACGACACCGTCACACCCACCACGACGCGCGCCGCAGAGCCCCGAGACCCCTGTCCTCCCCCCCGCCCCACTCTCCCTCGTGCAGGTCGTGACATCAGCGTGGCGCAGGGCGAGGAGGTGGTGCTGCTCAAGAAGAGCAGCAAGGAGTGGTGGCACGTGCGCACGCGCGCCGGCCAGAGGGGCCACGTGCCCGCGTCGTACGCCCAGGAGATAGGGGCCAAGGTGACGCAGCGACGCGCGCGTCCGCCACGGTCGCGCTCTGTCACCCGATGAGTCTCAAGGCTCTCGGGTTATTTTTTTCAGGAGGGTCTTGCCGAGTGTTTCGCAGTACGTTGACGATGTTGCTGCTGCTGCTGCTGCGTTTGATTCCCGACGATTTTGCCGGTTGCCAAGCCTGGGTTCTTTTTAGTGATGGGAAGGCAGAGCAAACCCATGTAGAGCAGGGTAAGAACATACAAACTCCACATAGACAACGCTCCCGAGGAGAGAATCGAACCCAGGCTCTCCTCGCCGTAAGCCGCAAGTGTTTCCACTGGGTTGCCACCGTGCCGCGTGTGTACGCGCGTGCGTTCGCGTTCGCGTGCGCGCTTGTGTTCGTGTGCATGTGTGTTGACGTGCGTACGTTCCTGCGCGTGGGTACGTGTGTGCGTGCGTGTATTCCTGCACGTGCGCGTTACATGCACGAGTGCGCGGGCGCACTTTACCCATTTGCACGCTCGCACTCGCACGCATTCACACGCACGCGTCGCTCTCCGTGCGCGTGCGCGTGTTCAGCCGGTCCCGCAGGTGGTACGCAAGACTGAGGTCCTCACGGCTTCCTCCGCACAGCGGCCGGGCTCGGCCGAGAGACGAACCCAGGCCGAGCCGAGTCCGAAGTCGGCGGGAGCAGAGCTGGAGGATGTGGCGCGGCGCCAGCGCTCGCTGCAGGCCACCTACGACCGCGTGTGCCAGCTGGCCGAGGTGCTCGCCGCCCCCCCCTCCCCCCCTCCGCCCCCCCCCCCCGCTGCAAACGCCGCCGCGTCTCCTGCCAACCGGTGCCCCCGGTGTAACGCCGCGTGTCCCTTTCCGCTGCCGCCACCCACCAGGCTCGCAAGAAGGCGCTGCACGAGGCGCTGCTCATGTTCCGCTTCTTCTCCGAGTGCAACGAGCTGGAGTCGTGGATATCCGACCGCGAGAACGTCCTGGAGAGCAGCCTCCAGTCGCAGAACCTGGAGCGCATGCGTCGGCAGTTCGAGGTCTTTGTCGTCACCACCACCACCACCGTCATCATCAACATCATCCCCATTATTCACTGCGATCGTTTTGTTAATGGCTCAGAAACTCGTTAAATGAACAAGTGGGTTCACGTAAAGGAACACATATGTTTGGCTTCGATGTGTTTTTGTGTTCATTTACAACACGATTGGAAAACTTATTCCCGGATCCGAGTTTTAATTAGATATCCGGTGAGCCCCATTTCATTCCCTGAATTTAGGGGGCCCCTCACGCTGCCCCTCAACGTCAAGAGTGAGGACTGCCTCGAGTGAGCACTGAGGCAAGCTGTATATGTTTCGTTGACCCCGGAGGTTACGATCGGCTGAGTCAACCCTCAACCAGGATTTAAATTGGCAACCTTCCTCTGGCAAGCCGCTCGCTCTGCCACTGGGCCAGCAGGCTCGCAGTAGTCCGTGTGCCAGAGCAGAAACTGGTACCAGCCAAAGCGGTGAAACTTTGGTCATATGACTGGCCATTGAGAGTGAGGTGTTTGTTTGATAACCCCACTCGTTTCGATGGTTATTCCGTAATCCACTGTTATTGGCCACATAAATAAATTAGATCCGCTAAAGTGATGCCACCTCAGGCGGTACTGATGAGTGAATAACCTGGTCTGGGCTCGTGGACTTTAAGCAACTTTGTACTCATGCCCAGCGCCGCACGCCCCCCCTGCACCCTCCCGCGTTCAGAATCTCCTGACGGAGCTGGCGGCCGGGCGAGGCAGGCTGGACGCCATGAACCGCACGGCGGAGGATCTCCTGCGCCAGGGCCACGGGCAGCGCGCGCGCATCCGCGCCCGGCAGGACGACATCAACGCTCGGTGAGGGTCCGGCCCCCACCGGCTCACGTCCGTCGCCCCTCTCTCCCCTACACGCGGATGCCGAATAGACGCGGAACGCCGGCGAGGCCTGTGATCGGCGGCCTCACGGCGACCCTACCGAGCGTTCAGATTCCAACGCTCGACGGCCCCTCGTTCACACCGTTGTCTTCCCGCATAAAACCGATGTGTAAAAGCGAAAATTGTACAAATAAACAATCCCAACACAACTTTGGAAGGTGGTTGCGCAGCAATAAAAGGTTGTTTAAAACCCAGCACCTTCCGCTTACGTAACAAGAAACGCGCAAAAGAAATTTGTTGGTAATGCTGTCGTGAAATCAGAGCCGAAAGAAAACGTGCCTCGAACCACGGACGTGCCTCCTGCTCCTCGACGTGCAAACCCCCCTCACGCGTAGCGGCGTTGTACGCGCACAGACGACGCTTTCAACCACTTTGTTGCGTTGCTCTCTTTGAAGGGGGAAAATTACAAAAATGGGCGACGCTTGGGGGCAAAGGGCCGACTCGGCAATTACGACACGGGGAGTTCCCGGTGCGCGCGTGCGCCGGAGGCCCCCACGTTGTGTCCGCGCGAGATCCCCCCCCACCGCCCCTCCCTGAAGGCGCCCGCGTTGTCGCCCCCCCCCCCCCCCGCGCAGGTGGCGGCGCCTGGAGTCGCTGCGCATGGACCGCGAGCGCCGTCTCACCGAGGCCGGCAACGTGGCCGCGTTCCTGGACGCGTTCGCCGAGCTGTGGGAGCTGCTGCAGGAGAAGCTGGCGGCGGCGAGCAACCCCGAGGTGGGCGCCACCCTGAGCGCCGTCCAGGCCGCGCTGCGGCAGCACGAGGCCCTGCAGCGGGACATCGCAGCGCTTGGTGCCAACGTCGATTTCCTCAAGAAAATGGGACAAGCGTAAGGGCGGCAGCCACCCTCACCCCCGCGGCCCAGAGAGACGCACCGGCGCCACGATGCCACCCTCAGTGGACCGTGGCGGCGCAACGCGAGACCACCGCGCGGCGCTCGCGTTCAGTACCCTTGCCTGCGTGTGACCGTCCAAGCTAGCGTCAGCCTCGGCACCGGCGCGTGCGCTCACTCTCGCTCCGGCGTCCCCACAGGGCCGCGAGCAACGAGCCGGCCGAGCGGGACGTGGTGATGAAGAAGCAACGCGAGGTGGACGGCCTGTACGCACGGGTGCAGCGCGAGGCCGAGGCTCGTCGCCACCGCCTGCTGGACGCCCTGAGGAAGCTGGGCCTGCTGGACGAGGGGCGGGCGCTGAAGGAGCTGACCGATCGCCTTCGGGACCGCGTGACTGGCGGCGGCGAGGCGGTGCCCGGGGACCTTGCCACGGCGCAGGAGATGCTGGACAAGCACCAGCACCTCCGGGGCGACATCGACGCGCTCCGCGACAGGTGCGGGGTTCGCGATGGTGCGGCGACGGTGCGCGGGGGGGGGGGGGGGGGGGTGGGTGGTCCGGTGAGTGGCCTCGCTGACCTCTGGCCTGCGCCCCCCACAGGATCGCGGCGCTGGAGAAGGAAGGCTTGGAAATGCAGAAGCGGGGCGACCCGGGCGCGGCCGACGTGCTGCGCCTGGCGGAGCAACTGCGCGGGACGCTGGCGGAGTTGGAGGCGCAGTGGAACGAGCGCGACCGCCAGCTGCGCGGCATCGTTGCCCTGCAGCGGTTCAACAAAGAGGCCGAGCGCCTGGAGGCCGCGCTGTCCGGCCACGAGGCCTTCCTCAAGCTCGACGACCTCGGGGTCAGTGCCGCCGCCAATCGTACCCCCCCCACCCGCCGCCCCGGTCACGCCTTCGTCCTTGTTAGGGTTGGGGCGAGGGACGGAGAGAGAGAGCGAGTGCGAGCCCCGTGTCACCGTGGCGCGTGCAGGACTCGGTGGGGGCCACGGAGAGTCTGCTGAAGCGCCACGCCGAGTTTGAGAACCGCCTGGGCGCCATGGACCGGCCGATCCGACATCTCAAAAAGCACGCGGCGGAGCTGGTGAAGAGTGGCGTGGTGCCGCCCGAAGGGTACGTGACCCCTGTGACCCCTGTAGTGGATACGTGTGCTCAGTGTGCGTGCGTGCGCGCGCGTGTGAGAACTCAGGGGATGAGGATAGTCGAGAGTGACCAAAGCGATAAACACAACACGCAACGAAGCAAACAGAAATCAGTCCAAAAGCAAACCCGAGTCACATTCGACGTGCGTGCCGGGTGTCGTCTGTGCGTGCCGGGTGTCGTCTGTGCGTGCCGCCGTGCAGGCTGGAGCAGAAGGTGGACGCGGTGGTGGCGCGGAGGGACGCGGTGCAGGATGGCAGCGACCGCCGCAGGGCGCTGCTCGAGGCTGCGCACAAGTACCAGGCACGCGGCTTTGCACGACAATGACGATGACGGAGCCACGGGCGCTTCACGACCCTGGCCCAATCGGGCGCCAGGGTGGCGAGATGTTAACTACCTCACCTGGTATACAGGAGGTCGTGGGTTCCATCCCGACCCTGACGTCTGCTGTATATTTGGAGTTTGTGGTGTCTCTCTCCCCGTGGTCGCATGAATTTTTCCCGCGGCCCTCCGGTTTTTCCCTCCACATTTACAAAAATTACTTTTGAGTATTTGGCTGCTATAAAAAAATTCCACACGATGACAAGCCACTTCGTTGAGCTACCATTTGTGGCCAGGTCGTTTCTGAAAAAAGAGCTACATAGCTCAGTGGGCCTTACCTGGTGAAATAAAAAAAGAATAGTTGAGAATTTTTTTCTTTAATTGGGCACCCGCTAACACCTCTGGCGTGACGCCCCCCCCCAGGTGTTCACGAGGAACGCCGCGGAGCTGCTGGCGTGGGTGGCGGAGAAGCGCGTCCTGGCCGACGACGAGTCGTACCGCGACCTCAGCCTGCTCTCCCGCGAGCTCAAGCGGCAGAACGCGGCCGAGGGGGAGCTGCGCACCAACCAGCAGGCACTCGCCGCCGTTCAGGAGGTAGTGCCCCCACCCCCAACCCCCTGCTCAACCCCCCCCCCCCTCAACACCCCCCCCCCTCAACACCCCCACCCTCCCCTCCTGCCACCCGTCATCGCACGGGCCCTGTCCCGCCAAGCACTGTGTGTTTTTTTTGGTCTTGGAGACGTACGTATGTATCTGGAGGGGTGACAACAAGCTAAATACCAAAAGCAGTTTGAAAGAAATTAGTTTTAAAATCCAGACGATATGAATAGATGCGATGCGGCGTTAATGGAGGACGTGCGGCCGCTGCGTGCGCCAGGTGGGCCGGGATCTGGTGAAAGGCCGCCACTTTGCGAGCCGCGAGATCCAGGCGACGCTGGAGGAGCTGCGCGCGCGCTGGGCCGAGCTGGAGAAAAAGATGACCGAGCGGGGCCGCAAGCTGCGGCAGGCCGTGGACCAGCGCCAACTCAACCAGCTGCTGCAGGTACGGTCGCCGGACGGCACGCCGGCGGCACCGGCGCAAAGCGCGGCCGCGGCGGTGCGGGACGGCGGCGGCGCCCTCGTCATCCACTCCTCCCCCCGTCCCCCCAGGATGCACGGGAGCGGCTGGACGCGCTGGAGAACCAGCTGCGCTCCGAGGACGTGGGCACCGACCTGCGCTCCAGCAAGACGCTGCTGGCGCACCACGTGCACACGGAGGCGGCGCTCGACTCGCTGGTGGAAAGGATCCTCGCCGTGGTGGCGCAGGGCGAGAGCCTCGCCGACGGGCACTTCGACTCGCGCGGGATCCAGAGGGAGACGCGAGAGTTCAAAAAGCGGTGAGCGGTTCCTCGCTGAAGCCGCGGGCTGGAACTCGGCGCTCGCCGGTTCCTCTTCGTCCGGGGTCCACACCAGAACGAGTAGCCGCACGGGCGCTCACGAGACGGCGCAGTTCGCAAATGTGCAGAGAGTGACGAAATGCATTGCAATGAATGACCGACGCGCGTTCGAGAGTCGAGTCTGTCTCTGCTGTGGGTAACTGGCTGGGGCGACCGCTCGCAACCGGTTGTGCACAGCAGCGAGTCGGTTACACGCAACCAAAATTGCGCAACTGAGCATGGGCAATTCATGACCCGGCTCTCTGGTCCATGACCTTGAACCCGGACTCCGACCCTGCGTCCTTGACCCTGACCATAACCCCCTGACCCCCTGACCGCCCCAGGCTGGCTGCGTTGGCGGAGCCACGAGCGAAGCGCCGAGCGCGCCTGGAGGAGGCCGTGCGCTACTACGAGGCGATGCGTGCCCTGGAGCAGGAGGCGGCGTGGATCGCGGAGCGAGTGCCCAGCGCAGAGTCCCACGACACGGGGCGCACCCTCGACGCCACCCAGCTCCTGCTGGAGCAGGCGAAGGTGACGCGCGCAAGTGTGTGTAGTGTCTGTGTGTGTACGTGTGTGTGCGGTGTCTGTATGTGCGTGTGGTATTTGTATGTGTGTTTGTGGAGGAGGCTCGTGAAGGACGTTACTGGGCAGTTGGAGGCAGTCGCCCTCAAACAACAACAGAGGGCAGAGGAGCGACGCTCACAACAACGAAAAGAGCGCCGGGTGGCTAAAATGCAGCAAGTTGGCACAGTAGGAGGTACAGCTGGTGTGCATCTACCAGTCGTCTCAGTCAGCCAACCCATGGCACCTGGGTCTGTTCCATGATCTCCTGTCAGCGAACCTTCGACACTTCACGTTGCCTTAAAGTGCACCTGGCCTGCCACAGGCACCGTGGTGATGTCACCGTTACTTAGTGGCGAATGGCGGGTAGTGGTGGTATTGGTGTTTGCATGTGTGTGTGTGTGGTGTCTGTATGTGTGCTCGCTTTACAACACTTTTCCCACAAATTGTCAAGGCTACGAGGAAGATCTTTGTCTTTGTAGGTACACGTGTGTGTATTGTGTATCCGTGAATGTGGGTGTGTGTAGTACCAGTTGTACAAATGAGATGAGATAATGTGGGATTAAATGACGATGACGACGATGATGACAATGACGATGATGACCATGATGACAACGATGATGACGACAATGATAACGATAATGATGACAACGACGACGACGATGATGACGATGACAACGTCGACGACGAGCGGCAGTCACCGCGCGGCGCGTGCGATTCGCAGAAGCTGCAGGCCGAGTGCACGGCGCACGCTCCGCACGTGTCGCGCATCGCCGGGCTCGGCGCCGCCATGCAGGCCGCGGGACACCCGCTGGCGCGCGACATCACGCGTCGCTGCGAGGAGGTGCGCGCCGCGTGGGACGCGCTGCTGCTGGCGCTCGAGAACCGGCGTCGGCTGCTGGCGCTCGCCGAGAGGGCGCACACGGTAACCGCTCCACGCGCGGCATCGTGCGGGTGCGTGCGTGTGTGTGCGTGTGTGTTTAATAGTGCATGATGGGGAGCGGTAATGTCGTGGTTAGCGCACCGCCATACGAACCTGGCGACACGAGATCGATTCTCGCTCACGTCCAGTGACGATTATCTGAACCGGTCCTGGGCCTCCCCTAGGTCGACTCAGCCTCAAATGAGTACTTGGTGGGGTGTGTAAACATCGCCACAAGGGAGAAAAAGGCGGCCGGGCGTGGTGTTGGCCACCCACCCCCTCGTGTGCCGTGCCAGCCTTTATAGGTGCTCGCTAACAGCACTTGCCCCTACGGTCTGTTAAGGCTACACGGGGGATCTTTGTGTGCGTGTGTGTACGCAGGCGTCGGCGAACGCGGCGGAGCTGGAGGTGTGGCTGGCCGAGCGAGCCGAGCAGGCGCGCAGCGAGGAGTGCGGCCGCGACGAAGACGCCGCACGGAACCTCATCGCGCGCCACAAGGTGCCGCCCCACCATCCCCCCCCCTGCATCCCCTTCCCCACCTCACAGTAACGATGGCGCCTGATAGATCCACCCCGCCGCTGATACCGCGCTCGCTCGCTCGCTCGCAGGACTTGGAGCAGGAGATGGAGGTGAACGGGCGTCTGGTGGACGAGTTGGTGCGGGCGGCGCGCGAGCTCAAGGCGGAGGGTGCCCCGGCGGCGCAGGAGCTGCCGGCGCGAGCCGATAAGATCCAGGAGACGATGGCGGACCTACGCCAGCTCTCCGCGGAGAGGTAGCGTCCCGTGGGCCTCTGTCCTGCGTCGCGCATCTCGCTCGTCCCGCGTCTCGTGCCACGGGTCTCACGTCCCGTGCCACGGGTCTCACGTCCCGTGCCACGGGTCTCACGTCTCATGCCACGGGTCTCACGTCCCGTGCCGTGCGTGCCGCGTACTAGGTTGGGCCGCCTGGAGGGTGCGCTGGCCCTGCACGCGTACCTGCGCGAGTGCGCCGACCTCGAGGAGTGGATCTCTCAGCAGCTGGCGACGGTCGCTGCGCAGGACGACGTGGGCGACGACCACGAGCACGTGCAGGTGCGCAGCGCTGCACCACCGCCATCGCCCCCGCGCGGTGTGAGTGGTCGAGAGTGTGGTGCACCACCGCCATCGCCCTCGCGCGGTGTGAGTGGTCGTGAATGTGGTGGTTGCGTGTGGTGTTCTGATCGTGGTTGCTTATGCGGTTGTGCATGTAGTCGCGAGGTGGGCGTAGTGATTAGCGCACCGCACTACGAACCCGGCAACCGGGGTTCGATTCCCGCTCGCGACCAATAACAGTGGGGCGAATATTTGAACCGTTCCTGAGTCATCCGTAGGTCGAATGAATACCTAGTGCGATGTGTAAACATCGCCACTGGGGGAGACAAAGGCGTTCGGGCTTCGTGCTGGCCACCCACCCCCTCGCGTGCCTTGCCGGCCTTCACAGGCGCTGCTCGCGAACAGCGCTTGCACACCAACAGCTTGTTGAAGGCTATACTATAGGGGGAATCATTGCGGTGGTCGTGCGGTTGTGAGGTGTTGCGGTTGACGAGCGCCGTGCTGGTGGCCTATGCACGTGTGCACGTCGAACTTCCTTCACACCGTACGTAGCCAACCGTGCTAACCGGAGGCGCGGGATCCCCCCCCCCCCTCCCCTTCCGTGCGTGCGTAGCGGATGCTGGCGCGGTTCTCTGCGTTCGAGCGCACGATGGCGGCGCGCGCCGAGCAGTTTGTGAGGTGCCACTCGCTGGCCGAGGAGCTCCTCGCCGCACGGCACCCGCGCCGGCGCGACGTCAAGCAGCGGCAGCACGCCCTCCGGTATCGCACTCGGCACGCTCGCGCGCGCGGATCACACCTCCGTCACACCTGGCTCGCGCCTGGCTCGTGCCCCGCTCGAGTGCGGCTCTCACCTGCCTCGCAGCGACCTCGTGGCCAATAACAATGGCGAATATCTGAACCGGTCCTGGGCCTCTTCTAGGTCGACTCAGCTTTAAATTAGTACCTGGTGCAGTGTGTATATGTAGGGGTGTTAAAGAGAGGGCCCGTTATGCATGGCAGCCTATGGAAAACAAACACAGTGGGCGGGGCTACGTAAGTGCACGAGGAGGTGCCCTCTACGACGTCCGAGCCAGACACCCTGGGGGGGGCTGGTTCGAACGTTATGATCCCCCGGGGCCCCACCCCTCAGGGAGGGGTTGGGTATAAAAGGGGATGTTCAAAGGGCTCGAGTCAGTTATGTTTTAAGCTAAGGGAAGAAGACTGAAGACGTCTTAGATAGAGCCCTGGACTCCCCTAGTTCGATGTCCTTTTCAGGGCCGGACAGGACTGAGCCAGCGGCGTGGTCCCGAAAGCCAGAGCCGGTGCTCTTGTAAGAGCTGGTCTGGAACTCCGGGTACCGGGCCCGACTTACCAGTGTCGGGCCAGATAGCCTCCCCTAGCCCAGTAGTGGAGGACTCGGGGCTAGGACAGAGCTAGCTAGGGGTGTATTCCAAGTTATACGGGTGAGGGGGCCGATACCCCCTCGAGTGTTATATGCCCACTGTCGTATTGTGAAATAAATATACGTGTGCCTCAACCTCGGCGTCAAGCGTCTTCACCGGTACTTCATATACATCACCACTGAGAAAGCAAAGGTTGCCAGGCGTGGTGATGGCCACACCACTCCCTCGTGTGCCGTGCCAGCATTAATCGGTGCTCGCTAACAGCGCTTGCCCTGACAGTTTTTTTGGGGGGGATCTGTACCTTTGTCTTTGTTTGTGTAGGGAGCTGTGGGACCAGCTGGTCACCTTGACCCAGCTCCGAGGAACAAAGCTGTCACAGGCCGAGGAGGCGCACCGCTACGTGATGGAGCTCTCCGAGGCACTGCTGCACATACAGGTGAGTGATGGAGCTCTCCGAGGCACTTCTGCACATACAGGTGTGCACACCTGTGCGCCCATGTGAGTACGTACTCCCGGGGGATTGTGCGTGTGGGTTTGAGCGTGTCTGGCTCTGGGCACGCCCCTCCCTAACCATGTATCCTGCCCTTACCTCTCGACCTCTGACCCCCTGCGTGAGCGTAGGAGCGTAAGGCGGGCGTGCAGGGGGAGGTGGGCAAGGACCTGCGCTCCGTGCGGGATCAGCTGCGCCGCCACGAGGCGCTGGAGAACGAGCTCGTGGCTGCGGAGGCGCAGGTGAGCGGCGGGCGCAGCGTGGGGTGGCGGAGTGTGACGCGGGGTGGTAACGCGGGGCGGGTGTGCACGTGAGCACACCTGTGCACTCGTTGTGGACGGGGGGGGGGGGGTACGGAGACACACGCGCAGTTACACGGGGAAGGAGCCCCTCTTGATCTCGTGTCATACAAGACACGGGTGCGGTGATCGTGATCCTGCGTCACCACGTGTCACCGTGTCCCCTTGTCGTCGTGTCCTGTGTCCCACCTCACTCCCGCCCCCCCCCACCCCTGTGACCCCGCGTCCCACGAGCAGCTGCAGGAGCTGGTGGACCGCGGTCAGACCGTGACGGCGCACTGCCCGCCGGCGCTGGCCGACACCATCGCGGAGCGGCAGCAGTCCCTGGTGGAGGCGTGGGGCGACCTCAAGGACCGGGTCGACTCGCGGCAGCAGCAGCTGCGCGATGCGCACAGCCTCTACTGCTTCTTGGGCCTCGTGAGATGATCCCCGCATCAGCAGCAGCGTGGCTCACATCGTCATCATCATGATCGTAGTCAGCAGCAGCAGCAACAGCAGCAGCAGCATCATCAGCAGCGGCAGCATGTTTCAGATCATCGACATAATTACAATTATTTTATCGTCATCGCCATCACCACTATAATCAGCAGTGTAAATGTCATCATTATCATCATCATCACCACCATTATCTTCATTCTAATCGTCACTCCTTTGCAGCAAATTTGGCATCACTCCTATCGGTGACATGATCATCATCGCCATTATCAGCATTTTTCACATCACCTTCATCCTTCATCTTCGTCATCATCGTCATCATCGTTACCATCAGTGCTTCACACACCACCATCATCGTTGTCACCATTGTCACCATCATCATCACACACGTCGTTTCTCTCATCATCGTCGTCGTCATCGCTGTCGTCCCTTGACGCGAGCTGCTCGTGCTGCCCGTGCCGCCGGTGCGGCGCCGCAGGTGCGGGACTACTCCGGCTGGATGGACGAGGTGGGCCGCGGGCTGGAGCTGGCCGAGGCGCCGGCGGCGCGAGGAGTGCAGGGCGCCAGCGCCCAGCGCGCCCAGCACGCGAGCCTGCGCGCCGAGATGGAGGCGCACGACTCGGACTTCCACGACGTGTGCACGGCCGCCGAGGGGCTGCTCAGCCAGAAACACCCTGCGGTCAAGGAGGTGCAGCTCACAGCACCCTGCAACGCCCGTCACGCGGTGCTCGTCACACGGTGTCTGTCGCTCACCAGCCGGCTCCCTGGCCCCATGTGGGCGGCGTGCAGGTCAAGGAGAAGCTGTACATGGTGACGAAGCGCCGGCGGGAGCTGTTGTTGCGCTGGGAGGAGGCGAACGAGCGGCTGGAGCGGCGCTACCTGGAGCAGCTGTTCCTGCATGAGGCGGAGCTCACGGAGACCTGGATCAATAGCCAGGAGGTGCAGAGCCGTGCTCACTCACCCCGCCGACACCTCACCTGAGCCTCACACCTACTCCCTTTGACCCTGACACCACAATTCGTCTTCCCTGACCCTGACACCTGATCCCCTGCACCCTGACCTCAACGACCGGATCCTCGGAAAGTGGAGTCACGTGTGTGCCGGCGGGATGATCACCTCACAATCCCCTTTATCCCACAGTCCACCCTGTCGGTGCAGCTGCACGTGGCACACACACACACGTGTGACACGTGTGTGTTTGTGGGATCCCGCGCGTTGCGTGCGCAGTGTTTGTATCCGACCGATGGGCGCTCGCTCACGAATCCCAACAGTCTGTGTAGGCTACACGAGGGATCTGTGTCCTTGTGTGTGTGTGTGTGCGCGTGTTTGCGTGCGTGCACCCGTACCCTCGCGCCTCGCCAGGACTACCTGAATTCCCGCGAGCTACCCAGCTCGCTCGCCCAGGTGGACTCTCTGATCCGGCAGCACGGCGTGTTTGGGCAGCTGCTGGCGACGCGAGACGGGAAGGTGAGGGGGGGGGGGAAGGCGGGATGGGTTTCATAATATTACAAAGACTCCGGGGTCGACATTCTTACGGGAGTTTTATTACGATGCGACACAGTCCTGATTTTTTTTGCTCTGATTTCTGGTGACACGGGTCGCCCTTGCAAATGAGTCTTCGTCCTGGTCTCTTAAGTCCTAACCTGGTGATTCAAACTGGAAACTTGACCATCTCAACTTCGGCACTCGCACTTTCTCTCGCTCGCCCGCTCGCCCGCACGCCCCGCTCCTGCTCGCGTGCAGATCGAAGCGCTGCGAGAGAGCATGGAGCGGCTGGAGGAGCAGGGCCCGGCACGGCGCCGCCTCACCCTGCTGCAGGAGCGCCTCGCCCGCGTCCACCGCCTCTCCGGGGACAAGGGGCACGAGCTGGAGACGGCGCGCCTCCTCCTCACCTTCCACGCCGACCTGGCCGAGGTGACGACGGCGTTCGGCGCGCGCGCGGAGCGGCGGCACCGGGGAGGCAAAGGCGGTCGGGTTCGGCACCGGCTACGTGCGCCGTACCGGCCCCGAATCGTCGCCCGCTAGCGTCGCCGGTACCCCGACGCTCGACGTGGCCACGGCGGGAGGAACCTTTTGCGTTTGCGCTCCGCAGACCGGGGCGTGGTGCGGCGAGATGCTGCGGCGGGCCCAGGCCGGGCTGCGCGAGGAGGACGGCGTGAGCGTGCGGGAGAAGATGGCGCTGCTGCAGAAGCACCAGACGTTCCACGCCGAGGTGATGGCGCGCGAGGGCGCCATCCAGGACACCGTGCAGGTGAGCGCGCTCCATGACCCCGTGATCCCCGACCCTCTGACCTCTAGCTTCTGGTCTCTCACCCCAGACCAAGACCGCGTGAGTTAAACGTGAGGGCTGTACTTTTTGACATCGCGTGCCATCCCTCACCGATTAGATTTTACCAACTACCCAAAAATTCAACACATTCGACAATAACACTTTGGCGACGTTTCAGGCAATGGCCCTTCTTCTTGTCCTTCCCCCGCACCTCCAATTGGCACGGCAGGCTACGTACGGTGCGAAAGAAGTCCAACATACAGACATTCGTAGCATATGTTTGTGAAGACCGCCCATTGCGTCACCAATTTTATATATATATATTTTTTAAAGGCCACAGTGTTATCGACACGGAACGTGTCGAGTTGTATTGTTATTCGCGCTTCTGTACCACCGTGAATAGCATGACCAAATACATTGTTTAATTTACAAATTGCCTAGCCAACCACACCATCGGAATGTCTTCCTTTGACGCCGTTGTTGGCTTCCCTATTCATTCATTCCATTCACCATCGTTGACTGCCATCAATTTTCCCTTTCACCGAATTCACGCATCATCACAGATTAGCCCCCCCCCCCCCCCGTTGCTTCCTCTCATCTATTTCATTCACCTCATCTTCACCAGTACATTCACACACGCCTTGTGCCGTTCTTCATTTCTTGCCAGGATATAAGAATAGGTGTTACCCTTTCTGGCGATGAAAGGCAATGCATCTACTACCGGAGCATGTTTTTTTTGTTTGCGTGTGTGGTTAATGCAGTGACATGATTCCTTGCAAAAGCTTTCAGTTTGGTGTTTTAACATCTGAACACAACTGTTTTATTTCCAGAAAGGGTAAAACCTATTATATTTTGATCCTGGCAAGGGAGGTCCCATGATGGAGCTGCTCACCCCGAGGTCTCAATGTCCTGAGAGTGGCATTCTTTTTGTGCTGTACGCCTTTTGGCGTCTTCTGGTCTAACACTGTTTGAGACTCGGCTCTAAAGCAAGCTGTCTCTGGTGTGGACCAATCAGTTTGAAAGGCAATGCATCATATACTACCGGAGCATCTTTTTTTGTTTGCATGTGCACCACAAGTACATGTGGTTAATGCAAACGTGATTCCTTGCAAAAGGTTTCAGTTTGGTGATATTAACATGTTAACACACCTGTTTAATTGCCATAAAAGGGTAAAACCTATTCTTACGTAAGATAAGGAGAGTTTTAGCTCGGCGCGCGCACGCACGAGCAGTCTTTGGCGAGCGTCGCGCGGTCGAGCGGTCGGCCGCGAATGGTGAGATCCGAGCGAGCGGCGGGTTTGCGCAGGCCGGCGAGGCGCTGGCGATCAGAGCGCCGTCGCGCGCCGCCGAGGTGCAGCGGCAGGCGCGCAAGCTCCGCGAGGACTGGGAGGCGCTGCTGCGCGCGATGGCCACGAGGGAGCGCATGCTGGGGGAGGCGCGCGACCTGCTGGAGTTCACGACGCGCGTGGAGCGCGCCGAGGCCTGGATCCGTGACAAGGTGGGTGGGGAGGGGGGGGCCCGGAGGGGGGGCCCGGGGGGGGGGGGGTCGGGCCCGCCCTCCCCCCCCTCTCGCGTGGACACGGAGCGCTCGCTCCCGCACTGCGCTGTCGAACACAGATGCGCTTCTGCTTGCCACCGATTAACCGCGATACCTCGCTGATCAAGAAGCGTAAAGCATCACGCGAACTCCGGTCATCCTCGGCTTTTGGCTGCAAGCCATCGAACAAAGATGGGCACCACATCGCGCGCTTTCAGATGCGCTTTTGCGGCCGTCTGGAATGGCCTTCCTTCCGATATGAGAAAGCCACTGGAGTTATGGCACTTTTAAATAATCTCCTTTGAAAACTCATTGATTTAGAACTGCTTTTTGTGTTTAGTTTGTTGACTTTCCTCCCCTGCACCTCCGATTAGCACGCTTGGCTACGTACGGTGCAGTAGAAGTTCGACATACACACAACATACATACATACATACGCATAACAACATACATGCGTCACGCTCGGCCTTCCCGCACGTGGGGGCCCCGACGGTGGCGCCCCTCGCCTGCTCGAGGAATGAACGGCGGCCGTGGCTTCGCAGGAGGTGATGGTGGCCGTCGGGGACGTGGGCAAGGACTACGAGCACTGCCTGCAGCTGCAGAAGAAGCTCGGCGCCGAAGGGAGTGCGGTGAGTCCCCCCGGCCATCGCTCCCCCCATCCCCCCATCTCCATCCGCCCCCTCACCCGCTGCGTGGATGCGGATCGGGCAGCGCTCGGAGGGATCTCGAAGGTAGCTCTGCGACGTGCACTTCAGCGGGCTGTTTTCTGACACGAACGGTTGCACTGGTCCGTGGAGGAACCGGATGACACCGACAGCAGTGAAATTGTGCGGAAGCGATAACAACAACAACAACAAAGTGAGGGGTCAGGGTCCGGCCGATGCGGTGCGAGCGAAGTCGCGGTGCTGGAGTGCTGCCCGTGACCCTCCCCTTCCCCTGCAGGACGGGGCGGTGGACGACGCGCAGATGAAGACGCTGAATGCGCTGGGCGCGAAGCTGGAGGCGCAGGGCGGTCCCGACGCTCCGTTAGTGCAGCGCAGCCGGGCCCAGCTCAACAAGCGGTTGGTGTCCCACACAGAGCAGCCCCCCAACACACACACCACCCCACGCACACACACACCACCCCACGCACACACACACCACTCCACGCACACACACACCACCCCACACACACACACACACCACCCCACGCACACCACCCCACGCACACACACATCACCCCATGCACACACACACCACCCCACGCACACACACACCACCCCACGCGCACACACACCACCCCACGCACAAACACACAACCCCACGCACACACACACCACCCCACGCACACACACACCACCCCACGCATAAACACACAACCCCACATATAAACACGCTGCCCATGTGCCCGCGCGTGCGTGCAGCTGGGCCACGTTCCAGAGTGCCCTGCAGGACTACCGCTCCCGGCTCGCCACGGCGCTGGGCGTGCACGCGTTCCTGCTGCAGATGGACGAGACGAGGGCGCTCATCGGGGAGAAGGTGGCTCCCACGCTCTCCCCCTCGCTCTCCCTCAATCCCTCGCTATTCCCCACTCTCCATCGCTCTCCTCTCTCGTTCTCCCTAACTCTACGCCACTTTCCCTCCCACACCCACATCAGACCTCAATAGTCCTCTCCAACAACAGCTGCCACGATGCACGATGGCTCCGGCTCGCCCACAGTGACGGTCGTGCGTGCGTGTGTGCGCAGAGCGCGGCGATGCACGCGGCGGGGCTCGGCGGGGACCTGGAGGAGGTGGAGGCGCTGGTGCGACGCCACGAGGAGACGCAGCGAGACATCCGCGTGCTGAGCGACAGCGTTCAGGTGCCGCCCCTCTCCCCGCCCCCCCCTCTCCCCGCCCGCCGCCGCCCTGCCCGCCCGCCGCCGCCCCGGCCTCGCCGCGCCGGCGCCACCAACGCGCGCCGTGCCGTCCGCGCGTGCAGGAGAGCGAGGCGGAGTCCCGCAGGCTGTCGCGCCAGCACCCGGCGCTGACGGAGCACGTGTCGCAGCGGCAGCGAGCGCTGCAGGAGGCGTGGCTGCGGCTGCAGGAGGACACGGCGACCCGCGGCGCACGCCTCGCCGACACGCTGCACCTGCAGCGCTTCCGCGCCGCCGCCAAGACGCTGCTGGCGTGGGACGCCGACACGCGCGCTACCATGAGCGTGGCGCGCGCGCCGGCCAGCCTCCCCGAGGCCGAGAGCCTCCTGCAGGCGCACCACGAGACCAAGGTGCCGAAACCCACCACCACCGCCACCACCACCGCAACCGCCGCCGCCACGCCGGGCAGGAGAATTATCGGCCGACGCAATCCGAAACCCCAACACGTTCTACAGTAAAAACACTGTGGCCTTAAAAGGTATATGCTAGGTGACGTTTCGGGCAATGGCTCTTCTTTGGAGTGCTTAGCAGAGGCCACGCTGCACGGTTTTCCTGGCCGTCCGGGCACGAGCTTGAAGCTGCTTGAACGAGGACGAGAAGTCTTTAAAGTCACGCGGCCTCGGCTCCGCAGCGAGGAACCCGCTAGGGCGGAGTGACGAGTGCCGCCCCCCCGCCCCCGCAGGTGGAGATCACGGCGCGCGGAGGCCGCTTCGAGGAGGTGCACGAGGTGGGCGATCGGCTCGTGGCAGAGCGGCACCCGGACGCGGCCGACATCCGACGCGAGCTTGTGCGGCTGGAGGACGTTCGCGAGGCTCTGCTGGCCGCGTGGGGCGACGCGCTGTCCACCCTGACGCTCGCCCGTGACACGCTGGTGAGTGCCGGGGGGGGGGTGAGAGGGGCGACGCGCTGTCCACCCTGACGCTCGCTCGCGACACGCTGGTGAGTGCCGGGGGGGGCGGGGGGTGAGAGGGACGACGCGCACGACGGCGCTTACGGCGATGGCGACGATGGTGGCGGCGGGCTGACCGAAGGTGGTGGTGTGGGTAGCGGTAGCGCAGCGGTCAGGCGCTGCGCTACAAACCTGGTGATCCGAGTTCGATTCCTGCTCACGGCCAGTGACGATAATCTGAACCGGTCCTGGGCCTCCCCTAGGTCGAATCAGCCTTAACTGAGTACCTGCTGCGGTGCATACACATCGCCACTGGGGAGACAAAAGCGGCCGGGCCTGGTCTTTGTCTTTGGTGGAGGCGACTGCTGATGATGCGGGCGACGATGATGATGTTGAGGATGATGTTGAAGAAAGTTGTAATGGCGACGCCGAACGTGATGTTGACGACGATGAGCCGGGGGGTGGTGGCCACCCACCTGGCCCACATGGGATAGAGCGTTTCCCCTCACATGCGTGGGTTTTCTCTGGGTGCTCCCACATGTAAACGCTCATTCATTTGCAGATAGCACCGTAATATATAGAGGACTGCAGAGCTCGGGCAATTGTTGGGAGTGCCAGCTCACCGCGTGGTTGCTGCTCATCCGTGGTTCCTCCTCGCGTCTCTCTCGCTCTTCGAGAGCGAGGAGCGAATACCCTCACGAGTTATACCGTCACGAGTTCAAGCCATCCTTGTTATTGTGATGGTGGTGGTGGTGAACGGTCTGGTGCTGCTGCTGCTGCTGTAATCGCGTGCTCCGTGGTCCCACAGCGGTTGCGTGAGCTGGTGGAGCGGGCCGACGGCTGGCTGACGGCGCGGGAGGCGCTGCTGGAGAACCGCGACCTCGGGGTGAGCGCTCGCGCGCGTCCGCACACGCGGGCATTGCCCACCAACGCGGGCGTCGTCACGTGACGAACAAACGTGGCCGCTTCAGCAGCACCACCGGTCGCGTCGTTGGAGAGCGATCCACAGAATCACATCTCCGGCGACTGCCCGATGGTGCTGGTTGTGACTCGCAGCTAACGTCAGTACCCAGCTGTTACCGTGCGTGGGACTCGCACGGTCGATGGTTAAGGGCGTTCGCCAAGCCGTTGTGAACTCTGGGGAAACACCGCGGCCAATGTTAAATGTCACACCAACACTTTTGAGTTAACTTTAAGAACTTGGGGGGGGGGGGCTGGGAGGTTGGGGGAGCGTGGCGGCTCGGCCCCGCACAGCCCCCGCCCGTCCCCTGATGCTACGGGGCTGACCGCTGGACGGGTCTGTGCGCGCAGGACTCGCTGGCGACGGTCGAGAGCCTCGGCAAGAAGCACGAGGCGCTGGTGGAGTCGCTGGCGGACGAGCATTCCCCGCTGGGCGACGCGGACCGCATGGCGAGCCACCTGGGCGCGCACGTCCCACAGCAGCTGGGCGACGCCATGGACGCGGTCTTTGAGAGGTGCGCGCCGCGGTCGCACGGCGGCAGAGGCGGCGGCCGGGGGCAACGATTATTGCGGAGACGCGATGATGACTGGGGGGGGGGGGGGGTTGCGCAAAACCGATCACGGAGACGCGAGACGCTGACTACGCATGTTAGGACGAGGGGTGTAACTGCTGCCCGTGCGCCTAGGCGGGACCGACTGCTGGAGGTGGCGGCTGAGCGGACCCGGATGCTGGACGACTCCCGGCGGCTCCACCTTTTCCTCGGCGTCACGTACGAGGTGTGAGGGGTGGGATGGGAGGGAAGCGTTGACTCCATGGTTGCAGGGTTTAATAAGCTTCTGGCGGCAACCGTGGCGCATGGTGGCGCGTGGTGGCGCATGGTTGTGCGTGGTTGCACGTGGTGGTGCCTGGTTGTACGTGGTTGCTCGTGGTGGCGCGTGGTTGTGCGCGGTGTCACGTGGTGGCGCGTGGTCATGCGGCGGCGCCCCCCGTGCAGGAGCTGTCATGGCTGGACGAGCGCGCAGCCGTGGCACGCGAGGACACGTGGGCGGAGCTCACCAACCTGCAGGCCAAGCTGCAGCGGCAGCAGGCGCTGGACGCCGAGGTGGAGGGGCAGAACGCGCGGCTCGACAACATTGTGGCCGTGAGTCGCGCACGCGCCGTTGGGGAAGGGGGGGGGGCGATTTCGGGGGGCGATTTCGGGGGGCACGGGGGACGGCGTTTCGCCCCTGACCCTGACCCAGTGGACCGCTTGCTTCCCCCACGCAGGAGGGCGAGGCCATGGTGAAGGGCGGCCACTTCGCGGCGCACAGCGACCTCGCGCCGCGCCTCCAGGAGATTCGCGAGCTGCGGGAGGAGCTGTCGGAGCTGTGCCGCGTGAAGCGTGCGCGGCTGCAGGAGGCGCACCAGGTGCGGCGCACCGCGGCCCGCGCCCGAGCACCCACTCTCGCCGCGGTCACGGTAGCCGGGGGGGGGGGGGGAGGTGGGGGACGACGACGTGGCACTGACGGCGACGTCGCCAACGTCATCGCGGTTATGTCGCTAGGTCCGGTGACTGTTTGGGCTTCCCTCGCGACAACATTCTTATCAAATCGACAAATCTAGCGGTTTCACGCGACGACTGCAAGATGCAGATTTAGGAGCGATTCCAGGTCTCTGTTCAGGATGCTGGTAAATTGTACGGGGACATGTCTTGACTTTCGAGGGCCCATCTTGCGACAACCGGTGACATTTCGAGCTTTGTTCGGTGCCTGAACACGCGCGCGCGCTCGCTCGCTGGCTCGTGCGTGCGCCTTGCAGGCGCTGCAGCTGCTGCGTGACCTGGACGAGGCCGAGCGCTGGCTGGGCGAGGCGGTGGAGCGCCTCGCCTCCACGGAGCCCGCCACGGACCTGGCCATGGCCGAGGCAGAGCTGCAGGCGCAGGGCGAGCTGGAGACGGAGGTGGCGGCGCACCGCGCGCGCGTGCAGGCGCTGGCGGGCGACGCCGCCGAGCTCCAGCGGCAGGACAACTTCCTGGGCGACGAGCTGACGAAGCGGGCGAGCGAAATTGACTCCAGGTGCCCCCTCTCCCGCGGGCACCCCCCACCCACTCTCAGCACCCTGCTCACGCCCACAAACACACACGCGCACACTCTGACCTCACACGCACGAACGCGCTAGACAAAGATCCACCACGTAGCCTTAACAGACTGCTGGGGAAAGTGCTGTTAGCGAATAGCACCGATGAAGTCCGGCACTGAACACGAGGGGCCGACACCACAACCGGCCGCCGATGTCTCCCCAGTAGCGCAGCGTGCACACCGCTGCACTACCGCTCCCCACACACACCGACCACACTGACTCGCAGCACGCGTGGCCCCGCAGCTACGAGAAGGCGTCGGATCCGGTGCGAGCGCACCGCATGGCGCTGGAGGAGCGCCAAGACCTGCTGCGCTTCTACCACGACGTGGAGGCCGAGTTCGACTGGGTGCGCGAGCGGCTGCCCCTTGCCTCGCTCGCCGAGGTCGGCGGCTCGCTGCCCGCTGTGCAGGCCTTCCTCACCCGGCACCAGGTGAGCGAGCGCCTGGGCCACGAGGGGCCCCCCGCGGCGCCGGCATTTTTTGGCTAAGCCATCGAAGAACAGAGACGGCCGCCGCATCGCGTGCTTTCAAATGCGCTTCGGCGGCCGTCTGGAACGCTCTCCCTTCCGATATTAGGATGCCACTGGAGCTGTGCACTTTTAAATCGGCTAAATTGAAAACTCATTTCTCACGAACTGCTTTTTTCGCTCAGTCTGTTTTCCTTCTCCCGCACCTCCGATTAGCGCAGTTGGCTACGTACGGTGCGAAATAAGTTCAACGTGCATACATACAGACCCTGACTCGAACAGAATCAGAATCTTTATTTATTCTGGAGAAATCCGATGGGCTATGAAGCTCTTTTTCACGGACGTCCAGTATTCACACGTGTCCAGAATGGCGGCGTACTGCTCGCGCACGCACCCACAAGCCCACGCGTGTTTCCGCCCGTGTGTCCCGGTAGGCGCTGGAGAGCGAGGTGGAGGCGCGGGATGTGCTGGTGCAGGACGTTCTGAGCTCGGGGTCGGGGCTGGTGTCGCGCGAGCACCCTGAAGCGGCGCAGGTTCGCTCGTGCCTGGAGGAGCTGCGCGACGCCACGGAGCGCCTGCGCGAGGAGTGCGCAGCCCGGCGCGCTCGGCTCGAGCACGCGCTCCACGCGCAGCAGATAGACGCGCAGGTGAGACGCGGGGCTCACGGGTGAGACGCGGGGTCAAGGGTGAGACACGGGGTCACGGGTGAGACGCGGGGTCACGGGTGAGACGCGGGGTCACGGGTGAGACGCGGGGTCACGGGTGAGACGCGGGGTCACGGGTCAGACGCGGGGTCACGGGTGAGACGCGGGGTCACGGGTGAGACGCGGGGTCACGGGTGAGACGCGGGGTCACGGGTGAGACGCGGGGTCACGATGGTGGGACGCAGAAGGCCACGTGCCACGGTGTAATCGTGGCGGTCGTGCTTGCGTGCGTGCGTGGCCGCAGCTGGGCGAGGTGGAGGCGTGGCTGGAGGAGCGCGGGGCGCTGCTGAGCGGCGCGAGCGACCCCGACGAGGACGTGGGCAGGCACGAGGAGTGGGCGCAGGCCCAGCTGCGCCAGCTGGAATCGCTGGGGCCCGAGATGGCGGCACGACAGGAGGCGACGCGGCGCCTCAAGGAGAGCGTGGCGCAGCTTGCACGCGAGTGGCCCGACGACTGGTACGCGCGCAGACTCACGCGCGCAGACGCACGCACACAGACTTATTCCAGCTGGTGAGGCCCATTGAGCTAAACAGCTGTCTCACAACATACGCACGCGTACGTACGAGTGCATGCATATACAGGTGCGACACGGACACATACTAACAAAAGGACAGAGATCACCCGTATAGCCCGGCTGTCTTTGTCTCCCCAGTGCCGATGTTTACACACCGCCTAGGGTAGGCCCAGGACCCGTTATTCAGCACAAATACAAACACACGTACACCCGAACGCCCGCGCGTACAATTGCGTACAGACACGCGCGCGCATAAAGCACGCGGTGCCCCCCCCCCCCCCCCCCGCGTGTGGAGCGCAGCGAGCGCGTGGCGGCGCGCGTGGACGAGGTGCGCGAAGACCTGCAGGGCTTCGCCGGTGCCTTGGACGAGCGGCGCGAGCGCCTGCGCGACCGCCTCTACCTGGGCCGCACGGCGCGTGCCGCCGAGGAGGCGCAGGCGTGGATGCGCGCTCGCCGGGCGCTGCTGCGCGCCGACGACTGCGGCACCGACCTGGAGGACCTGGAGGTGAGCGCGACGGCCCCCGTGCTCCCCCCGTGCCCGCCCCCGATGCTGCCAGCCGACCGTCGCTGATTCCGTCCCGTCCCTCCCTCGGGTTCCAGCTGCTGGAGAAGAGGTTCGAGGAGCTGGTGGAGGAGGTGCGGGTGTCGGGCGAGGGCCGCCTGGGCTCGGTGCACGAGGCGGCGCGGGCGCTGCAGGAGAGGGCGCCGAGGCGGGACGAGATCGCGCAGGCGCAGCAGCTCGTCGCCAGGGCGACGCGCCACTGGGACAAGCTGCAGTGCGCCATCGACGACCGAGCGCAGGAGCTGCGCGCGGCCAGGAAGGTGCACGAGTTCTCGCGCGACGCGGAGGACCTGCGCGAGTGGATCCAGCGCAAGGACGCGGCGATCCCGCCCAACGAGAACATCCCTGAGCTGGCCAGCGTGCGCGCCAGCATGCGGCGCCACGACGCCACCAAGGTGAGCGAGCGCGAGAGGCCCGGAGGACTCGGGACGGCGCGATCGTTGGCCCGACGGGGCTTTGGCGCCGCCTGCGGAGGTCGCCGGACCGCCGCGTCGAGTCGGTAGCGATCCCACCCACGCTCTGCTATCGTCTCCGCCAGGGCGATCTGGAGGTGATCGAAGAGCGCGTGTTGGCGCTGGAGGCCGAGCTGGAGCAGCTGGTGCGGGAACACCCGTCAGAGCGGGAGAGCGCTCGCGCGAGGGTGCACGCCCTGCAGGAGCTGTGGCAGGCGGTGCGGGAGCGCGCGGCCGAGAGGACACTCTTCCTGGAGCACTCGGCGCAGCTCCACGAGCTCATCAACGAGTACCGCGAACTGGAGTACGAGCACCCGCCCACTAACCCACGAACCCACACCGACCTCGCACATGCACGCACTCACCCACTAACCCACGCACAAACACGCACACCGACCTCGCTATAAGGAAAATGGGGACTCGGAACCTCAGGCCTTCCTGCCCAGAGTGCCAGTGTCAGGGGTGTCAGTGTCACAGTGTCACATGTCGCAGTGCCAGTGTCAAAATGTAAATGTCACAGGATCACAGGGTCACGGTGTTGGCGCTGAGCGGGTGCCGGCTGTGCGTGGCGGTGCGCAGGCTGTGGGCGGGCGAGGTGAACGCACAGATGGCCGGGGCCGAGCTGGGCAGCGGCGTGACGGGGGCGGAGGAGGCGCTGGCACGGCACAAGGAAGTCCTCGCCGACGTCGAGCGCCAGCTCGCCCGCTTCGCCGCGCTCAAGCGGGGAGCGCAGGAGCTCACGCGGCCAGAGCACACGCACCACGAGGAGGTGCGGGTGCCATCTCACGACCCCGCCAGCCGCCGGAACCCGACCCTCGCGTGCGAGCGCGTGTTTATGCGTGCGTGCGTGTGTGTGTGCTCGCGCGTGCACAGATCGTCTACGAGACGGAGGACGTGGAGGTGGTGCTCTTGCGAGTCCAGGACAACTGGGACGAACGCCACGAGCTGCTCGCGCACAACCTGCAGCTGCAGCTGCTGCGTCGCAAGCTGGAGCAGTCGGACAGCTGGCTGGCCACGCGCGAGGGCCTGTTGACAGACGGCGACCTCGGGGTGAGTCCTTTGCCGCGCTCCCAAAGCCCCCGCAAATCCTCTCGTTCCGTCTCCTCTCTCTCCATGCACTCTCTCTCTCTCTCCGTCCATCCTCTCTGGCCTTCGACGTGCTCGTTCTGCAGCACGATGCCCGTGCCTCGCGGCGTGCAGGACTCGCTGCATGGGGTGGAGGAGCTGCTGAAGCAGCTCGAGGACCTGGAGAGCACCATGTTGGAGCAGGAGGACCACTTCGTACATCTGACACAGGAGCTGCAGG